ATATGGAATTATACAACAAAATGGAACCTACCTTTATATATAATCAGTTTCGATCAGGAAAAAGCTTTTGATATGGTTAACCAACGTTTTTTATTCAAAACCATGACCAAACTAAACTTCAACAAAATATCATTAACTTAATCAAAGAAATGTACAATCGGATATACAGCAGAATACAAATTAACGGAGCTTAAAACCAATAAAATCTTTCTGACAAGAGGAATCAGACAAGGCTGTCCATTGAGCATGGCAATGTACACCTTAGCCGCTGACCCATTGGCAAGAAAAATCATCGCGAACCAAAAGATAAAAGGATTCAGCATCGGAAAATACAAAACCGTAATTGATCAATTTGCAGACGACAATACAACATACGCGCGAGACATTGAATCGATAGAACACACCTTCAACGAATTTAAGACTTACGAATTAATAACGGGACAAAAAATAAATGAGAAAAAAACTGAAATATTATGTACTAACCAAATCGCAATGCAAAAACTTAAAACCTCGCCGTACAACAAATTCATGAAACCAAATATAAAAGTTTCAGGCCAAATTATAGGACCCCAACAGACGGAAAAAAACTTGGGATGAAATCCTCAAAAGACTTAGGAACACCCTGGAAGTTAATAAGGCAGAGACAATTGACGTGGATAGGTAAATTCCAAATTTTAAATGCCTTGTGTATATCGCAGGGTAATATACCACGCTAGAGTAGTGAATGTACCACCAATCTACATACGGAAACTGAACACACTTTTCTTTGACTTCACCTGGCACCCAGAAAGCTTTCAGCTATTGGCACAAAATAAATTAAACAGCCGATTACTACAATGGAGGATTAAATGCCCCATGCATAAAAACAAAATACAGGCATGTCTTCTGGAAAAATAAAAACATTGAAAGCAATAACAGAACCTAAAGAGATATGGCACGCAATAGCCCCTTTTATGACATTGGCACGAAGATAAAGAGAATAAATCCCAAACTTTACACCAACCAGATGCCCCATGCCCTCGAAACCCCAAAGCACTGGAAAGATTGCATTCAGTTAACCGAAAAAATAGGCATAAAAGAAGAAAAATGGACAGACATTTCTTTCAAACAAATTTACCAGACGATCTTGAAATCAAACCAATCGGGAAGAAGAAACAGGTAGAAACACAAACATGCACCAATGGAAAGAGATTCTAAGTAAAGAAAAAGACATAAAAAATATAATAACAAACAAGGAAAGGGTGATATCCATACAGGCTGGCGCAACAATGCAATACTAAATGGAACACAAAAGAAAAAGAATCAATTTATATCATACAGTAAGCGGGGGAAAATGGCTATCACGGAGTGTAAATTCTGCTCGAAATCGGAGGACAACACGGAACACCTTATTAAAGAATGTCCTTTCACGTGGCGGATTTTGTATAAAATACAAAAATCTCTGAATCAGGCTCTGCAAACACATCACCCTTTTTAAATGAACTACTTTGGCATAATATTTACTTAAAAGAAAACCGAAAAAATAATATTAATAACAGTGAATATAGTAAAAACTCAAATATACAAGGTCAAATCAATGAAGGACATGACAAACACAAAAATGAATCCCGAAGAAAGTAAAAGGATAGAAGATGGCATAGTTTCGAAAACTTTTAATAAAATGGGCTGGAGAGTAAAAAACATAGAAATCACTCAGCGAAGAAATAAAACAGATAGAGAAAATTGAAAATTGGTTGGCCCAAAAAAGTGTTGCTACAAACTAATTAAAAAAAATGATTAATTTACTGATTTTATGCTCAAAATTGAAAAACCATCTAAAACGGAAATGACGAAATAGGAGCCTATCAATGAGAACGGCAATAGTCATCTATTGCCATTATGTGATACGGTCTATACCTGACCAAGCTCCGAATGGGATACAGGAAATGACGGTTTATCCCCGATCCCGTATATTATAATCTGATCCGAAATAAATGAAAAAAAAAAAAAAAAAAAGTTAAAAAAAAATAGCACATGAGTAATAACGGTATATCATTTTTTTCATGAAGTAGGCCTAAACGTTTCTGTTCTCCCAATTGTTTAATACACATACTCGAGGTTATGGATGTGTAGTAGGGAACAGCCAATTCAAAACTGTCATTTTTCAATTTTACATTTGTTTAAAATTCGAAGCGATGTTCAGATGTTAACATAGTTATTATAATCTAAATTTTCAACCCACAATGTGGGTCAAGCTTTAGATTGAAGACGTGAAGGAATTTGTTACTTCCTACCACTACAGCTTCTTAACAATGACTCGATGCTCTTTTTTCCTATCCTCGACCCGCTGCCACATAACTCTTTTAGACTTTCGATCCTCAACCCACTGTCATACCTCTCTCCCTGTTTTCTGCCCTCGATCTCCCGCCCTATTTCCCTCGCGGCTTGCGACCTCCAACCAGCTGTCCTATCTCTCCCGGCCTACTTATTATCGACCCTCTAGTCGAACCCTCTCAACCTCCTATCCTCAACCCACTGCTACACACCCTTGTCTGCTCCGGCCTTCCCATCCTCGACACGCCATCCCGTCTTCTTACCCTCCACCCACTGTCATACCTCCCTCCCGTCCTCAAATCACTGTACTGTCTCCTTCCCGACTTGCCACCACCTGCGCTATCTTGAACGGCTTCCTGAATTGTTCTTCGCCCGATTTACTCAAAAGTACTACGCGCCCCGATCATCATAAATATTTTTAATTGTTTGCGATTGGGTAAACTTTCAGGCTTATACAGCTCGAGTATGTCAATGATATTATCGAAGCGCACGTCGAGGAAAGGCTGACAGCATTTGTAAGATATTGTTGTGGGTATATTTGAGTATGAAACAAATTTATAGTTCCAGTGAATGTAAATAATGAGAGAGATGTCGGAAATATTGGAATGGCGTTTTATTTACATCATTTACCAAGCCATTTAATGTAGGCTTAGGATCTGGAATCTTAAATGGTAATCGACCCCCACAATTGGTAGCTTAGACATGTGCTACTCTTACCCAATGTATGCATATTTTCGTCGTCCTATCTTGTTATCTTACCGCCCACGTATTCGCATGTCATATGTACTCACAGTATCTTGTTAAAATAAAAATGGTTGAAGGCGCCGATCGGTAGAGGATAGAACGGCTGAGGGAGATAGGAAAGTGTGTCCCGCAGGAAATAAATTCAAAACGTGGAATATACGCCACGGTGTCCATTTTGAAATTATAAAAGTTAGCAACCCTAACTGATCTTTAATTACGTACTCGCCGTTACATGGTGATTGACGTAACCCGATTGCGGCATCCTATACCATACAAGCAGTAGTGGGATTCAGCCGTTTCTCACCGGTTCTATAGAACCGTAAATATGATAGAACCGTCTCACGGAATTTTATGAGATCAGCGAACCGGTTAGCTTTACTGGTTACTGTCAATGTTCTCTTTGTAACACAACTGGCTGAAAAATATGACTTTTGTGATGGAACCGGCTGACAAAAAATTTGAATCTCACCACTGTATACAAGTTAGACTTATCATTGAATGGGAGGTCGTGGATTGGTTTATAAATTTGTTCCGTTCATTGGAAAGAATTCACTGTGGAAAAATCCCGCGATACCGCCTCTTATAACGGTGAATAGCAAACAGACTCCGAGCACCACATTTTCAGACAGCAAAGTGGCGCGAAATGCGCATGTAAATTGTGAATTCAATTTCCCTTAACCTTCCCCGTAAAGGCAGAAAGGTAGGATTTTTCATATTTATTGAAAGATGGCTGTAAAATTAGTTGATAATTTTTTGTCAGTGTCAGTCGTAAGAAACTACACATAACTCAAAGTGATATTTCTGTATTTAATTTCTAGAAGCAACAAAATTCCTCCCCTGCTGGGAAACATTACGGTAACCTACCTGTACCCCAATAGGATCTGACTATCCCTTAATGCAGGCATGTCCGGGTCTGGTATAGTTTAGTACCACATGTACTTCTAGTTGGCCTGGCTGAACAATTTTTGCATATGTCAATCCTAACCCTCACCTGACTAAGTCACCCAAAAATTACGTCATTTCAACGTCATTGTGGCTTAATAAGGCCCACCAAAGTATGCGAATGATCGTCCAAGATCAGCAGACAATCACCCGAAATCGAGCAAGCTATTTCTCTCGTTTTCTCGTCACAACGATCACGATAGGAGAGAAATCGCCGACCTTAGCGAGTTTGTTATCGGCGGCGCAGATTAATACTTGGCGTAATTATACCGGTACTTTGGCAAGCCCTATGACGTGATGGTGACGTCGCAGTGGTGTAATTTTTTGATGGCATAGTCAGGTGAGGGTTAGAAAAAACATATGCAAAATTCGTTATGCTACGCCTACTGGAAGTACCTGTGGTACTATACTAGACCCGGCATGTCCAACCTTTTTTGTGTTGCGGACGCTTTCATGTGAGGAAATTTATTGCGGGCCGCGAACGTTTTTACCAAACTTAAAATACCAACCCAGTTCTGATTTACGTTAGAATTTGAGCGTCGCTAAATCGAACGCCTGGATTGCACAACACTTTTGCGGATTTCTGAATACAACATGCATACAAGGATCGTGAACCATAAAAGTTCAACTCAACTTTTACGCAAAATGCCAAATTTTTAAGCAATAATATACATTGGCATAAAAAATCAAAATGTCAGCAATATTTTTATATCATTGCGCAACTGTTTAATATCAGCAGATAGTTTTGATACCGCACAACGTAACTGGCTCCTCAAATTGTCATTCGTTAGCTTACTCCTATGCTTTGACTTTATAATTTTCAATTTAGAAAAGAGAGATTTGCACAAAAATGGGTACCCGAAATTAGGTAATATATTTTTGTCAGTGTCAGTCATAAAACCTACACAGAACTCAAAGTGATATTTCTGTATTTAATTTCTAGAAGCAACAAAATTCCTCCCCTGCTGGGAAACAGTACCAGACTGGTGCCGGTTACCGGTACCGGTACCTTATGTGAAAGTGCAACTGCAGTTTAACTTGAACCAGCGAACTTTATTAGCATTAGCAAATAGTCAGTAATATTTGGCTAGTGCAGAAATGACTAAAAGACCAATCAGAATAATCATGTCCTAATATTAAAATGCAGATGTTGTTATTCCAGGTATTTGTTTTTCAGATTTCAGGCTTTGATTGAGTGTTTAAGGTCATGAAAAAAAATTACATTTATTTTGTTGTCATTGTACTTTTCTTTTATTCTAAATTACTTGCAGACAAAACTGTAAAATGTTTAATCAAACATATTTGAGAAATCTGCATCATATTATAAGAAAATATGAATACGCGGCACAAAACAATGAAGAGAATTATATAATTGATATAAAATCATTGGAGCCAATTGATGATACGTTTGAAGATTATGAAAATCGTGTAAAACTAACAGATGAACAGGTAGGCCATATAGAGTTGAAAATTGTAATATAATATTCTTTTCAGTTGAGGTCTATAATGCCTGAAACAGAACGAATTCAGTACGGCACACTATCCAAATTCCAAGAATTTTGCTCAATAAAACAAACACTCCATGTGTCTCACAAACGAGGGCCGTCTGGCACCACGTCAGATGCTTCATATCGCGCCATGCTTGTCTCCATAATAATCTAAATTAATGGCGGCCGTCACATGACCAAACTTGCCGTTTTTTGCTAAAAGCTCTCGAATGCCATTGTAAAAAAATTTTTCCTTTTCTAAATCGAATATTTTTTCCTGAGGCATTCAACGATGACGTTATTAGATTGCGCTTTTTTGTAGTATTTTGTGCGACTTCATTATACTGTATTATTACCGATATTGAGGGACAACAATGTCCAGACATCTTCCAAAGGAGGGATGTCTGATCATCGGTAAAATGCGTTTCTCTGAATTAATAAGACAATGTCTCTCGATATGTATAGTGTGCTGTACTGGAATTGGAGTTGAGCCTAAGTCGTTTTCAATCAGGATGACCTGATAATTTTATTATTGCATTTACCTTTTTACATTATTATTATTTACCTTTTAGATTGAATAAATGAGCCATTCCAAGCAAAAGTTGAATTCCATCAATTTTTTTAAAAGAGTAGTGAAAGTAATTTTTTATATCAAAAGACATTGGAATTTTATTGGACTGCATTCCTTTCACCGAAAAAGTTAAAATTTCACCCAGGTTTTTAATGGTTTTTAAAAAATGGCCCAAAATGTAGAAATTTTGGTATAATGACATATTTTGTGATGATTCGTGACACAAAGTGTTTGATTGTGTGATACAGTTATTTCATATGAAATGGACTCACTGAATTTAAGTTAATTATGTTTAAATGTTTGCAGTGCTGTAGGACATTTCTTCACCCATTTTACAATTGAGCAACACATAGAGGGGTCCTTCAGCTACTGCACCAGAAAATATTATGGGCTCCTGCTGTACTATCGCAAAAATTTACAGCACAAACAATGTACTGTTAATGCATGGTGGATTTACCGTCCTGTAGTGTCACGCTATATTTTACTATATTTTTTATATCCACTAAGTAAGTCTTGGGTGTAACTTTTGTGCAATTGTTTCCATAATCAATAAAGCAACTGATTGGACAATGAAACAAAACATGTAGCTGAAAATGTAATAATATATTGCATCTAACAACATGAAAAATTTCTAGAATTGTCCTGTAGTTTCACTTGGAATAGCCCAAATATATATAGTTTGTTAAAAATAAATGTGTCCTCATGGACTTTTATAAATTTGAAACTTTTTTAACAGAAATTTGAACTCGAGGGACTTCATAATGTCACAATTAATGAGATGAAAGAGGATTTTTTTAATATTCCTGGTGAAGACTTTCCTGTAGTTTCTGATGATATGTCTGTATATTCGTTATCGGTACTAAATACCGCAAATGCTTTGTTATTGGAGGGAACAGATTTTACAAGCTCATCTGACAATGGTGTTCCTACAGGATCAATACCAGATGCTTTTAAAGATGCTAATATCGTAGCTTTGGACAAAAATGGAAATGAACTTTCAATAATTTTGGATGATAACAGTACAATGGAGAGAAAAATGAATCAATCAGTAAGATCACAAAATGCAATGGAAGACGCTGAAACTTCAATTGACGAAATGAGTGAAACTTTGGATAAATGTGAGAGCAGTTTAGAAAAATTTTTGCAAAACAAGAAAAATGAAACACAAAAGAGAAAGCAATCAGTCAGCTTAAATTCTCCAAGTAAAGTGGCAAAAAATGAAACACAATCTCCAAGCAGTCCTGCACATGTTTACGCATCGGAATCTGAAATTTCATTAAATGAAGATCCTTTCAAAACTATATTGTCTTCATCAAACACAAATCTTAGTAGTTCATCTCATCTTATCAACACTGTTAGTGATAAGTCACAAAAGGAATCTTGTTACAAGAGTCAGAAAGGCAGGATAAGGCTTCCCACAAAGGGTATACTTTCTGAAGCAAATATACCAACAGATGATATTCTGTGTAGTCCTATCCGAAGGATAAAACTGGCATCACCAGTTTCCAGGGGTTCAGGTTTTACACGAATTCCTGCATTAGATACTAGACAAGGTGGTTCAAGAAATCTACTGTACGATCCCATGCAAAGTGAGGATGATAGCAGTGTGGAGGATTTTCCAAGTTGAAATATTTGAGAAATTAATGTGAAAATAGAAATTTTGATATCGAGTGTTCATTAAAAACACTGAGGATGACAGTTTTTTCTTCTTCACACTAATATGTAAAGTTCTGGGCACGGTCATTGTGCTATTCCAGTTGTTACATAGTTTCTTTTAATTCTAGCCAGTGCAGTGTTTTTCTGGTGTTGGTGCAATAATGACTTTCACTCTTGTACCATCAAGTTCTTACTATATATATTCTTCTGCTGATATTTTTGAGACTTATTAAAACGCAAGAGATGCTATTTCAGTGGCAACATTCTTTCTCTTGATTCTAGCCAGTGTGGTTTTCAATTCTGGCGTTGGTGTGAAAATGGCATTTACTTTTGTACCAAGTACTTACTATATTCTTCGTGCCAATTTCTTACTCTATTCTTTGTATCAAGTTCTTACTATATATATTTTTGAGACTTATTAAAACCCAAGAGATGCTATTTCAGTGGCAACATTCTTTCCCTTGATTCTAGCCGGCGCGATTTTTGATTCTGGTATTGGTGCAAAAATGGCTCTTACTTTTGACTTTTTTCTTTCATTTATTTCTGTACTACTATTTGTGAGACTTTAAAACCTGTTATGTGACTGCTGGAACCATTTACCGAACCTTCGAATTGGTATGCGATCATAATCGCATGCCAAACTTTGACGTTTAAACTCATAAAGACATTCTTATAGAACTAAGTTCCCAACACTAACCCATTGTTAGGTTACTACTGAAATCACTGAGATCACACAACCGCTGAGATAGCATTCTAAAGTGGCATCAATCAATTATTATCGATACAAATAAAAATTAGATATTACTTATTTCTATGATTTTCCAAAATTCTTTTTTTCCAGTTATATATTGCAGGAAGTGTACAAATACCATTGGAAATTATTTGTGTGTACACAGATTTATTACATTTTTTAGTGTATAATATAATCTCATCATTCTCGCCTCGTATTTGTATATGTAATTTGTCAATTTTGGAATTGTAGCCAATATTTTAACTGTAAACGATCACTCTTTTTATAGTTTTACTATTCTGAACAGTGTTAACTGTTTAGTCCTTTTTAAAGGCAGGTATTAATATTCATATCTTGTTCCTCTCATTTTATTGATTGTTATCAATGCACACGTTAACAGTTTTGAATGCACACTTTCTTTATATATATTTTTGTATGTTTTTCTATTGGTAGGTATGTTACAATCACGTGCTAAATATCCAAACAAAACTGTGATAGAACCTCGTCACGACAGTTTGTGCTGAGTAAACCTTTCTTCATTGTTTATTTCTTTCAGCAATTTCATTATGCTTTGAATTTCTTATTTCTAATAAAGGTCAAAACTATATTGCTTAGTCATTTTATTTATTTCCGCCTGCATGGGGTAAAATTTCCGCGGTACCATGAAAGTAAAACAATAAGGGCAGTGCTGTTCAGATTGCAACGCTCAATGAATGCATTCTCAAGCATATTGCAATGGTTTACAACCTGTTTCGACTGGCTCATTCATAGGGTTTTGTTTTATTAATTTTCAAAAAAAAAAACAGTTTGTTTCAAAACAAGGGCTTGTTAAAAAAAAAACATTTTGTAATTTTTATTGAATATTAAGAAGAGGCATTATTCTATGTTTTTCGGAAAACAAGGATAAAAGCCTAATTGGAGTTTTATCTTGAAAAAGTTTTATATTAACAGATATTCTCGGCGATGACGATTTCAAAGGGGGTCTTACTACTTACTGAATAGAGCGCGAAAAACATAGAAAAACGAGAAACATCGCAGAAGAGGGAAACATTTTTCTTTCATTATTTATTAGCGTCCGTGGAATTTTAAACAATTTGATGGGAAACGGAATACAATAGTAGGAAATGATCACGAGTTTATATCAGTAATCTTCAACATCTTTAAATAACCAAACATGACGCACCCTAACCTGGTACACATACTGTGTTCAGGATGTGCGCCGTCTTGGTGCACATACTTCATGACGCACCCTAAGCTGGTACACATACTGTGTTCAGGTTGTGTGCCATCTTGGTGCACATACTTCTGGAGCTCCAAAATTTCTTGGATTTGCCTCTCGGTGTGCTCATAATGCGTCATGTTAGGTTGTTTAAACATGTTGAAGATTGCTGATACAAACTCGTGATCATTCTTTACTACTATATACTGTTTCCCATCAAATTGTTTGAAATTTCACGGACGCTTATGAATAACGAAAGAAAAATGTTTCTCTTTCTTCTGCGCTGTTTTGCGCTCTATGGACCTTTCCCCGACCTTTGACCCTCGGAAAATTCTTCTTCTGGGCTATTTGATGAGTGCTAAAGCGAATTGGCGCCTGTAAAATGGGGTATGTGTTTCAAACCATCATTATGATTCATCGCATACAACAATCTGTTTTTTAAAAGAACCGGTAAAGAATTTCAGGCTAGTCTATCACAGCTATTTCTACACTTATTTTTATTACTGCAATTAAATTAAAACTCCTAGGAAGACATAGTGATCATTAAATTATCTGATTTTTAATTAAATTTCCGAAACACAACTGAAAACTAACGAATAGAGTTCAAAAACGTGAAAACGAGATAATGTTTAAAACCACGCTTGTAAATCTGTCTGATCAATGACATTAAACAACATGATGCGCAACTCCGGCATTTTTGTCCGAAGATCGTATTCGATAGCACGCTCCAATGCACATACTTGACGAGACGAAAACGAGCGGATGTGTGCTGCTTTCATGGCGTAGCACGAATGGTGTTCGTGCCTGCTTTGACAGTTGTTGTCGATTTTAATGATATTTTTGAAAGTTGGGGTAAAAAGAAATCGGTAAAAGAAAATCGGTAAAAGCCACGAATGCTTGTAATTTTCTGACTAAACCCTTTTATTAGTTGGTTTATATACCAAATTCAGTAAAATATTTTTTAAATAAAACATGAGATATTGGATTTATTAGCTTTCCATTCTGAATCATATAGACTGCTTTATTTATTCTTAACGAAAATTAATAAATCTCCTCTCTTTCTTCAGATGTGAAAGTTGTGGACAAACCTGTCTAAGCATTGTGAGACTCTTGCAGCACAAGAGGCAATAGCAGAAATAGTAAGTATATCAATCAAGAAATTAAGCCGACATAAAGCAAAACTTTCAACTATTCGTCTAATCTCAATTTTCTAATATTTATTCACAGGACAACTATAGCAGACGAGGAGATATCAGAAGTCTGGCGACATATCAGTGACAGTGTGATTCCAAGAAATATAATGCAATTGAAAATAGAAAATTGCAATAGAAAAACAACCTATGGAGGCATGCAAAGACATTTGACCCTCCGGTAGAGTTGTGTATGGCCCCCACATCCTGCAGGGCTTGAGGAAAATAACTAAAAATTCCAAAGCGTAAGATTGCATAAGCAGTCTTATTTGTAAAAAGGCACAAAACACGCCAGACATACTTAAAACAGCTTTGGAAATGAGGATTACGGGTACCTCACTGCACCTGTGTTATATTTGGTTCATCAACTTTTGGTAGTACTATAGAAGAAATTCCGGAAGGGGTATAATCATCATTCATGATAAAATACTATCATATATTTTTTGAACAACTTCAATCTAGACCAGGGATCTTAAACTCGCGGCCCCAGAGAACTTCCAGTGCGACCCTCGAACGCTTAACAATAATTGTAATAGTATTTTGGAAGTTTTTTTTTATCTAAATGTAATAGATTTTTCAAACCTTCCAAAGTGAAATTGATTATTCACACAGAAAACAATTTACTGAAAGTAGTTTTGGAATATTAATTTTTTTTGTCCACATTTTGACCCAATTAAGAATACACATCAAGCTAGCAAAAGAATACTTGAATAAAACACTTGAGTAATTAAATTAAACGCAAAGTACATGAAGAAGGTGGCATTTTCGAAGAAAATGGGAGTTGTAACATTTCTGCTCTTCACAAAATTCTGAAGCACATTGTTTAATTTGTCATATTTCCATCAATACAATCAAAAAACACAATAAGCTCAGCAGTCAATATGACAAATTCGAAGACCAACTTCGAACAGAAAATTTCCATGTGTTTGTATATTAATATAATTATACAACGAATTAGTTACTAAAAATCAATATCAATAATAATTCAAGCAATCCTATGCCACGCAATGTAGTGCGAAATGTCTTGTCGAAAAAATCTGTCATTTGTTTTTTTACTGATCTATACATGAAATGATAAAAATAACTCTTTTGCATTACTGGAATTAATTAAACATTCGTAAAGATCCAGATAAACCCATGATCGTGTGGCCTCGTTAGTTAGAGTTGGTACTATAAAATCATTTCAGACTGGCCTTAGTATGCTGGTGACACAAAAAAGATGCCAAACGCCAGGACAAATGTAATTATTAAAACATTGAGTTTATACTGTAGTATTTTTGTTAATTTTAGGTTCATATATTTAGATTAAGTTATTTTTAGTGTATGTATTATTCTTTCCTTATTCAAAGCTTGTTCAAAAATGATTTTGATGGTTGTACATAGAATTTTACGATTTTTTTTAATAAATACTGTAACTTGCAAATGTTGCAATAATAGTGGAATGCAAATATTAATATGTAATTGCATTTGAAATTGAAAAAAATAATAAAACTTAATCCAACTGTTTAGTTGCATCACAATATATGTCACAAACTAAAACTATCTTAAAAATATCTTTTGAGTATACATTATCAAAAACTGTTTGCGGCTCTTTTTACAATTTTCAAAATTCCAGCACAGTTTTGTATGACACCCTCTTTAAATGAAATTTCAATGATTAAGCGCAAACATTAAAATTACTAACTTTGAACTTTGTCATTATCTGCAAAATGTTCCACACAAATCTTTCCGCTATCGCGTTTGTAATCTTCTCTGATAAAAAAAAAGTCTATGATGTCCAGAATTGCTCTTTACAGCTCGCCTGTTATTCCAGCTTTCCAAGTAAGCAAAACTTCTTAGATATAGAGATTATTTTGTTTCGTTACAGGCGCAAAAAGGCAGGTACTACACGTAAAAAAGACGCCGAGTAGCAAAAGCGAGCGGAAAACGGACGCGAAAGGCGACGAGAAATATGTGCATTGGAGCGTATCATGAAATACAATGTTTTGCCTGTAGTCTTATGGAGTGACGTCAGAGTTGCCTATCATGTTGTTTAATGTCATTGGTCTGATTGAGAAAAGTGTCTGAGCGGATGCGAAAAGAGGGCATTGTTACGTCACTTTTTGCATCTGGCTGATTGGCCAGTAAGACCGTTTCAAACGATCGAAATGACGGCGGTCGTGTAAAAATCGGTCGAAATCTTTTGGACGTGCAGTAAGCACCATTTAATTAAAACGCATGGTCAATATTACCTTGTGACATAGAATATAAGCGGAAATAATACAATACCGTGAAATCAGCTAACTTCGGATGATTTCACTATATTTTAATCAATAACTCTGCCGTTTGTTGTCCAATTCAAACTTGAAATATATTACATTGATGCAATTCTCTGCATCTGCGTATAATTTTCTCGAAGATCGGATCATTTTGTCTGTCTTAATTGTCTCATTTTCTGTGATCTGTCACTACGCAAATAAATATCTAACTTTGGATGGTGAATCCCCTCCCTGCGTCACCGCGACATAAGCGAAAAGTGCGTGCGTGAAGACAAAACACGCTTTACTTCGTTGCGTAAATGCCAGATGTTCAATCCACGTCGCGAGCGACGATGATAATGTCGACCGTAGTCTTTCCGGCGCGGCACTTTCAAGTTGTTTTTATACTAAAATGTCTCGTTTTTGGACACGTAGTGGACATAACGATCGTTTCAATATTATGTTGTTGTTGTTGTTGTTGTTGTTCTTGTTCTTGTTCTTTGACACGTTTTTAAAAAGTCGCTTTTCTCTTTGATTACTGGACTAATTGCTTTGAAATTTTCAGTGGTTGAAGATGAAATTTTTCTCCAGAAGGCTATTACTTTTATTTATTTCAAATATTTCTGTTAGCTCTGTAAGATTTGTTTTTGTTTGCTATGACGTCACTAAACGTTCTGCGGATATCGGACGCCATTTTGTGTCCAACGGACCATCTTGCAATTTCAATTCACGCTGTCACAAGACAGGAGTTCTGGTACCGTAACACAGCGCGGTGACACTGAACTAACTCGTAGCTGTCAAAAGCTTGAAAATCCATACAAATATGAGAAATAAAAAGATGAAACTTGGCAGGTGGGTAGAGTTGTGTTTCTTTTACCATATTTGAAAGTTTCGCGTTTCTACATTTGAAGGAGGGGGAATAGGGGGTGTGCATTTCCGATACGTCGATAATATCTTTGTCAACCAATTTGCGGCCACCGTGTTTTTGTCTGTTTGATTGCTGTGATGTGGTGCTTTGTTTATAATTTAACGAGTTTTGTTCGAAATAACCGTGTTCTTGAAATATATGACGGTCAGAAATGCAATTAGAAGCCCAATGTTTTCACGCTGTCACAAGACCAACAATTGTCAACCAATTTGCGACCACCGTGTTTTGTCTGTTTGATTGCAGTATGGCTGCGTATGCCATAGTCTCGACGCAGCATAAACAATGATCAAGGCTTGAAATCCGTGGTCGCACACTGGTCGCAAATACGTCTTTCGAGTGCCGTACTTTGGGGATTTGTATAGCTTCAACCCTTTGTCGTAGAAAGTGAATACGAGGTTTAGCGTGTAGAATAAATGCCGCCAATGCACCCACGGTGAAAAAATTAACGGGTTAGATATATTGGTTTTTGTTTTATAGCGGTTTGAATGAAATTGCCGCAGACTGGCTACACCACCCTAGGCCTGGTGAGTTGTCCGTGTAGTCGAATTGTCCATCAGCCCTAAACGGCTATGACAGTCACTGTACCAAAAATTGTACCCCGATTCGGCTGGTGTTAAGTTGACGCATGTTATTTAGTAACGTTTTTATCTGAAATGTTTGACTGTGGTTCGGTACCTGATCCGATAATACGGTACATAATTGACTCATATCACGAGATATTTCAACTGATGTTTCAATTGTCACAGGACAGTCTATGACAGTCCCTGTACCGTCACGGTACCCCGATACAGGTACTGGTAAGTCACCGCCGGTATGTTAGTCGTTGGTCACCGCATATGATTTTTGGGGAATTGTTCTGCGTGTCCATATATTTGAGCATTGCTCTCTTGTATTTTCTCTTATCGTAACTTTAGATCCGAATATTCACCGATCATAGCCGATAATGTTTAGATAGCGTTTTTTACACTCCATACCATATATAGTCGCGCGATACCGGTTTATGTTATTAAGCATGCCCATGACCGGATTCTCTATTAAATTACCTATTGAAATATCGGTCGTGCATAAATCACGACAAAACACCGATTTGGCAATTGGCAACTTTATTTAAATTACTTTCGTTAAATACACGAAACGGAACTCATTTGCAACAATGATTGTTGTTATTTATCGCTGGTTATATATTTTTATATTTACGCAATATTTCTCGACTGCTCACAATTTTTCTATTTTGACCCATGTTGCCGCTCCAAATGGAGGAATTTGAAATCGTCAAATCGAATGAATATGCTTTCCGTTAATTGCCATTTTCAATAAAATTTAATTGAATCACATTTCCAACACTTGACGCCATGAATTTACGATCAACAGAAAACTGTTGATGCTTATATTTTAGCCGACATTGATCCAATCGAACAGAATATCGTTGTTACTTTCAAATCTACGCCAACTCGTCAGCGCCCGAATGTCTGGCATCAAATCTGTAACGGCGACGCAACATGACGTCGTCTTCGAAGCGAGCGACGTCAGAATGACGTCAAGTTCAGCGTGTGCGTCAGATGCTATTATTGTGATAAAAAAATAATCGAATTTCAATTATTTATCGGTTCTCCTACGACATCTCGTGATCAGTCTAATTTCTATATACATTGATAACGCCCTCTATCGAATGTCGGTATTTTGACGAAGTTCATCAGTAGAAGTCACCATTTTGGGTGCATTTGAGCCGCTAGAAAACGGAGTGTCAATATTAGGATAGGATGCTACAACGCGATTTTTTTAATCAAAAAATAAATTAAACTGCGCGATTGAATATGATAACAGATTTAGATATATAAGGACTTACTATAGAAACTGCCAGAAGCACAATATGGCGCAATTTAGTCGAGATATACCGTAAACGATTGAAAATTTGGGGGTCTAGTACCGGTGCCGGTATAGTTTAGGGGTCTGGTATAGTTTAGTACCACCTGGCTCCACAATTTTTGCATATGTCAATCCTAACCCCCACCTAACCACGTCACCGAAAAACGTCATTTCGACGTCACAGTGGCGTAATAGGCCCACCTAAGTATGCCGATGGTCGTCCAAAACGCGCAGACGATCACCCGAAATCGAGCAAGCTATTTCTCTCGTTAGCCCGCCACAACGATCACGATAGGAGAGATAGGATAGGATAGGATTTACATATTTATCCCGGGGGAGAGGAAAGCCGATAAGACGGCTTATTCATATGGCCAACCACGGCCTCTCGTCCGGTTACCATTCCAAGTCGGGTATGGGATTAGATTTACTGTATTGTTTGTTTTCGGAAGCATGGACTTGGTGGTGGAGGAAGCCGTAACCGACCAGCGGTTACGTGAACCACCCAACGACGGCGAGGAGTCCAGCAATCCTCTCGCACATAACCATCCCTGCATGGGATTCGAACCTGCGAACCCACGCAGAGTGGTTAGAGGTGCGGTGGCGAGCGTATTCCTAACGCTTAGCCCGTTGAGCCACACCGCCGCGCGAGATCGCCGGCGTTATCGAGTTCGTTATCGGCGGCGCATATGCTATTTCGGACGATGTTAATTATACTTTGGCAATCCCTATGACGTGCTCGTGAGGTCGTAGTGACCTAATTTTTGGATGGCATAGTCAGGTGGGGGTTAGGAATAGCATATGCAAAATTATTGCTACGCCCACCGGAAGTACTTGTGGTACTAAACTATACTAGACCCCAATTTTTATAGTTTGAAGGGCCTTAAGTATAAGTATAAGTTTATTTCGACTCCATAATCAGCAATAGACGATAAAATAATAGATAAAAACAATTATGCCTTATTACTGTATTACCTGACTGTGACTTAATTTTTAAATGAAGCTGTCAGGTCAGCAGGTGGGAGTTAGGATTGACATATGCATATGGGCTTGGCGGTGTGGCGCATCGTGCTAAGCGTTAGGAATACGCTCGCCACTGCATCTCTGATTACCCTTTGTGGGTTCGCAGGTCTGCAGGTTTGAATCCCATGCGGGGATGATCATGTGTGAGAGGATTGCTGGACTCCTCGTCGCCGTGGGGTGTTTCATGTAACCGCTGGTCGGTTACGGCTTCCTCCACCATCAAGTCCATGCTTCCGGAAACAAACAAATTACTAACTAATCCCATACCCGACATGGAATACTGGAATAGTGACAGGACGAGAGGTCGTGGCTTGCCATATGGTTAAGCCGTCTTATCGGCTTTTCTCTTCCACAGGATAAATATTTAAATCCTATCCTTGTTATGCATCGCCCGCTAGAACAGAAGTACCGGCACTTGAGGTACGAAACTACACTAGATTCTGGTTTAGTTTGCTCTCTTGATTCTATAATCAGTTTTATATATTTTTGTTTTATCAAAAATTTTTAATTTATCGTCTATTATGCTGGTTATTGAGTCGAAATAAACTTATATTTATAATAATACTGTCCAACCCTGTTTTAAGATTGTGACTTCAGCATCTGATTACTGGATTAGGTTTGAAGTAAATCTAATTTTATTTAATATAGTACCAAGTACTATAACGTAAGATTTATTTTTCCTAAATCACTTACAGATTTATTTCAATATGTATAGTTTTGTGTAAATATCAAAATGAGTGGCTCAAGATATAGAAGCTTTCAATCAAGAAACGGAACTAGACGTATTCGTGAAAATGCTGGAGATACCATTCCTTTGGATATCACACAGGATCCTTATTTATTGCTTATGACAATTTTTCGAAGTATTCAAAGCAAAGGAAGCACTGCAAAAACTCTGCCACATTTGAACAATTTGATCAAAATACTATGCAATCGTGAAGACGCGACTTCTAAATTTTTAATTGAAGATATTATGATTTGTCTAAAACCAGCATTGGTTTCTGAAGTAAAGGAAGTTCGAGCAGCGTGCATTCGAGCTTTACGTTATTTAGTTAATGATGCACATTCAGTAATGCTTTTGACGAAACTTCATTTGGATAGTTTTATAATAAAATGTCTAGACATAAGTCATTTCAATGAAGTCGAGAGAATTCAATGTTTGCGTCTAATTCGAAAGATTCTTCTCATTGCAAGAATCGAACGCAGAGAAGCTGGAGAAAAAACGAAAATGTCAATCATTCCTAAATCATTTGCTTTATGTATTATGTCAATTTCTGCTGATGGAGCTGTGGAAAGAGATCGTGTCTATAGAACCTGTCTTGCGATTTTATGTGAACTTGTTGTTTTAGAACCTTCATTAGTCATTGAAAATGGTGGACTACTTGTAATGCTACGTGCAGTTCTTGAATGCCATATGTACAGAAGGATTAACGAGTCATTGTGTATAAGCCTTGGATTAATGCTAAATCATCCATCCTCACGGAACCTACTGAAATTGACATTCAGTTTTAATGCGATATTTGCTCCTTATACTGACGTAATGTACCGTCTACATGCTGATGTGGAAGAATCACAAATAAGAGAAGAAAAAGAAATGAGGTTTTCCGCTTCAAAGATGGCGGTTGTTTCTGTTCTTCGTTCATGGTCTGGTCTACTTCACCTTTGTCAAACTTCTGCGATAAAATCTTTTTTAAGTACTTTGCTGATTCCTGATGCAGGTATTAAACGTGCTAATTTGTCTGTATTATTTGAAATCTTCTGCTTAAATGAACCTAAAGCTTCAGAAGATTTTATTGAATCACTTCTAAGCATTGGTCCCAGAATCTTTCAGGAAAGCTGGCAACTTACAAATATTTTTGTTGTTGGTGAAGGAAAATGGTTCCTTCCAAGCTTAAATAATGAACGATTAGACTTGACTAATTGTTATATGGCTGTGCTGCTTTCAATTTTTATTGAAGCCAATATTATACAGCGTTTGGTTTCAGTGGTTATGGGTCCTGATGAATGTGCCTCTATAATTGCTTGTATACTTCTAGGGAAAATTTTAAACCTTTCTGATAAATTACATTCTATGCCACAAACGGCGGAATTATGGATGACTAGTGCTTCATCTGCTTGTAAAGAATGCTTGCCAGATCTAATGAAACAAGCAACTTCACAGAGTGTGAGTAAAGAAGAGCGTTTACGTGCAAGTGTTGCTGTAGGTAGGTTAAGAAAGATACATAATTTTCTTAAAAATCGACCAGCGATGCATACAGTATATTTAGATGAGTTATTGCTTCGGGTCAAAGCTGCTGAAAAAGCATCAACAGAGGCAACCCAAGTGGAATCACCAGTTAGGCCTGGCTCTTCTATATCGCTGCGACGCCTCACTGTAAACCATGTTGAAGACTCGGATGAGCCCATGACAACATTATCAATTCGTAGAAACAGATCCCTTACAATTGTGCGTAACTTCGCTAGCGAACAGACATCCACAAGAATAAAAGACACACAAGTCATTGCAGAAAGGGACTTCACTAAGTGGGATTGGGAAGCAATAACATCATTTCTTGTTGAAGGGTGGTCTAAAAGGATGGCTAACACAAGGGAATCTCATTATATTGGCTCTGATGATACAGAATACCATTTTATCAAACGACTTGTTACTTTTTATATTCCGATTGATGGAGAATTCTACAAAGTTGATAGAGCAAGAGAGGGCGAGGGAGATAAACCTCATGTGCAGTCAGGTTGCCATTTGGTGAGATATTTATCAACTACAGCTGGAGAGGGAATGAAACTATTATCTGTTTTGTTGAAAGGCATCGTCGAATATTTGGCAAAACTTATAAAAGATACAGACGGTATGAAAAAGGCAACAAGCACTTTCTTATCCAGTTGTGCAAGGGACTATTTTCTCTTGCTCGGAGCATTAACAGTTTGGCGCCATGGTAGTGAAATTTTGCGCAAGAATGGAGTGTTTGATTTTTTTACGTCACTCGCAAATGATGAAATTCATGAAAATTTATTAAAACTTGTAATATCAAGTTTATCTTTTTCTGGGGAAAGTCTGAGTTACTTTTTCTTGAAGCAAGTTCTTGTAACTTGTAATGAAGCAGCAAGATTGTATGCAACTTGCTATTTACGAATATTACTTAGAGCTAAAATGCCTGGATTTATCAATTGGGGCGTTCATTTACTAATAACACAACTTTATGACTCGAGCCAAACTGTTGCCACTGAGGCACTTGATGTTCTTGATGAGGCTTGTGCTGATCATGAATACTTGAACGTTGTTGTTGGTCTTCGTCCCGGTTTGCTACATCTTGGTGAAAAAGGAGCGCTGCTAATTTGTCGTTTTGCGTCTCATCCGCTGGGTTTTGAGTATCTTTCTGCAAATAAATATCTGTTGAGAGAGTTGGACCGATGGTGGGATTCTGCCAATGATCTCTATGTATCGAGAGTAGAAGAACTGTTGAATATCTCACTAACATGCTATGAAAAACCTACTCAACAAGGTGGGTTTGTGCGACGATCAGGAATTAAGAAAGTTGTCCAGCCTGTTCATGTTCCTTCACATTTATATGGAGAGTTGAGCCAACATGAAAGAGGATGCGAATTACTTGAAAAAAGGAATATTGTTCCAAGATTAGTTCAAAAATTACAGGATGGTTTGCACATCCATGAAGCCTTTTGTGGAGATGTAGATAACTTTGAATTTAATTTATCTTCATACCAAAAGATAGCCGAACACTTGGTTCAAATAAAAAGCAGTTTATGGGCCTTGTGCCATATTGGCAGCAGCAGAATCGGACTTGAACTCATAAAAGATCTTGGTGTGTTGGAGGTTTTACAAGATCTTGCGGAACATTCTCCTGTGTATTCAATTCGTGGGACATGTTTTTATTGTATGTCTGTGCTTGCTCAAACTGTTGCTGGCACAGAAGAGCTAAAAAAATTAGGATGGCTGAGTACGCTTAAAAAAGTTTGGTCTGGATCAAATCCAAGCGAATCTGAAATTGAACTTGAGACAATGATGAAATCATTATCACCGTTCAAAATAACTAGTTCCATATCCGAGAGATTGAATTCCTCTGCAGGAAGTGAGAGTTCTCGATCAGCGTTGTCATCCATGGATGGTACTTCTAGTGGTAATAGTGCAGGAAAGATCATAAAAGACGAAGATCGGTTATCAAAAACATCCGTTTCTGAGAGAAGTACAAAAAAGAGCGCAGATTTTCTTTCGGCAAAATCTCCACAAATCCATTCTTCACCTAAAACGTGCTCAAAATGTTTAAATACTGTTACTAAATCAATTCTTAGTTGTAGTTTTGAAAGCATTTTTTGCCAATTCTGTGGTTCTAATAATGATTTCAAATCTCATGTTCAAATTGATATTGCGGAAAGTATTCGACCCAAGATGGAGAAAGTTTTGTCTAATTCAAGCCCTGCGTTACCAGACTTGGATTTTATGGATGAACGGGTATATATTGAAAAACCTGCTATTATTGTCGATTATGTCAATGGAAGGAAGAATCTACCAGATGAACCTTGGTGTTTTAACAAAATAGAAAATGTTTCTGCGATGAAATATGTTGTGGAACAACTCAATAGATATAAAGAATCGAGAGTTCTTTTTCGAAGTGAAAGCGTTGGCGACCGAGCTATGGTTCCGATTTCTGAATCCGTGCGACAAACTATTGAAGAAAGTATGACTTTTGTTGGTATTGCTGTACCAAAAGATTTCAGTCAGTTTTTTGAATCAAAATCATCACAGTCTGGTGCTGGTGGGCCTGTGTTACCAGTTGTACACCGGTTTAAAGAAAAACATTACTACTCAAAACAAACAAAATATTTCACGGATTCTTCATTAGATGACTCAAGGTCTCCTGCTAGTGTCAAAAGCACAACCGCAGCTTTTCTGGATGATGTTATTTTGTCCGATGGAAATCACAAAGAAACAATACATCGAGAAATCTTGAAACTTGTTGCCAGTCTTGGAAGCTCAGTTGGTAACAAAATGAACGAAACTGCACTTTTGGTAATGAAAGAAAAGTTTCCGAAGATGTTCGACTCAACTTCGCTTTTTTATGCAATATCTGCGATTTTATCACAGTATAATTTTCGTTTGACTGCCAGGAGGTTTATTCAAGAACTCTTTCATGAAGTCACTTTTGTGGAAGTTTTTGAAGAAGCTAAAAGTGTTTTACATAAATATGAACAGAATGTGGAATAATGTTATTTCTTCGATATTAAATGGTAATCATGAAATTATAAAAATAAATGTATGTACTGCCCTTGAATTTGAGTAAATAAGAATGAAATTGCAGTTTTAAATAAGGACCTTGACGTTAGTGTTAAATGCCCAGCTCCTACCTATCCCATTATACATTTATATATATATATATATACCAAGGGAGAGGAAAGGGTTATGAAACTGCTGATCTCTGTTGTAACCATGACCTGTCAGAAACCCACTTGCATGAGCAAGCCGTGGTTCGCCGTATGGTTAAGCTGCCTTTATAGGATTAGAATTTACATATTAATCCCGGGGGAGAGGGAGGCCGATAAGTAAGAGTCGAAATATACTTATCGTCTTTCATCTCCCCCGGGATAAATATGTAAATCCTATCATGTCAAGTGGGTTTAAACCTGCGAATCCACTCAGGGTTAGGGCTAGTTGTATTATAAATGAGTTCATCACCGCCTTCTGATATCTTTGTCGCGTTTTTTAATTACTGTATAATTGTGGAGATTTTAGTTGAAATTCCACTCAATTTGGCACAACTTCAAACTCCGCTTTCATGGGGTAGTTGGCACGGAATACTAGTGGAATAAAAGGCGGTTAATTTGCGAGTCGAAGGAAACGTGCAAAATTTTTTTTGAGTCCAGCTGCCCTTTCGCGCACAATTATCTCCATTGGTTGGAACCTGGGAAGTTGATCCTAGGTGCTATAAAAGCGTGTTCCGCACCAACCGCCGTTTTTACTATTGCTCTTTTTGTGGGAGGCCAGTCTGTCACATTTCATGATCATTTATTTAATATTGATTATTTGTACAATACACATTGTAAAGCAAAAAAACTTTCTGCGATGACATGTCTCCAATATCAAATCTTTGCTTTCTTCGGCTAATATTGTAGCAATACATTCAAAAGCTCAATATATACAAAGCTTCCAAATTAAAATAAAGGTCTTGGTGAGCAGACTATACGACGAGAATCTGCCAATTCATAGCGAGAAGTTTCAATTCTTGAGCTTTTGTTCTTCATCTCTTTTTTTACTCTTATCCTGAAAAAAAATAAAATAATTATTCGGTAAAACACACTATTTTACCAATCATTATTATTTTAACTATCAGTGGAGGTTACGTGGGACCAACTCCCAATCCTTTCTCTATGCTTTTCGCTAGTGTATCCGTATGCGTAATGCAAGGATGCTGTTGCAGGAATAAAAATACCATAATATGCAATTTAAGAATCCTGCTGCACACTAACTCAAAAAATATATTTCTGTAACGTTTGGTCTGACCGAAATCAGACTTCCTCAGACAAGCAGTTCACAACACAGAACAATTGCTCTTTTCGTGTCATTGTTGTAAACTGCTTGTCTGAGGAAGCCTTATTATTTCAACGTCAAATTTGGGTTATTTGTAAAGTGACTTTAAAATTTTTTTATCAGTTTTTATATACCTGAATCTTTTTACTATCAGTAGCTTGTAATGGTATAGCGTCATCAAGTTCAGTGCCTGAACAAAACGAAGCGTATTAAAACGACAAATCATACAAAGGTTTAGTTTGCAGATATAATTATTTCATTATTTTTTTTAAATGCTAATTTATATACAAGATCGGTACTCCCGTATGGTGTGTACCAGGTTAGGGTTCTGCCGATTTTCGTTATTTTAGTTCTACTACGAGTTCGGGGACTGCCTGTTTAGCCAGGTGAATACCCTATACCCCTGCTCACAGGTACTTTTACACAACTTGATGTAAAGTAGGCGAACAAAATTAGTTACCTCCATATTGATACACACACTTCTGGATCGCCACAAGATCTATGGGAGAGAGTACAAGTAACTGTACGCCAATGATGAATATTGGTAAATCTGATTTTCTTATAATTCCGAAGATAATTTCATTTTCGGCGATATTTGATAAAATATTCGTTAAATATAAATCATAATCTTACGCATCATACTTACGCTTTGTAGACGAACCAAATCTTGAAGAAAATCGTCTTCCCCATTCTTGAATTATTTGAAATCGTTTCAATAGAACATCTGGAATTTCCGTGTATAGAAACGGATTTAATGCACTGTTGATAGGAATCAATATTGTTCCTACCGGTACATAGAGCTCGGTTCGAATGGGAATACCTGTGAGCAGAGCAAGTACGGAGGGTGTTCATATTCAGTAATGTAAAATAAAAAGTTTCAAATTATTCGAAATGAATGCTCATTATGTCGCTAGATCTAAGTAAACCGGAACATATGAAAATGATTTAAAATTTTAAAACACGATAAGCCGTGTTTTCGCTTTTTCCATGTATTTTTCGCTGCATCATGGCATTTGGCCTGAATTGTGAATAAAAGAAAGACTTCTTTGCAATAGAAAGCTACTTTGGACGGAAATATTGAGTTATTTGTTTTTGAATTTAGAAGCTGTGTCGTGCTTGTATCAAGACAAGTGTTTTCCAACAGGATGTCCATATTCGGACAATTTCATAAAAATTTTGTTCGTAATCAAAAGTGGATAATATATATCTTTAGTTTTTTATTTTTATTTTTTTTTTATCATGGCCACTTGTTATACCGCAATGAATCTTGTTATGCTGAAAGCTTGGGAATAAACGGACAAAAGCCCGACACATATGCGATATTCTCAATGTCCAACGTGTTTATAGAAATAATTTAACGTTACCAAATAACTGGAGAAGAGCCATCAGACATATTGGCATCCAGCAGAGAAAATCTGTTACTACGATCCGTGTCACTTTTCTTTGAAGTGCGACAGCCCTTGTTTTTGATGCCGTTGACGATCCAGCAATCTTTGTTTTGGTAGATTTTCTAAATATCAATCAAAGATAATCTGTTTGCGTTTTTTTTCTATTATTATTCTTCTTTCCAATTTTAATATTTCGTATTTTTGAATAGTATTTTTGATGTGCAAAACATTTCGATGCTACTTTAGTATGCGATCTCAGCGCTTTCGTGAACTCAATGATTTTAGTATCAACATAACCTAACCCACCGACGACAGGGTTAGAAACTGAATTCTATGAGATTAACGCAAACCAAAGTCGCACCAATTGTGGGATGATTGAGATAACGTTTACTTAAGCAAGCGAGATCACGTACCAAAGTATTTTTATGACGCCGATATCGCCTAAGAAAGTTGCCACAACATTTCTTTGCTTTATTCAAACTCTCCTAACAAAAATGTAAAAATTTTGAGAGTCATAGTAATATTTCGTTCCATATATTATAATCTTTTGATGCAACATGTCTCACTAGGGTGGGAATTCCCAGGGAAGAATTTTGGAACAAAGGAACAGTTTAGTTTGGTAATATCATTTAGTTTTTTAGCACTTTTGTTATGCATAATCTCGGATCATTCTAAACTATCCAAACTGGGCAAAAATCAGAGTGCGTCTTGCGAATAATACGCACTTGCTAATTGACATTAGAAAAGATTGAATAAATACGGAAACGTAGTAGCCTATATATTTATGCATATTGATCGGGGGTAAAGAGTTTCAAATAGAGGAATTTAGCGAAAAAAGTTTGGAACCATTGATATAAGTAGATCATAGATCAAACTACTACTTACATGTAAATAATCAAGTAGCCAACAAATATATAGATAAATGCACAAAAATTTATCAGAATGAACATGAGAGAATATCCCCAAGCTGCGTCGTTGGATGGATCAGGAAACAGTCTTGGAAGACAGACACCATGAGACGAATAAAATCCGAATCGACGTTCGGGAATATAAGCTGGATTTAGATTTTTGACCAAATTTTCCAGCAAAGTCCAACCAGATCTGAAATAAAGTGAAAATTATAATTGTTGTTGAAATTACTCACACGAATGACAGTAGTTAGAATGTTAAACGCAATTTTGTTTGAATTTGGCGATAGTATGAATGGAAAGTTGTAGAGTGCCAATCGTGGAGAGTGTCAATTTTGAATCGTATTCGGCCCGCGAAACGAGTTTTTAATTTAGTGCAATCTGGTACGTGCGAATAATTCCAACTTCTTTGCGCTACGAAGCCTATACTCGAGTCCAATTATTATCTATGCCTATGATGTTACAATGCCCCAAATTTTTGTGCCTACAACAACTAGCAAGCCCGTGTTAAATAAAGGTGGGGCCCGCGGTTTCACCAAGTTATTTGTATCTGGTCCTCCTGTATTAAAGGTTGCACAACCCTGATATAAACCAAAAATCAGCTCGGAGGTGTGGTGCATCGTGCTGAGCGCTAGGAATACGCTTTTCGCCGCATCTCTAATAACTCCCCCATCAAGTCTATGCTTCTTAAACGAATAACTGGCAAACTAATCCCCCACCCGACACGGACCGGTAACCGAACCATGGTCCGTCTTGCGATTAAATCCGTCGGCCTTTTTCTCCTCGAGATAAATATGGAAATCCTAAATTACCATAACACCAATGTTCTAGAAATTATTCATTTTTTTTGTATAAAGTACTGTAAATGTGCTGATTGGTGTAAATTAAACATACGAGGTTGATGAAACATTCAGCATTGTCAATAATCTTTCAGTTAACACAGGAACGTCTTCTCGGTTAATTGTTGTTACAAATGTGTTCTGTGAATACCTAGAGAAAAAACAGAAGGTTTTGTGTTATGGGTACATCCACGGTGTTTTTCCGTGACGAAAAACGAATAATAAAGATCGTGAATAGAGTCGGGTGTGAAAGCTATTTTACGGCTTATGAATATCTAAATTGGATGCAACAACAAAACGAAATAGCAGGGATGTTATCGATTACTCAATATTGTAATCCTTGCGTACTCATTGAGTTATCGTGATTTTTATTCGTAGTTGGGTTTTACAAAAGTCGATTTGCAATTGATTGACACTTATTTACCAAAAAACTTCTGTGAAATAGTCGCTTGCCGAAGGTACAATGGGAATTATCGATAGAATGATTGAAACAATCCATCCCAGTGCCATACACATCAAAACTGATCTTGCTCGAGTTCTCGACATAGGCCTGGAAAAATTACAACAGAGTTTTAGTGTTAAATAAATACTACCAATTCGACTTGAGTTTTATTTTCTGCCTCAAGTGTAAAAATTTTTATGTATTCTGATTTTTGTTGTTATTTTCCCCGAGGTTTATTGGGAAAAGTTGGATTTGCTGTTTGTAGTAAATTATATATTCTTATTCATGATAATATATTCGGGTCGTACGCAATTTTTGAAAAAAGAAAATTTTTTATTTGTAATGTTATTGTTGAAGTTTTCTTTATAGACGACCAAAGCTGTGGTTGGACTGAATCATGACTATAGGTATCGCTGACACGTTAATTCACTAGTGTACTCGCGGTTCCTCGTCTATTGCAGTTGAAAAATAAGGTACTCGCGAAGTATGTGAACCAAGATGACAAACACCGGAACGTAGTATGTGTACTAGGTTAGGGTTAGGCCATAATTTCCGGTACAAATACCACGAGAGTCACTTGGCTTGTCTCCGAACTCGTAATAGGACTAAAATAAGGAAAATGGGAATAAAATTATGGCCTACCCCTAACCAGGTTCACATACTTCGGGAGTACCAAAAATTGTAGGCCTGTTATTTTTTTTCTCCCAATTGATTTCTTTTTTTTACTTTGGCAATATTTCATGCACGACGGAAATAAATATGTGAATTATGGTCATAAAAGGAAGAAAGAGAGTCCACGATCCATGAAAGATTAAGAATCTCCAAATCTTTTACAGAGACTAACAAGCACGTATACCTCAGAACTGCTTTCATTCTGAATCCAGTAATGATACAGAGAGAAAGCACAGATTGTTCTGATCCTACTAAAAGCATAACTCCCAACATTGAACATTCAGGGGAACTTCTCCATCTTTGATCTTCCAGACAATATCTGTTTTCGCTCAGCCTGATGTTTTGAATTGATATAGCACTTGTATATAACTGTAATAAAATACGGCATTTGTTCGTCAAATATAAATCAGACTGATATATAAATTTGCTCCCGTAGTATGTGTACCAAGATGGCGCACAACCTGAACATAGTATGTGTACCAGGTTGGGGTTATCAGGTTGTGCGCCATCTTGGTGCACATACTACAGGAGCGCCACAAATTCTCGCAATTGTACACTCGGAGAAAATTACCAATATTGGATTTAGTGGGAATACATTTTCCCTATGTTATATATAATCAAAGTTCTAAGTTCTGAATTCTAATACTGATTGTTTTCAATGCATTTTTATCCCGTGAAAAGAAAACTGAGAATACATTAAATTTTTTGTTGTTGCACAATTTAATATTTCATTCAGCGAAGTGTTTGTGTAACAATCTATGTCAAACAAGCTTACTAAAAATTTGTTCCAAAATATAACACACAGTTTTAATTTTTTAATGCATTACCATCGTCAATGCGAGCGTCAAGTTATGTTAGATATGACTTTTTTATGTACCTATAGGAACAAATTGAAAAATGTAAAAAAAAATAAATAAATATAAAAGTAATGTTGAAATTGCCAATTTCTTACTCCAACAAGTAAATCCGCAATAGCCAAATTCCATACTAATATGTTCTGATTTATTTCCATTTTTGATGATTTTTTGTAGTTTGCCAATCGTTTTGTAGATATATATATAACAAGAATATTCCCCGATACTGCACATCCACCTAAAAATATTGAACATCACTATCAAAAAATAAACTATTGAAATGTAGTTTATCTATCTTGGACACTAAGTGTACATATAGATAATTGGTTCTCAAACTGGGGTCCGCAGTCGCTTAGAGGTCCGCGAAGCAATTTTAGGGGGACCGCGAGACAACTTTAACCTCGGCACAGAAGCACTTTGATTTGAAGTTAAATTTTGATGTCATGCTTCTACAGTCCCGATATCGCTAAAATGCTCATTCCATTTGCAACAACTTACGAATGTGAGGCAGCTTTTTCTAGGTTACTTGCTTATAAAACAAAATGTCGAAACAGAATGGACGTGAGGCACGATATGAGAGTTGCATTATCCAAAACAGAACCCAATGTAGAAGAACTAATGGGAGCCAAGCAGGCGCACCCATCTCATTGAACTGTTTTAAATGTTATTCAATAGATGAATGCTTGATATACCGCGTTGCTATTTGTTTAGTGGACCGCGAGTCATCAGAAAAATTGAAAGGGGATCGTTATGCATAATTTTTCAAAAAGTTTGAAAACCACGGATATAGATCATTTTGTTAAATTGTTATTGTTGTTAGCGTTCTTCATATTCTAGTTGTTGTTGTGCAAAAAATTGCTTTTCTCTGCAACTACTGGACCAATTGCTTCGCAATTCCCAGTGATTAAAAATTGTTCTATGGAATTCGTTTTCACTTCAAAGTTTTGTGCGATGACGTCATTAAAATTAGAGAATTGGGCACCGGTACCGATCCTGTAAAAAAATTTCATACTTCTTCGTTTTGGCTTTCGTGTTCATATATTTGAGCATTACTTTCTTGTTTTTACTAGCATTATTTATCAGGGTATGACGTAATTCGTACTGTATTTGTGTAAATATATCGGCCCAGATAAATGCCTTATCAATTTAGGTTATATTATTGGTTTGGAAACTTGTTTGTAAGGAGAAAATGAAATATTAGTACTCCCAAAGTACGTGAACCAAGATGGCGGACACCGGAACGTAATGTGTGTACCAGGTTAAGGTTAGGCCATAATTTCAGATACGACTTCTATAGGAGTCACTTGGCTACTCCCCGAACTATAAAATTTTGACCTAACCCTAACTTGGTACACATACTACGTTCCGGTACCGCCATCTTGGTTCGCATACTACAGGAGTACCATAATTTGTACTGTGTTTGTGGAAATATATTGACCCAGATGAATGCCTCATTCATTTATGTTAAAATAATGGTCTGGAGACATGTACCTCGTAAATGTTTTGTGATTGATCACAAAATTTGCATTGTATATTTCATTAATCATGATGAGTAAATAATTTGTTTTTGTATTTATTTAATTGCTTCATTACAGTTTACTCGTTTGCCGAAATCCCATCTAGAATTACCCATCTTACTTATCAACCACAAAAAGGGAATAATTGGCTTTGAACTGATCATTGCATCATCATCTGAAAAGATTCCAACAGTGCAATTCTGGCATTCATCAACTCCCGATTTACAATCCTCGTTACCGTCACAAACCTGTGTATTGAAAATCGTTGGTAACTAAAAAATGATATTATGCAATACAAGAAAAATACTATAGCGCAAAAGGCATTGTGGAATCATTGGGTAACTTCTACTGATAGTAATAAAATGATGTTTAAAAATTTATCTTGGCCAAGGTTATACCGCCCAAATAGAACCAAATTAGCTTTTGCCACATTTTGAAGTTTTGACCAAATCGCATTCTATAATAGTATTCTAAAACAGGACAGAATACCTAAAATAAAAAGTGAAAACCGGTATATACCTTTGAAACCCATACCAAAGGATGGTCACTGGTCCACAATGAAAGAATGAAAAAAGTTCATTTCAGAAAAATATGACATAACCTAATTTGCTTTTACTGCGGCGATATAACTGTAAAGCTGGCTGAACTTCAACTAAAATGCAGAAATATGTGTCTGTACTGGACGTGACGCTTGAGTATTTTTTTGCTTAATAAACCTAACGGAGATAAGGCCAGAGTGTCTGCACTGGAATGCCCGCTTTCATTTTTTTTTGCGTGATAAACCTGGCAGAGATAAAGCTGGTTGGTACCATATCATTTGCCGCAATAAAGCTCATATTTTGTACTCCCATTTATACAGTGGTGGGATTCAAATTTTTTGTCAGCCGGTTCTTTCACAAAAGTCACATTTTTCAGACAGAACAAACAGAACATCGACAGTAACCAGTAATGCTAATCGGTTTGCTGATCTCATAAAACCGTGAGACGGTCCTGTAGAACCGGTGCGGACCGGCTGAATCCCACTGCATATACAGTACTTCCATTTTCTTTATATATGCAAGATTTATAGTAGAAAATTCACGTTTTAATCGTACAATACTCAGATGAAACATATGTGCTGTATGAACGATATTTAATTACAAAATTTGCTATTTTTCCGTACCTGCTTTCTTCTGTCCAAATACAGCGTTGTGCCATTGTCAATGCAGTAGAAATGAGTGATGCCACAACTTTCAGATTTGTTTTCCGATATCTAGTTTCAACGGAAAAAAATATTTAAAAATTTAATATTTGAATTTGAATTTTTTTTTAATTAAAGTTTTTGAAACTGGGAAATCGGAATCCTCAATCCAATAAACAATTCATCTTCCGATCATAAAAATATATAAATTAGTCTGTACTTACAAAAAAAAAAAATTTTTTATGCCAGTTTCTAAGGCAGGGGTGTGCAACCTGGGCCAAATGCGGCCTGCAAGAAAAGATTTTGCGGCCCGCGGAGAAGTGCTAATTTTGAATGGTGTGCAGCCCGCAAAGCCTATACCCGAGGATGTGCGAAGCAAACAACGCATGTTATAAGATCAATTTGGTGCATGCAACTACTAGAAAATCTATGTTAAATAAATTTGTGGCTCGCGGCTTTTTCCCCTACCAGTGGCTGGTTGTACACTGTTTTGTTCCGAGTATAACTTGTAGACCAAACATATTAGAAAATGCTATAACTATATTCTGCCGTAGATCATACCTGACAATCGTATGTGTTGTTACCACAATATAATTCGTCGCTCTGGTCCTCGCAATCCTGCAATAAAGATATTGTTTCCGTTTAAAGCAGAGGTGAACAAGAAAAACCCGTTAGGGAATGAACTATTTGGAGGACGAGCCTTCATTTGTATTAAACGCGCTAACAACATGTTCTAACTAACTACCAGAATAGGATTTTCAAATTTATTTAATCCCCCTGGAGAAGAAGGTTGATAAAAGAGGTTAGTCATGAAAATCTACGACATTTATCTGCTTGTTCTATCACATCGATTATTAACATTGAATTACCAGGTAATTATTCTAGATGCAACATACACTCGAAGAAGCCATGAACGGCTAACCATACGCTATATTAAACCACCCAGCGACTCGAGTAAGCAATTTGAGGTACAAATTTGCCGAAAAACTATTTCACTTCACAGGAGATATTTTTTATTATTATATATATGACTTATGTTTTTCATATCATAAAAATAACTTCATCAACAGTAACAAATATTACCGGGATCAAGTCGCATTTTTTCTCAATTGGTATATGTATTGGTGGTTCAGAATCACAGTAGAACCTGTAACAAATGATAAAGAACAATAAATTGAATATTATATCTTGATAATAATTTCAATATAAATGCCGACACGAATCAAAGCGTTTATAAAGCTCTTCTAACGGAATATACATATTCATTCAGTTACGTCTTTAAACTCTGAATCCCCAGAACGATGCTACTCTCTCACCCTGACCTCCCACGGCGTCGCATCGATTCGACGCGTTAAAAAATTGTAATATCCCTAATACCGAAAGAGGCCCCTTCATCGTACGCGTGGATATTTCATACCCGCATGCATACTCTATCAGTAAAATTCGACAATGTGCGGCACACGCTGCTATTTGCGTATTAGCTTCTGCGCCATTCTTCTTGATCTTCTTGACCGAATTCAAAGAGAGCGTAAATATCATAGCGTAAATAATATTTCTGATGGACGAAATCTGGCTTCGTTTGATTTATTCAATATATATTAGATTATAACGCCCCCTCTTCCCTAAAAAGAGTTCTTGTTTGTTTTGCTAGACATATTAGCAAAGCTGGTTACTAGATTTACCCTCAATGTACTTGATGGTGCTCATTTATTGAAGACCTAATTGGTAAATTATTTCAATATATTTATTTAATGTGAAGGTTGACTTTGTTTATTGGCAAAAACCTGTTCATAGGATTCAACGTCAAGTCTTACTTTACATTTGATTTAATTAGATTTAGATTCAATTTATATTATTTGGTTCAAATTAATTCACCAAACACAAAGAACATTATTTTCAGTGGTAAATTTACTCAGATTAGGAAATGCTGCGTTAGAGGTTTTCGTCTGCCAACAAGATTTTTCCGTTAAATCCAGAGAAAGTTTGCTCCCTCGCAACGTGAATTTTTTCTTTCTCTGTCTCAGTGTTGGCTTGAATTACTTCTAGTTTCGTGTAAACCAATATATATACTAACACATCTGTCGAAGAGATAAACATATGCATATCACACAAGTACCTAATTTTGTATGCCTATTTTACATCAAGTTGTGTAAAGGGACGGAACCTATGGGCAGGGAGTATATTCACGGGGTTTCGGTTATGGCCTAACGCTAACCTGGTACACACACTACGCGAGTACCAATTTTTGACGTAATATCAATCATTCAATTTCTCAAACTCAAAAATTTAAAGAGCAAAGAAACTCTTGTATCGCATTCTTTGTTTGATGACCCCGACAATTGAATATAATATAATGCGGAATGTTAAAAGGTATAACGTAGGCCTACTTGTTCATGCAGTACAATTCGTCGTTTCCCCCAATGCAGTCCGGTATACCATTGCATACTTCTTCTGCCTCAACTCTATCCCAACCCCACAACAACGAACTACCACAGACGAAATTTGAACCAAGAAACAACTCGGGTCTGAGAACAAAATAATCATCTGTTTATTATCATTTCTATTATGAATTACGATTAGATATTGTAGAAAAGTGTTTTGAGAGACTAAGCAGTGTGATATTAATAGTTGTTTCTGCGACCCTTGGCTCAAGACAAATCTTCGTACTGTACCATTACAAAACTCTTGATACGCATCTTGAGAGTGCTTTCGCGAGTTGGCACTTCACAAATTTGTATACATGTTCACATCTATCATTTTGATTCGTGGTGGTTGTCAATTGAAATTTTGAGAGTATAAAAAAATAAAATTCCCAACATGTAATCATCAAACATTCCCCAAAATGGACATGCTTTATTATTTTTCTAAAAAACCCTACACATCAGGCAACTAAAACAGAAATAGGAATTTTTCTATCGCAATATTTTACTGGATGAAACTTACTCTACGAATCTGCAAAACTCAGGCTGATTTTCACACGCATCGCTGCATTCGTCGTCAAATTGTTCACACGTTAGTTTCCCGTCACATGTAACTGCTCGTTTTCCTGGAATATAAATCAGATTCAAGTAAAACTAACCAATCACAAACATAATAAACATATTGGCAAGCTTTTGTAAAGCTTTTCGGCATTGGTGGTTCGGTACTTTCGGGTGCCTGCTTGAATTTATTTTCGGTTCGTCCCGAAAGAGAATATAATGCCATATATGCATTACCGATTTACCGCTGATTTTATCTTGAACAAATTCTCTTTTTATTCACCCACCGAGGAGATACAATAATAACGACTTTCAAAAATTTCAAAAATGATCACATGACTTGGCTACTTTAATTGAAATACTATGCGAAAAAGTGCATTTTTTGAGGATACTTTTGATATTTGTGTGGTATCCGAGGTGAAATAGCGTTTACGGCCTTTTTATCATCAAACATATGTAAACACAATAATAGTGAAGCTGGCAAACCTGAAAATTGACATTCGTAGTTGCATCTTGGAATACCGAGTTCTATCAAATGGTCAGCATCTGAGATGGACAATTCATTAATGAAATTAATGTCTATAATAAATGCCTATTTTTACTCTAACTACATAATTAATACAAATAAGAGTTGTTTACCTGAGCACACTGCATCTGTGGATATACGTGGACAAAACTTTTCATCTCTTTTTGTCACTTCGTCGAATCTAAAACATTTAAATGTTTTTTTTCTTTCTAATCCAATAAAACTTTGAGCAATAAGAAACGAGCAATAAGAGCGTAGCCATTTTGTGACTTATTTTCAGAGTTACTGTTTTTGTTGGATAAAAATCTCTTTTGTTCGCAAGTAATAGATAATTCAATTTTGAATTTTCAGTATCTAGGGAAAAAAGAAGGCTCTATTACCTGTACTTTGTTTCGTTTGAGTTCTTTGCTTAAAATTTTACCTATTAATTTTATTTCATGAGAATACTTTTCACATCGAAACAAAAATTTATTAACTTGATTTTCTGACAGTAACGAAGTATGGGGCTCCCGAAGTATGCGAACCAAGATGACGGACATCGGAATGTAATGTGTGTACTAGGTTAGGGTTAGGCCATAATTTTAGGTATAAATACTACGGGAGGCTCTTGGCTAGTCTTCGAACTGATAATAGGACTAAAATAAGGAAAATTGGAAAGAAATTATCGCCTAACCCTAACCTGTTACCCATGTTACGTTCCGATGTCCGACATCTTGGTTCGCATACTTCGGGAGCACCCGAAGTATATAGTAAGGGATGGTATCATGTTTATTTACAATACCTTCCATCACAAATAAGGTCTTTGAACAGGCAGCCATCCACTGTTGATAACGAACAGTTCATTGGGGTATCTTGTATTTCTTCATTTTTGCCTAAATTAACAAGGAATGAAATCTGTATTATATGAAATCACTTTGAAAGTTAAAAATTCTAGATGTAACAAAATGGAAAACGTTTGTCAATGTTATTATTTTGTGACTGTAGCATTTAGAGGAACACCAAACCCCAAATAATAATAAAAAAAACATTTATAATTTATAATAAAAGAAAAAGATGAAACATCTTCGAAATCAAAAAATGATGAAAAGATGGAAAATATTAGTTAGTTTCTATGAATATATAACATATTAGGAATTGGTTTAGATGTTCAGTTTCATGAATATTATTTGCCTTGTAAATCCATTTCTTTTTTTGCGAAATAGAAATAAAGAGGCGTTCAAATTTTTCTATTTTAATAGTAAGATCAAGTGAAATGTTTGTTTCATTGTTTTTTTCTTGTTCATTTATTTAATGTTTTTTTCCCTATTTTTCTCATTTTCTCCCGTGCTTGCCTGTTTATAATTGACACCAATAAAATCGGTATTAAGGTAAGTAATACCAACAGCGGAAAACATACCGTATATATCTTGACATAAAGCTTCAAGATCCAGAGATTGTTCGCGGACACATAGACATTCGTCTGACAAATCCGTGCAGTGTATAACATTGTCACAAACTTGCGTAGATGAAATCACACGAGATCCATCCAAACATTGGAAACATTTATCGTCAGATTGAACTAAAAAAGTACGTTGTTTGGAAAAATAGGTAACCGTCAATGCGGTTTAGATTTCCATTCATTTTAAACAGGTTTTATATTTTTTTTATGAAAACTGGGGTACTCCCGTAGTGTGTGTGCCAGGTTAGAGTTAGGCCATAATTTTATTCCGCTTTTTCTTATTTTAGTTCTATTATACGAGTTGGAGACTGTCTGTGTCAACCAAGTGAATATACCCACTGTCTATAGGTTTCAGTTCTTTTACACAACTTTCTGTAAAATAGGTGAACAAAATTGTTACCTCCATATTGGTACACATACTTCTTGAGCGCCAAGTTTGTGACAACAGAAGAAAAAAAACGATAAACTGTTACTAAACTTCGATAATAAATGTATAGTAACCTTGCAAGTAGATGTTGACTAATTAAAAACTGAAATTTTAATAGGTAATTTGTGCTTGTTGTTACTGGCACTCAGTCAGTATACAGATGCATAGTATTGATAGTTGTGAACTTGTGATGTAAGTGTGTCTTAACTGCGATAGCAGGAATGCAGAAAATATTTTATCAGGGAAACGGCGCTTCAGATGTGTGTGTACCAATATGGAGGTAACTAATTTTGTTTGGTAAAAATAACATGATCTCTTTCAATCTCTTTCTCAAATAGTAAGTATATTTGTGAGCTTTCGTTAGATCATGGTCTAACTTCTTCAAGCAATACAAGATATAATCTAATCAAATAGCGAATTTTGTTTGCTTGCTTTACATCAAGTTCTGTAAAGCGACTGAAACCTATGAGCAGGAGGTATATCCACTTGGATAACACAGACAGTCCCCGACTCGTAATAGAACTAAAATAAGGAAAATCGGAATAAAATTATGGTCTAACCTTAACCTGGTATACATAATACGGGAGTACCCGGAAAACAATGAAAACAACAACCCGTTTTAAATGAGAATGAGAGATTAACGAAGAGTTAAAGCGAGGCCATTCATTGCGCGATATTGCATTCTTATGACATTTCTATCACCGGGTGTTCATTTATTGATAAGATATTTTTCATATCAGAAGTTCTTCTTTGAAAAATTAAAAAAACAAACTCACTTTCATCTGACCGAGTATTATTTTCGCAGAAGCATTCATCTATTTCAAACGGACAATGTCCTTGGCCATCGCAAAATATGGACGACGATCTGCATCCACATTCGTCTTCAGCTTATATGAAAAAGAAACCTATTTTCGTTCCGTTTTCTCCGAAACACTTTATCACTTAAAAAAACTGAAAATCTTCATAGTAGCCACTTGCAATAGCGGTTCGTTTTTTTTTGCAATTATTATTTGTGCTGCATCCCGGGCCGCTCCAGTAGTATGCTTACCAAGATGGCGCACAACCTGATAACCCAAACCTAGTACACATATGTTCAGGTTGTGCGCCATCTTGGTACATGTACTACGGGAGCATCCACCCATACTATAATAAACAAACTATCTTTTATTTATATAAAGTGTGATCAATATTTGTTTCGCACGAAATGCATTGAATGCAAAGTGCTTATGATATATATATACCGTATTTCCCGGCAAATAAATCTACCCGGTCAATAAGACGAAGCCCGTTTTTAAGCCTGAAAAAATGGGGTTTTGCATATAACCTGCCAATAAGTCGGGGTAGTAAAATTGCATCAACATCAGAATCTCAAATTACCATGCAATGCCTTTTGAGCGGTCGTCGCGTTTGCACAATGGTTAAAATGGCCTATAATGACGTTTTCTTGTAGCGTAATATTCAACCCATAATAACTATATACGGGAATTCAAACTGTCTTTAACCTAATTTTAATCTAATTGTATTCAACTCGCGATTGCGTCCACCATAAAAGAACATTTCCTAATACATAATAAGGCGACACCAAAAAATGAAAATTATCATACTCGCCTAGAAAAACGACCTCCCCCCAAAAATCAGGCCTAAATTTGGGTTTAGAAAAGCGACTTATTCGCCGGGAAATACGGTATATGATATATACTATATATAATGTAACAAAAAGGTTTGTTGCTGTGATCTTATTGTTACGTCTTCTTTGCTGTTGACTGATTTTTTAGATATAGATCACTAATTTATTAATTTATTGATTTAGTTATATATTTGACTCCTTCAATCTAGACTCCAATAAAAATCAATTTATTAATCAGAAGTTATTCGTGCTCAATTGGGGTCGCCTGTTAATTTTATATAACAGATCATCACAACTTTCATGGCGCTCCCGAAGTATTCGTACCAAGATGGCGCACAACCTGAACCCTAACCTGGTACACATACTATGTTCAGGTTGTGCGCCATCTTGGTACGCATACTTCGGGAGTACCACTTTCATTATCTAGTAATATTATATTGCTCCGTTTAAACAACTTGCTATTATCCAAAAACATGAATTTATGAAACACAACATAAATCACTAATAAAAAAATTGTTTTTTTTGCAAACCATTTGGACAATGTATGTTTCCGTCGCACATATGTTTTGTTGGTAAAAGGCAGAAGCGGCCTGAACTATCTGTATGAGGCATGCATCCAATTCCATCGTCTTTTGTATGTACATAGGCATCGTATAATATCTCATCATCCCCGTCGCTTTATATCGATAGAAAAAGGATTGTCATTTGTGAGAACTAATCAATTGTTTATTAAACCCGAAGTGGGCATATAAATCGTTTTGCTACGTTGGTGTTGTTATTTTATGTTGCAGTTAAGCTGAATTATTAATCAATCGTTTATTTTTCATCACACAAAAAAAAAGAATAAAGAAAACTATCCATTCTGCTACAGCATAGTTGCGTTATACGCAAACGAATCCTCATACGCAAAGGCAATGAGCAAGGAAAGGTATTTCGTCTCGCGTAACCCCAACTGATAATTACAGCAAATAAATATAGTATGGCGCTCCAGAAGTATGTGTACCAATTTGGCGGTAACTAATTTTATTTGCCTACTTCACAAGTTGTGACGCGAAGGCACCTAGAACGGTCTCCAAGCAGCGACACCCAAGTACAAATTCAATACAAAATGGAAATATAAGACAATTTGTGCATTTGGTCATCATCGTAAAAAATTCCAAAATCATACATTGAAATAAGGTTTTTATAAACAAACTAACTTTACTCCGACAGAAATGTGCTAAATTACCTAAATCTTCCCCCGAAAAAAAAAACAATATTACCGTCCCAAACTGTTCACCACAAAATACAAGTTAACCGACCGTCCGACTAAACGCTTTTGTAGGTCTAATCAAAATCTTTATAAAATTTTTCAAACCTGCAATCAATTTTTCCGTCGCAAAACTCAGATCCTCGTATACATCTCGATCCATCTTTACATTTATAATCACCATCGTAGCATTCATCGTCTGAAGATTAAAATGAAAATATAAATAAAACCTTTAACTGATTAACTGATGTTTGCATCAATGATAAAAGTGCTGTTACTCCCTTTGTGTAAGTCTTGTAAACTGGATTGGTGCTGTGTAGTTTTGAGCTTTACACATGCAAGGCTTGTGTCGGACCTGATGCGATATCTGGTATTTGATTTTATAATATTCGATCGCGAAAGAATGGATTTGCAAGGATATGAAGAACCGAAAAGTGTTATCACTACAGCTCAATTGCGTTGTTATGTCATAAATGCACTAATAGTATGGTTGTCAGTAACTGCAATGCGTAGTGTTCTAAATCTAATTCATTACGGCTGATAATAGTTAACGCTTGAACCGATTTTAGATGGTTAACGGTTACGATTTATTTTGAACGTTGACTGACATATCAGGTACAAATAACCTTTATATTGTATACTTTCTTCGAAAATGTTACTGTGTTTATATTGAATATAACTGTTGGCTCAATGGGGTTCGTTTTAACTTTGAAGTTTTGGCCTCGTGTCAATATATTTAAGAATTGCTATATTAAATGACGTTATAACAAATTTAATCGCTGGAATGATAATGATTTTTTAAATAACTTCTGAGTTGTCATGTCATTAATGAAACATGACAGGTCGTTTTGTGATCTGCGAGTCAACGAATCGCCATTCCGGCTGTAGATTATTGATTAAAGTGAAAAGTACCTTCTCTGCAATATAAGTTCTCAAGATGTGCCATGTCCGCGCGAAGTAGACAAATATCAAGTAAGTTTGCGTAATGACGACACGGAACACCATCCAATTCGGTGTGAATTGATTCGTTGTATCTAATCTCATCGCTCCCATCTCTTAACAAAAATAAATTATTTAACATCAGACGTGTCAATGAGATTAGTTTACAGGATGTCCGTAAAGTCTGAACACATGAGACATTTAGATATTTTCAGAATGCAATTAATATTCTATTCGACATATTTTTAATAAATATTATTATTAATATTTAAAAATATGAAATTATCCTATGTGTCCAGACTTTACGGATACTCGTAGAATTGAGACAATATTTCAAACTATTTCATATCTTTGTAATAAGGTCTCATGAGACTGGCCTATTTTGTACATAACTTTGATTTGGGTTAGGTATCAGAGTTTTCTAATATAAATATGCATAAATGGCATATACATAGTTTTGTCCATTCATATAGCTTTAATGCGGTTTAAATGAATACATTACCCATAGAAAAGATCCGAACAATGAAAACATATAATATCTACTTGAAATCAAACCGGTTCAATTATAGCCTGATTTAGTGGATGCAATTGCCTAATGTGTAGCCTCACAAAACTAGAGTTCAAGACTCAACTATACAAACTGGGGTTCGAACCCATGGACAAACAATATCGAATAGCTCAGATTCCGAACATATGTACATTATGGTGACCGTACATTTGAACCCACGTACATTTGAACCCATGCGTATATCCACGGGTTCAATCTATATGCGGGTGCTAAAACCCATGGGTTAGGGTTAGTATGGGTTTAACTATCCGTGAAACAAAAAAAATTCCATAGGTGCAATAGCATACAGGTGCAATTGTCATGGGTTCAAATGTACGTGGGTTCAAATGTAATGGAACCGTACATTATATTTAAGTAGTGTTTTGAATTAAAAAAAATCCCATATTTTCATTGAAATAATCAACAACACTAAAATTTTAATGTGACTTTTTCTGCACATGATATTGTTATGCTTTTGTTAATTATTTAGAAAATTAAAACTATTAAAGGCTCATACTCACGCGCAATTCGGTTTTCCATTACAAAATCCTGCTTTGTTTACACATCCTGAACCATCTGAGCATACAAAATCACTTTCATCGCAATTAGTGTCTGAAAATAACGACCTTTTGCATTCTTGCTAGTGGCAGGATAGTCACTGATGGTTCATAGACTAACTGACAATACCATAACACTAGAATATTCTTATACGCATTTTATGTTATAACTACAAATAGATTCCGCGTGGGTTCGAATCCCATCTTCGTTGCCAAATTTAGTGTTTATTTATTACTCATAAATAAAGCAAGCACGCAAATTATACGAGCTGACTGAAATATACATTAGAGTATATCACTATATCCAGCGAGAGACAAGTTAGGGCGCCTAGCTCCACTGATCGAATGTCCTTCTAGAACAGCGTTACCCAACCTTTTTTGGTCGCGGACTTTTTTTTCGCCTGCGTAAACCTTTGCGGACTCAAGGTGCGTTTATTGCAACCGTATTCTGTATGAAGAAGCAATAAAACCAAACCAAAATATCATGACAATCCGTGGACACAAAAATGCGTGGTACAGTGCCCGATTATATTTTGGGACCTCCTGGAGTATGCGCACCAAGATGGCGCATAACTCAGGTTGTGTACCAAGTTAGGGTTAAGGTTATGCGACATCTTGGTGCGCATACTTCAGGAGTACCATATTTTGTTTTGATTCCTATATTTGTGAACTCGTTAAATCTGAGCTGTTCGTACAACACTTAAAGCGCTCCAGTATACTGTACATACTAATGTGGAGGCAGTAAAGCAAAAAATCCTAAGGGAAAATGCCCTGGTACGTACACTACTGTAGCACCCGAAATTTTGCAATTTGCTACGTCTAAAAAGCGTTTTTAATCGGTTGGGGACCATCATAAAACGGAACTCATGGTGTTCTCCGTTTTATTTTTAGTATTTTGTAATGCCGCTTTCAATGTAGAAAATTTGGGTTGCCACCTACCAGAGAAAAAAAATGTATTTCTTGTTGTTTGAACTCGCGAGAAACACCACTTAGGTATCTATAGAAGCGTGTGCAGACTTGTGTTTTCGTCGGAAATCCGCAAGTGCGGTGTGAAATCCAATCGTTTGATTAAGCGACCGACCTGTCGCCTCTTCACAAATTTTCGAATAGTAAATTGCTATTCCAATAGTTGAATATTTGAATATATGCCCAGCCTTACTCAGTAACCAGTAATTATTGTTATCCGAAAAAACGTAAATCGTTGCTGATAGTTAGTGAATTTCTGGCTCGTTGCGTACTCATTCAAGTGCTCCGCGGACACATTTGAGACCGCGGACTCGGGTTTGGAAACACTGTTCTAGAAAGACGCAACGTGCTTGACAATGAACAACATTAAGCGGTAATTCGCCAACTCAACAATTACGAATTGATCTACGCCACACCAGAGCATAGGAGCAAAGGGGGTTAATCATATTTTGTTGGCTGAAGTGGTAAGTGGCTGTTGCAGCTACAGGCCAATAGTCTCGGATTCAAATTTCGTGTTCACCACCTAGTTGGTTCTCCCAAAAACGTAGCACCATCTAACACATCGGCGACGGTTAGACAAAGCATTGTGCAAATACCGACGCGACATGATTATTGTTAGCGAGAATCATAACGTGTTTCTATTTTGATGACGGTATACGTTGATACGCAGACATAGTTCTCCAATCCCCTAATGTGCGTGACAAGTAGATCAGGATACATAGAATCGTGTGCAACAATTATAATTATGACTTACAAACCTCCGCATATGTGATCCAAAGTATGATTTTGATTTTTTGGTAACAGGCAAATGTTCTTCGGATTTTCAATATTTCGACATGCTATGCCATCATCCGATGTGTGTATCGTTTTGTTAAACTTTATCTCGTCGCTCCCATCACTTGATATGAATATAAAATTAAAAGATATATAACTTGCGGGATAGTCAGTCAGTCAGTAAGTAGATAATTTTTCACCAAAATGAAAATACACTTGACGCAAAAAAAAAACTAGGAAAAAAACAAAAAATGGCATTTCACCATTTCACGGTGAAGGGTGACACACACACACACAAAAAAAAATTGTTGGTTATCGAGCAGCGACACCCGTGAAATATATATATTGTTGTCAGCTATCTGCAAAAGAAGTTTTAGAATAAACTCAAGCGAGAGATTACAATATTTGGGTGACGCATGAGAACTAAATATTCTAATATGCAGAGAGTACCCTGTGTGATAGAGATAGTTATTTAGCATTAATTTACATTTCATTCTGTATTAAATCTTTCGGAAACAGTGCTTTTAGACTGTTTTATTTATAAACGTTGTATTAGCTTTCTCAGTAGTCCGTTGCCAAGAGCGCAATATTCGAGGGAAATATTATACGTAATCGTAAGTTTTAGCGGGCGCGTTCAACAATAGTTGTCTATACATGTTTTTTGATTAAATAAAGGTGGCTCCACAAACGATCATTGTTGGCGAAACTTGTCTTAACGATTACTATAAATAGAACGCCACGGAGTCATCATTAACCAATTGCCAGTAAGACTAATTCCGTGATTGACTCGTCTTCGTGCACGAATCGAGATTAGAATGACCCGACTCATTTAGTTGCCACCCATGAGAATACATACCAGCAAACTCTGGACCCGATGATCCTATTCCAAGTGCTTGATAGTAATTTATAGCTACATTAGTTACTCTGTTGTGTATGTATTCAATTGTATTTTTTATTATAGTGTAAGTATAAGTTTATTTCGATTCCATAATCAGCATAATAGACGATAGAGTATTTGATAAAAACAAAATAAATGAAACTGATTATAGAATCGGGAAAGCAAACAAAACCTCCAGTGAGGTTTGAAACGTACAGATTTTAGATGAAAAGATATTGATGAAGGTAATAGTACGTGTTCGCTCACCAAAAATACTGAAAGATTCACAAACCTACAATGCGATTCTCCATCACAAAACAAATCCGAATCTAAACATTGCCCATTAGCACATTTGAATTTAAACCAAGGACAGACCGCATCTGTGAATAAAGAAAAAAAGTACGTTTTTCACTCCGCGAGAAAAAAATGGAAATTTGAATAATACTATTTTTTGTTTAATTGAACTGGCTTTTTGATTAAAAACAAAATTGTTTTAATTATGATAGCTATATCAAACAGGCTGTTTCTGGAATATTGTATTACGACACATTTCTCATTGATTATTTGATATGAAATTATATTTACGGTGTTTTAAATGGTTTCGCAGTATTTATAGAATTTGTAGGCTCCAGCTTTGAAAGGCAAGAGTTAAAATAAAGAGCTATTTTGAGAAAATTATGAAAACATATATTTTCGAATTTTTATCATCGACTTGAACTTTATATTAAAATACTTTTTGAATATGGCTTCAAACGTTGATTAATAAGCTTTTATAAGCATTTATTTTTTTGTAATTTTTTCTAAATAAATAATTTTTACAAAATTTTCAACATTCGCTCTTTTGTCAAACTTAGGATGAGAAAACCAAATTATCCCTTTTTTAAATTATTTATATTTATTCTATATTGTTGTCCGCCATACCTTCATTACACAACACATCTTTTTTATGAGTCTGATTTTGTGGAAGAACACAGCTTCCCACTTTGTTTTCGTGATATCTACATATTTCATCATAATTGTTCACCCAAGTGTCGAATTCTAATTCGTCACTTCCATCTCTGTTGAAAACAAATATATATAATTATTTATAATTGAAAACTAAGCCAAAAATGCGCAAGTTCAAATAACATTTACGGTTAAACGATTCCTATGGGATATCGCTCTATGGATTTGATAATGTTCAATAATGTGTCGGAGGGGTTGTAATACCACTCAGACAAATATGCATATGCAGTCACTGCATGTTCCCACTTGCTGGCGGGTATAAAATATCCAGTCGCGTGCTTCGTTGTAATTCAGCTTGATATCTTTGGAATCAAATCCATGGCAAAACGTTAGCATAAGGATTCTGTATACTTATAATTCTATTTTTTTGTATAATTATAAATATACGTGTGTTATTAATTGGCTGTACATATATATCCGACTACTCATGCTGACTCGGTGGTGTGGTGCATCGTGCTAAGCGTCAGGATAACGCTTGTCATCACACCTATGATTACACTGTGTGGGTTCGCAGGTTCGAGTCCTATGTGGGGATAGTTATATGCGAGAAGATTGCTGGACTCCTCGCCGCTGCCACGTAACCGCTGCTGGTCGGTTACGGCTTCCTCCGCCATCAAGATCATGCAGCTTCAGAAAATACAAATAACTGGATAACTAATCCAATACCCTACATTCTACATGGACTGCTAACTGAACAAGAGACTTTGATTCTCCGTCTGTTTGAGCCGTCTTATCGGCTTTGCTCACTCCAGGGGGTAACTATGAAAATTATATTCTATGTTTGCATCTTTTTGACTATGTGCATGTCAAGTTACCACTTCATCGAAGCAGGCCTGAGCAACGCAAATCTAGTTCGTTTAACAAATTAATAAATAAGGAAATCAAAACATTTCTGTTCACCGGCAATCTTCTATTTCATTGCAATATGATTGGCTTGGTATGCACCCACTACCGTCATTGCATTCAAATTCGTCATCTTGACATTCAGCATCTATGTAAGAAAACAAACTATCATCAATCACACAGAAATCGATTTTTCGTGTCGTGTAAGATTAAAAATGTTCACGCGGATAGGATGGGAAATGGAAAAAACAACAATTTAACGGAAATCAGCTAATCGTAGGCAAAATTTTCAATCATTTGCCTTGAAAATTTACCTGAAATTGCACCAAAAACCGATTTTAAAATGAAATTGTTCGCGGACCTGAAAAAATACTTTTTTGCTCAATTTGCTATAATCTAAATAACTTTATAGCGGCAGAAGTTCTAATGCTCAATTTTGATTAACGATAAATTTGCATTATTGAATGTATTATTTTGTTTATTGAGCAATCGAGTATATTTTCATACAACGTACAACCGAAATTGCGACTAATGGTATACGATATTTCAAAGCATTTAACCTGTAAAGGTATACTGCCGGTTACGAACTGTGCAAAGATCATTAACAGCCGATTACTGCTGTAGTGTAATTCATCGTCATATTTTTTTTCCTAAGTGATTTAAAAGTCTTGCTGCACACTGACACAGATATATTTCTGTAACGTTCCGTCTGACCAAAGTCTTCTTTAGACATACATAGTTCAGCTATTACTATGTTTTTTGTTGTTGTCGGGGTTAAGATTAAAACTTACCTGCTATAAAGTTTCCGGCCAGAAAAGAATTGAAAAGTATGAATAATATATATATTACATTCATATTTCTAAAATATGTCACCATAAACAGGAAAGCAATGCTCGATTACATGAATAAGAAAGTCTAAAGTCATGAACAGTTTTCCTCGCGAATTAAACGAGGGAATTTGGTACGACATAAAAATAATAAAAGTAACAGTCCACAAGCGACATATCATGTTCAATAATTGAAATTTATTACATTATTAATTAATTTATATCCTCGAAGAAACCATGGAAAGAAAATTAAATAAAAAAATCTGATACACTCCGAATTTTCTTCCTGCCTGCTAGTGATATGAAAACTAGTTATTTACTTCACACAAGACGTGATACAACCATTTCTATGGCTTCCTCGCGGCTGTGAGTCGCGAGTATCAAAGATTCGCTGACTAATTTAACCCGAAGTATGTATTATGAGAAAAGAGTCGGCTACACGCCTATATCCCCTCACAGATACACTTTAAGTTCCTTTTTATTCAACCTGTCAGTGGCACGTCACTCTCTGACCTTAACCCTGACCACGTTCTTGTAAAAGTGAAACTAAAACTTGCCAAAAGCAACGCTTGATGTTTAATTATTCACAATGTTTTTGAAAATTGCGAATTGCGTGAAATTGTGATTTTTAAGCACTGCTTGAAATTTATATTTGACAAGTATTGCCTACATTACAGTATCATAGATGAGTATTTATTAATTTGTGCCCAAAATAAGGTACTTGAAAATAGCAATACAACTAAAGACAATTGCAACTACAATCTTGAAAACACCATTATTATAAACATATTCGAACCATTTTTCTTTTTGGCGCTCCCGAAGTATGTGAGCCAAGATGGCGGACAACGGAACGTTGTATGTATACCAGGTTAGGGTTAGGACATAATTTGATTCCAACTTTTTTATTTTAGTTCTATCACGAGTTCGGGACTAGCCAAGTGATTCCCTTAGTGTTTGTACCTAAAATAATTGCCTAACCCTGACTTGGTTCACATACTAAATTCCGGTGTCCGCCATCTTGGTTCACATACTACATGAGTACCTTTTTTTATCCATGGTTGGAAAAAATATGCTGAGTTCAACATCAGTAAAAAATTGACTGACATTGCGATTGATAAGATCCATTACGACTTCAGAACAATTTACAAAAGAATAAGAGAACGCGCGATCTTATACTTCGAATGAATAAAATAAATACGCGTACAGAGAATTACAAAACTTCGACGGTTCGACGGAAATATTATTATTCAATGCAATAATTAGTCCAGTGCTCTGTCCTGTAAACCATGAATATTCAATATATAATTTTCCAAAACTTATTGAAATGTGCCTCATTACAATGCATATGTATTAAAAAAGCAAAGGTACTATTGGTGGTAATATTGGCAACACTTGATGCTTTATTTCGAAGAAGCTTTCATTGTCTCGCAATGAATATTTTTCGTTCATACTTGGCTGGTGTAAAATAATATGTGTTTTTACAGATATTAACACAGTGATTAACATAGTCCAGGAAATGTCTGACTGAAATTTGATATTGTACTGACATCAGCGAAGGCACTTAATTTATGTCTATTTCATTGAAATATTAAAAAAAGGCCTTGATGATATTGGTATAAAATCGTGCGGCCGCGAACAAACTTTAGCTTCACGCAAAAAACCTGTAAAATACGTCTTTATTAGCATTGTTATCAATATTTAGAATATATCCACTAGGTTTGCATTGGTGCTTGTGTGACTTTCTGAATCCCCTCCTACAAATTCAAAAATACGATGGTCTAAAACAGGGGTCGGCAACCTACGGCCCGCGGAGCACTTTAATCCGGCCCGCGACGCTTTACTAAATTATAGTAACAAAAACATCCGTTTTGACGAATATATTCTTTAGACTAAATGATATGATAACCTAACAATTATATATTTCACAATTACTCGTTTAATGAGCATATAATTTAATTATAATTGAGCAAATGGCAACAAAACGCAGACAAGTTGATGCTAAGTGCAAAGGGTTCAATGGCGCTGAAAATTTTTAATTGTTTTTTTATGAGATGCAATGAAGAAATAAATTTATATTCTATTCGAGAGATGTTAAATTGAACGCTCGTTGCTCGTGTTAAATATAATATAACGGGCCTTGTTTCACTGAGTATTTTATTTTTCACTTCATATTGAAAGCAAACAACAGTAGCCTATTTGTTTTGATATTAAAAATGAGACCGATTATACCTAAAGTTTTAGCACTTTATAGTTAAATTATTTGACGTGGTATTACAAAGAATTAGTGCTTATGCTAGACGTCATTTTCAAGACCTTCTGCGACTTGTGGGACTTTATGTTATAAGTCAGGGTGGTTCAAGGCTGCGAGGCCTTGCAGGCCGCAGTCGGTAAAACCCCAAAGTGATCAAAATACTGCGAGTTAAGTCAGCCTATTGGTATGTTGCATGGGTGTCGTTTATTTATTTTAAGAAAGATATATGGAGCACAAAGAAAATAGACATACCAAAACAATTTATTGTTTCTAGCTTCTGGCTACTGATTCAGATTTGCGTTTAGTCACAGCGGGCACATGAACCACGCTCGAAAAAAATTTTCTTTTTCACCAAAATAACGGCAGAAAACCAAATAAGAAGTTGCTTGTCACGAGTTTAAAGTGCGAAGTTAACATGAAAAGTGCGACTAATCTCATTGGCCGGGCCCGTACTGCACAAGACTGTTCGTTTTGATCGACACCGGCACACCGCCTTGACGTTTATAAATACAATCTTGAAATTCCGTGATTTTAACAAATATAATTTCCGACATCGGGAACTCCATTTGGAATAGCTAAGAAAACTCAAAATGTTCTTTCAATAAATGCAAAAATCTGCCGATGGTTTAATGCAGTTTTTCCCAACTTATGGGTCGCGACCCAAAACTGGGTTGCCGAGAATCATCACGGGTCGCTTGTTTTTCAGAAAATTTTATTAATCTCATTTTATAGTAATTTTTTTTGGTATTGGTATTTCTTTAGAAGTGTTGCAAAATTGTATATATATGTGGGAAGTAATATTGGCCCAAATAAAGCCACGCTACGAATTCATAAACTCGCTGATAGCAAACCAGCGAGACTTCCCCACTTCGAAGTAATTTCTGGTAAAATAGGTCTCGTATGTAAAAACGATAGTTTTTTTTTTCATAATAATTCAATTGTGCGGCCATAATCAAACTACAATTCGTTTAGTATTTGATGGGTCGCGAGATTTTACAGAATTCTTTTTCAAAAATTTGGGTCGATTGGAAGAAGTTTGAGAACCACTGGTTCTGTGTACGCTAAAATTGTTCTGCGAGCCGCACGGAATGTGTCCGCGGCCTGCGTGCCAGAGTTTGGACCACCCTGACACAAGTAGTATTCAAACAACCTCAATAGATCTTCTGGGGTTTGTGATTATATTGTAACAAACTCTTTTTTTCGATAATTTTATTTGAAAATCGAAACCACAATACACCTAAAAATAAATTTAGGTTGAAGGTTTAACACAACGTAAACAAAGATATTTCTATGCCTGAAGGCAAATATGGAAATGTGTTGTTGCAATCTTACATATGAAAAAAGTTGTATTTGTAAGCTTGTTATCAATTTTTTTATTCATGTTTTGTATTCTGAAATTCAGGGCTTTTATAAAACATTCTGAGGTAAAGTAGGGTCATGCGCAAGATAATGGCTTGCGCGTGCCCAAGCTCAATTTGTTCGGGCTCACCATATATGTAATACAATCGCAAATATATTCTAAGTTCTGACAAATTAATATATAATATGACAATTAAATATATGGTGACCATTTGAGGTGCTGTAAGTGTAAGAAGACTACTAGCCAGTAATTTTCGATTGATATATACGCTATCATTATTACGCTTGTGATTTAAATCACATGCCATATTATTGTAAATATATGTTCTTTGGAATTTATCGAAAATGAGAATAACACTATAATATTTTGTCATCGAAATTAGCTATATTCTAAATAAAATTCTCTCGCGATGACAAATGCAACGTGTGTAATGGTAATTCGCAACCAACTATAATTAAATCAATCTCACGTGTGTTTACCACCAATGCCATAAATAGTTTATTCAATAAAGTGCTAAATATCAGTGCTAGATTCTAACAAATTCCCGGTATACGATGGGCATGAATCAAAGCCTAATATATCTATTTTACACTCTTGTTAGGTCATTTCTCCTGTTTTTTTAGATAGCCGTTATGATAAAGCGAAACGTTGAAAAGAAAAGCAGCATGACCACAATTGCTGGCGAGTGTGTGATGGAAATTTCTTTTCCTAATCGAAATTGGAATAGACTTGTGTGTATGTGATGTAATATTAGTATATATCTCTAATTTTCACAAGTATGAATCAAAATTGATTGTTCATGCATACAGTTTTCAAATTGGACGAGAAAGAGACATGTGATTTTGATATATTTGAATATCTTCAATTCAATAACAATTACGAAAACATTCATCCACATTTTCTCGTTGTATCACTCCTTCATATTATTTTGTCAATTTACATTCAGTTATTCCAGCCATAACAAATTTTCTCTTGTTCGACAATCGCGTTTTTCATGTTGGTTGTTACTAAAATGGTCAGACAACATCTTACTAAACAAAACTTCCGACAAAAACTAGGAAATATTTTACTTCTTCCATCTAAATCTTGATAAGTATGAAGTTCAGGTAAACACCGTCGCAACTTCGTAACTATATGTAGTATACTCTGGGATTTTTGGAACATTCAAATTCGGAGCAATAATTTTATGTTTGATTTTCATCTTTTGATTACTGATGGATTTCGTGTTTATCTGATGCATTTACATCGATGAGTCATTCACGTCGGGAAATTTTTAATTCAAGTGTCATGTTATAAAGCTGTACAGATAAAACGTTATCAAAGCATTATGTTGGATACGTACAATATTGCCGACGGCGTTTCAAATCGTGACTTCGCTAAATCTTAATTAATTCTGTGAATGATATGTTTCATCGTAATAGGTTGCAAATTTTACCAACCAATATTCGTTTAAATTTGTTTGTGCAATTTTAACGGTATCTAACTTCATAATTCATTTAACGCACTGTGAATTTCTCAATTCCCTCCGAAGTTAATACGTTCTTCATCCTTACATTAAAGTATAATATAGAACCCTTCAAGAGCGTCCTTAGAAAATATAATAATTTATTGGGTAAATTACTTTAGTCCAGCAAATGTACCTTTCATCATCAATATTTTCGGTTGAAATCTTCTATGAAGAGTAGTTTATTTTTAAGCTATTTTGATGAATATTGTAGACTTTGATACCAATTAAATTAGTTGCCGCTTGAACGTACTATTTTGGAGTGCGATGACAGGTAATACTTTGCATAGCCTATATAATATCGAACATTTTGTTATGTATCGACCAAATTTTGTTATGTATCGTTGTATATCGTCATTCGAGAAACCTTATACTTTGTTTAAAAACCAAAATTTTCAAAAGTGTGAATGATATCATCAGCTAACGCTTACGAACTTCATCTTATGTTACGTCAATTACGATTACGATATTTGACGAGCGTGTTTTGATTGCAACAGTTATTTTTATTGCTCACGGCTTTAAAGAAAAACATCACGAATCGAGTTCTTTTAGTTTCGTTCATATGGCACGGATTTTTCTTTAAATTCCGACGTTTCGGAAGAAAATTTGTACTTATTCAAAACGAATATGAAGGTAAACTACTCGAAAACGTTAGCGGGATTCACGCTTTGCCTATATTTGCAACTGATTGCTGCAAAGTCGTTGGCTGGACTGAAAGACCAAGCTTTCATGATTTTAGGTTCCCGAGCATCAGAGAATGCTTTGGTGAGTTTTGTTTTAATTTGTATTATAGAAATATTACTGATGATAGAATCGCAAAGTTTTGATAGAGACTCGATCGTAGCTTGAATGTTTCTACTGATACCGACCAGGCAATTGAACCCATTTTCCCCACATTGCTTCCTTATTAGAGCTACCAATTTGAATTAGATTTGACCTATATATTTGATAATACAAAATATATTTGTTTGAATACTCAAAACACCTCTTTGAAAGTTTAAATTGGGTAGTGAAGTCAAAAAGTTTTCTTTTTGAAGATAGAATAAATGGAGTGCAAGTTGTGATTACAAGTTTTAGTAGTTTTTTTCATCCAACTGATGCCATGGCCTGTCAGATAAAGCGTCAGACTTGACTGTTTTGAAACGGCAGGTTTCACATTTTGGGTTAAATCCCGACAACGACCATCTCGCATAGGTTTTCTAAAACGGGTAGGGCAACGCCGAACTGAAAGCTTCCGATACTTTCAAAAATAGTAACATCTCGCTTAATAGCGCCTAGTTCAGAGCGACAGGTGTGAATAGGTCTTGCATATAAAAAAAAGTAGTGAATGTTTAACGTAATATTTTAATGTTTTAAATATTTCAGAGAAGACAAACACGATCTTTATCGTCATCAATTACAAGCGTTCGGGTAACGAGTGTCGTTAAATCAAGATTTGCTAAAGTAACAACAGTCAGTGAGATGGAAAACACACATGACGAAGCGAAGGAACTAACATTTTCAATCAGATTGCCTGACGCTGCGTTTATTACAGAATTTACGATGTAAGTACTGTAGGCCTTAAAGAAGTTGATTTTAACATGAGACAAATTTTTAATAAATCGTCTAAAATTTGTAACGAGATAGCGATCGGAGACCGCCGACTTATCGATCTACTGGCGTGTATCCTTCGCTCTGACTCAATAGCGATCGAGATCGATAAGTAATAAGACCTCAGTTTAAACTTCACAATCGTCCATTGCTGTAGATTGATTATGAAAACATCTTAGAGCATCACGTATTTGTTTGTAAAATAAAATCAGTTCTCGATTTCGGGTAGAATAAAGGCAGCATGAATTTTCAGTTTTGTATACGACTGAGCAAACCAAATCGTTATTTCGATAATTTCCATTTCTTATGTAATTCCAATCCAATATCCATATGCAGGTTGGTCGACGGAGTAACATTTATCGGTAAAGTTAAAGAGAAGGCGCTTGCCGAAGAGGAATATAAAAAGGCCAAAGCAAGCGTAAGTAATATATTGTTACGCTATAATAGTTGAAGCAGATACTTTGTGTCGTCAGCAATCGAATACTTAATTAATTTCACGTCAAACTCAGTTGGCCGTGAACACTCGCCTGTTTACAGTCGGTGTAGTTACTAACAAAAAAGTTGTAAGAACTTCGGTTAGATGAAACTCACAACCTCGCAACATTTTTTCTGGTCGTATTGACATGAAATTTTTCAAGTCTCGCTCCATTAGTTTTTACTAACCCGAAATCCCTCACTATAATTTGGCATAGTGGCCGTTCACATTTTAATGGTCCCCCGTAGCTTTACTCAGAGATCATTCTCTTTTATTTCTGAGTGGGTTCTCGTGACCTAGCTTTATTATTGAAAAAAAAACTAAAATGTGTCTTCTTTTTGGCTAACAGGGTAATTCAGCAGGCCTCGTCACAGCTGATATTAGAGAAACACAGACCTTCAGCGTTGCAGCCAATGTTCCAGCTCAGTCCAAAGTAACATTTACCTTGGTTTATCAAGAATTGTTGAAACGAAGACTTTCAAAATATAATCATGAGATTTTTGTGAATCCAGGACGGGTGAGACAAAGTTAATTCTGTTGCAAATTTCCTACTAGAATGATATTTGTGTACGAAACAGTGTTGACGTGATAATTAAAGCTAAGCATTTTGAATCGAATAGTGAATTATTTGTTGAAGCCATATTTTTGAAATGCAATTATGACACGTGACTCCTTTCATCCCAGTAGATTATTGGAACATGGGAGTGATCGAACATGTTTCTTATTGCGTGTGTGACAACTCAGCGACCTGACTGAGTGGTGAATCCCATGTTTCAGTAACTTATGTGTTTGGAGGGTCCTTTACAATTCCAAAGTCACTTTCAATTAAATATCTTCCAAGTATTTGAGATTCGATTCGATTCGGAAAAATATTCGATCCCGAAATCATCTGGTATTCAAAAATGCCTAGCTCTTGTCTTAAACTAAATCGGGCAAACATACAATATACATCTGAAATAGATGAATATATAAACTTTGAATATATTTGTGATACTATAATGACTTTCACTGGGCGCTCCAGAAATGTGTTTACCAATATGGAGGTAACTAATTTTGTTCGCCTATTTTACATCAAGTTGTGTAAAGGGACTGAAACCTATGGGCACTTGGCTAACACAGACAGCCGCCGAACTTGTAATATATATACCTAAAATAAGGAAAATCGAAATAAAAGTATGGTCTAACCCTAACCTGGTGCACATAATACGGGAGAACCTTTTACTGAGTGAATCTTTTACTGAGCTTTTCATAGAGTGGTCGTTACATTATTTTCCTAATATTTCAGATTGTTGATGATTTTGTTATCGATGTTTATATCACTGAGCAAACGGGAATAACCATGTTAGAAGCTCGGCCGCCACAGGGTGGAATGGGCCCTCGCGGTAAAGTCGCCAGTGGATACGACAGCACGGGAATTGTTCCAATTGATATTGATATCAGGCGGAGCAAATATCAAGCAAAAGTAACGTAAGTATATGAAAAAAATTGGTATATAATCGGGTCGGACTGAAGAGGAATTGAAAAAAAAAAATACCCGTGCCCTATACCGGCGTTAACTTTTGGCGAAATTTGGGGTTAATTTAAACATTTTTGTATTTGAATTATATAAAGCAACGAAAATTTGAAATTGATTTTTAGATTAGTTGCGTAGAAAAGCGAATTCTTGACGCCACAACTCTATCACACAATTTAGCAATTTCATATATACACTCCGTGTCCAATCAAAAACAATTTGTAATCAGTTTAACAAAGGGCAAATCGTTCTAGTCAAATATATTTAGTTACGGTTTGATCATTTGTTGTAGATAAAACATATTAGTAACTACCGCATGATAGTTTCAACTTTTTGTGCCTGTACTTGAAACTGCAAATAATTTCTCGGTATGGGCCCCGAGTCCTGCCCTAATATTGTTGGTTTTCCTGAAAAACGCTATTCATATAGGCGGAATTTAATGTAACTATTATTATTCAGATTTAAACCTTCTTCCACACAACAACGACGATTATTGATGATTCCCGAAAACGATCGAAAAATGACAGTCATCTACGACGTCACGAGAGAATTTCTTGGTGGCGAAATTCAAACAAGGAATGGATACTTTGTACATTATTTTGCGCCCACAAAATTTACCTGTTTGCCCAAAAGAGTTGTATTTGTTATCGATCGTAGCGGTTCAATGAGAGGGACAAAAATTGCACAGACAAAATCTGCTTTTGAAACCGTTCTAAAAGAGATGTTGATGCCGACGAGTGAGTTACTTAATCCTTTATTTAGCCAATTCGTGTTTGCCTTCTATTACTCGCTTTGTAGGAATAGAGTTGAATATAATTTTTATTCCAGATTCAATATTGTTACGTTTGCGGGTGACATCACCGTATGGGAAACAGAATCCGATTTAGTAAAGGTCACAGAAGAAAACGTAAAGAAGGCGATAAAATACGTCAGAAGTATCAATGCGAACGGAGGTAAGAAACCAGTATTGGTTTTATTTATTCTAATCGAAGGGTGGATTTAAACGATTCGAAGCCATTGGCTACGTCATTTGTTAGAGGGGAGGGGCATATAGAAGCCGTTATGACCTCATAATTGGCATATTGTAATGTATTGTGACATCATTTTGTGATTTATAAAATTTTAAATAAGTTTTGTTCTTAATTTGAAAACGACTCAAAATGTACTGTCTGAAATAAATGATAGTATGAAATTAATGGGAGTGCCCCTAGGCTTCAGTGTATTCAGGAAAATTGGCGATATCAAGTTTCTTTTTCGAGATGCATGACAGTATAGTTTTTATAAATACTGTATTGTCATCACATTTAAACGTTTTCAATACAGGGACAAATTTGAACGGTGGATTACTAAAAGGCGTGGAGTTACTGGAGAGCGTGGGTGCCGATGAGAGAGTCTCTTCTGCAGTAATTACTTTATCGGATGGTGATCCGACCGCTGGTGTCACAGATGAAGCACAATACGTAAAAATGTTAAAAAAAGCTGTCGATGGAAGATTTTCAGTATTTTGTATTGGCTTCGGGAGGAATTTAAATCCACGATTTTCTTAAACGTCTGGCAAATGGAAAATGATGGTCTTGCGAAGGTATTATAAGTTAATATTTTTTACCAAGATGTATTTTAGTTTATCACAAAAACAATTCTAAGATAAATAAAACAGCATTGGCAATAAACTAATTGTCCATTCAGAGCATTCGAAAAATACCTTTTAAAATTTAATACTCACCTTTATTTTTCATTTCTCCCAAATTTACCGATATGGATTCTTTGAAATGAAAAAAAAATTGTATTTAGAAAAAATCTATGAAGATTCTGACGCTGATCTTCAACTAGAGGGATTTTTCCAAAGAAGTTGCCACTCCACTACTTCTTTCGTGTTGTTATGTCGTATTCTGGTTTCCAATATTTCCGATGTCAGCAAAGTACACTGCGATCAATATTTTGATGGATCCGAAGTTCTTATAGTTGGTGCCAAGTTGGATGGTATGTGTGGTAGTAACATTTGCGCTGTATTTAGCTGTAAATCTTTTACTGACATGAAGAATAATTAATAACTTTGACATAGCTTGGAAAACTTGTTGGACACGAAATGGATCCATGCATCGTTTTGTTATTATGTTGTTTTTGTGAAAAAAGTACTTTTCTATTCAACTACGGGCCCCTTTGCTTTGAAATTTTCAGTGGGTAAAGCTTGATGTTGTCATTAGAGAACTGTTACTATTCATTTATTTCAAAAATATCTGTGGGCTCTGTGGTTTTGGTTTCACTTCATAGTTTTGAGTGATTACGTCATCAAAATTTAAAATTGCACACGGGGTTCCGTGATCACATTTCAGTGAATTGGTAGTCAGACTACCGGTTCTTCGAAAGATTTGATACTACTTTATTTGGGATTTCGTGTCCATATATTTGTACACTGCCTTCTTGTTTTATGATGACATAGTGTAAAATGATGTTAATTTTGTGACTTATTTTTTAGACAAACCACTGCATTCAAAAATTATTGGTCATTCACTTGAGGGTGAAGTGGAGTACAATATTGTAAGCAGTGGAAGTTGACGATTCCTTTCAACATTGGTAATGATGATACAGGCGACTTCGAAGATTTTATCGAAAAGAATTTGGGCGTATTACTCCAATCAGAGAAAAATTAGAAGACAAGGTTTTAGGCCGAAACAGATGTGAGTAGATATTTAAAGATTTTTTCGAAAGTTTTTTTAAACAAAAGTTTATTTTACCCGGGGTCGTAAGCCAGTAAGTCGGATCATTATAAGATCCAATACCGGCACAGTCTGGGAAATGCAAAGCGTAAAATCCTTTAGTGCAGGCTCAAAATTTGAAGCCAGATAAGAACAATTAAATTGCATTAATCCAGACCGGTGTTTTTTAAACGCTTTACATCGCGACCCACATGCCAGCACCAAATGTTTTAGCGGCCTTCAAGAACTAAGATCAAAATAACGGTGAAATTTAATAATACAGTAAATATTAAAACAAATAATACAATTGACAGTACCCTTAATGAGGCCAATGTGCTAGCATATTCTCGTACAAATGATCGGATCTTGGCTCCATTTCGGTGGCGGTGGGTGTCAGTGCCGGTTTCAACTTTTTTAATTTTGATCGATATTTTGTTTTAACATATATAAGTTAGTGTCGAAAAAGACTTTACGCGACCCCCATTTTAAGCCCTTTCGCTGACCCACTCAGTGGTCGGGTCCCTAAATCTGAAGACCCCTGATCCATACCATATAACTCGGACTATATTTTAAAATTTGGACAACTCAACTTTGCACAATAGCAATGACACATATGTTTATGTCTCATTGTAGAGTTCGACTCGCACTAACAGCAATGATCATTTTATTTTTAGAAGAAGTCAAAAACTTGTGGACGAAGCTATGGCTTTATCTCTGAAGTACAATTTCGTTACTCCGCTGACATCCTGGTTGTCGTTTTACCAGAAGATGATGATAACAACCACAACGCCAGTAACTCGTAAGTAAAAAACATTAGAACTTTATGTAGGAATGTTAACGAAAACGGGACTTTTCGCGCCAAAAATTGTGTACCAGGTTAGGGTTAAGCCATAATTTTATTCCGGTTTTCCTTATTTTTAGTGTCTTATTACGAGTTTGGGGACAGTCTGTATTAGCCACGTAAATATACCCCCTGTCCATAGGTTTTAGTCCATTTATACAACTCGATGTAAAATAGGCGAACAAAATTAGTTATCTTCATATTGGTACACATACTTCTGGAGCGCCAAAAATTGTACGCATCACGAGTGCTAGATCCACCGTGTTGGAGTACTGCCTACACTGTTAAAAAAAATTTTCCAAATTTACTAAAAAAAAATGGCAGCAAAAGTACTGGCCCATGTAAAAAAATTTACAGGCCCTATCAGTAGTATTATGAACAGTATTTTCAGTAAATTTACAGAGATTGATGGTAGCAAAAATTACTATAAAACTGTAAAAAATACTACTTTTTGACGGCAGTAAACCTACCCACCAGTAAGTATATTTTTTACCTTAAAATAGTAAATAAAATTACTATCTCGATGGCAGCTACCTTACCCGACAGTAGTACCATACAATACTAGCATGATGGTAATTTCTCACTCGCGATGACCGAACCACTACGAGAGTAGCAAAGCTATTTACTAGCACGACACAACAGTAAACACACATATTACAGTTAAAATAAAAAAAACGAGATTCTGGAAACGAAAATCATTTTATTACAATTGATATTTTTATAAAACCATAAATACACACTGAATGCCTTTAAGGCTTGTAAAACAGTTTCGAAAGAAATTTCAGAAAATATATGGTCTACAGTCAAATTTAAACACCTATTAGGAGACGTTGAAGGCTATCCATGCAATAAAATGAGGGCACAAGTTCTTGTAGGACATAGGAATTCTGTATGTAATGGATCAAAATCGAGTTTCTATTGGCACTTGTTAGAAATCTGGTCTATACATTTCGAGGTCTATTTATTTATCTCAATAGATCCAAATAAAGTCAAACAAGAAAACGTTTTAGGACTGGGTTGTTTAGTTGACAAACTTATTTTGAAATCAAATTTCTGGATACCAGGCTATGAGACGCTGGCAAACGTGACATAATAACGAGACTATTGTAAGAATTTCACGATTTTTTGCACTTTACTCTAATTATAATGTTTCAAAATGAAAATTTTGGGAAATATCATGCAACCTATTTTGTAGCTATGGCAAGAGTTTCAAAGATGACAAATTCTAAAGTTAATTATGCAAGATAATTTTCAAGATAAGATTTCAAGGGGCGTGAAGTCGAAGAGCGGGAGTTTGAGGATTTTGGTAGGAGCATGAGTGGGAGTTCTAAATTTTGAAGCTTGCAGAGTCTATAGAGTTAATCATAGTCGGAGTTTATCCACACTTATGAATAGAGTTTGACTGGACATTTTTAAAGCTCATGAGCTAGGAGCAGAGTTTGCAGAAGTTGCAAATTCGAAAATGTTAAAATTGATAAAACTGGACAAAAAGTTACACTAAAGCAGCTAGCATAGCAGCAGTCAAATCTTATAAGATCAGGGAGTCAAGAGTTTTAATTCATATTTTGAAAGAGTCTTGAGCAGAGACGGAGTCATATATTTGCAAATGTGGGAGTTGATAGTCATGAGTGGAAGCCAGAAATTTTGTGGTTGAAGAAGATTACGGAGCAGAGTTTGTTTAAAATTATCCAGACTTCACACCCAACACACAGCTAAATCATTTTTTATCAAATTAATCGATCAGCCAAAAGCAGGGCTGCGAACTCGAACTTCGAAAAACTCTATCAAATACATGAACTCAAACCCCTGACCAGGGTAATGAACTCGAACTTGAGAAACTCAATCAAAGGCATGTGAAAATTTGATCGAGTTTTCACCCCTGGTCAAAAGTGATGTAAGCTGCAGTAACACCACCAAAGTTTACTTAAACATCAATTTCTAACAACGGCACATATAACGCCTGTGATAGATTCACTCTTCTTGCAAGGCCGATTACTTTTGCATGAACGTCTTTGCCTTTACTTTTTTTCGACTTAGTGCCTCTGGGGTTTATGTCACCGAAGAACCTGAAAAAAGACCGAACTTAAATGGCGAATAGGTTTCACATATGAAATTTGGAAAACGTCCTGTCATCTCACCACCAAAATAGTAAAAACACAAACACTGGACAAAAATAGTAAAAATGTCAGGTATTTATAATGTATCGTGCCTTGCCAAGGGATAAACAAAAAACTGCCAGTGGGCCAGGAATGCAATTGCTAAACCAGAAGCACCAGATCCTCCTAGCCTCCAGTTGTCGCAAATCGCAATAGGCTCATCCGCTCGTTGACATTCGATTGCAAATGCAGCAATTGAAAAATATTGTATTAATTTCTGTCATTAGTAATGATTTTTTGCAAATATATCAAAAATTTCCTGCTACAAAATGGAGAGCACAGTGACATCGTTTGAAATTGAAGTTCACTAAAATAGGATTGTTGTGAGTTCATTTTTCACATATGGATGTAAAACATATTAGATTAGGAGGAAACATGTGTGGTACCGCCAGTCAGTCTATTATTAACCACCTAAAACTGTTTAACTAATTAAATTATTCTCAGCCCACTTATGGCCCAGTCCCCAGGATATGGACACCATGAGTTTGTGCAAGTCCAGTCACATATTTCCTTTTCACAACCCATTTTTTGTATTGTATGTCATCAAATAACACTACATGACAGAAGAAACAGGTAATTCGTCAACAACGTGTACATTGTGCCAACAGCAAGAATTATATCAGCACTGTAGACTAGCACATTTTTTCTTACCTCTGAATAAAATCAAACGTCAGCAAGGCCTTCTTTGGATATTCTATGTTGAAAACATAGAACGAAGCAAACTGAAAAGCTACCGCTTCAAAAAACGATCTACAGGAACACACCACTTCTCGTTCAGCGATGACGTAAAAAGTCTCAGCAGTCGCTACCGTGTTACCTGAAACACAAGATTGTAAACTTTAGCTTCGAATCTATAGGCTTATGAATAAAGTGAAAGTCACTCGACAGGTTGATTAATCTTATTATCTCAACTTCTAAAGCCAACTAATAACAAATACACTTACTAGAGGTGGACGATTAGTGATTTTTTTGATAATATGCAATTACACAATTATTAATTGTATAATAGTACGATCATCTCCAAATTGGCTTTGGCTATATATCTAACATAGCAGACATGGATTTGTTCTTATTTTCACTCACCGTTGATAGCAAGCGCAACACTGATAAAACGAAGGGAGAACTTATTACATTGATGAGGCTTATGATGCGCATTACGTTCTTTCAGAAATATATATTTCATATTTCAAGCAATGCATACTGTGACGCAACAGTTAAAGCAGGTTGCATGACAGAAGCTGGTGATATTATTTTATAATAATCACAACTGAGAAGTATATGGCGACACAAAATGGCCTTTGAAAAAGTTGCGCAGAATTAATCACAGGAAAACAGCTATCATATCATTTTTCGAAATTGTTCCCGATATTCACAATTACATCGCTCACCTCTAACACTTACCTATGCAAGCAATAAATGGAGATTTTGGAATATCTTTTAATATCTGGGAAAAAGTGGTTTCTTTCTGAAAATAGGCAAAGTAGTGAATGTATATGCAAAAAAATTCCGTTAACCACTATCATGCAGTTAGTTTCCAATTAATTTGCAGTCGGCTCACAAAACTTTATACGAACAGTGTTGTGCAGAAGTTACATTACTCTTGATGCAAAAACTTTCAAAAAAAAGTACTTTACACAAAAAAAGCATAGAACATACCTGGAAACACTTAAATATTTGGTTTAGGTTCTCTCCGAAATAATAGGCGATCAACGTGACCACCCCAGTCGATTTTGGTAATTCAGTTTTCAGACTCTTTGATTCCGATTTTGAAGAACTTATAAATTCAGAAATTTTCTTATTGGTTGAATATTTCAATGTTCTAAATAATAATGCCTGCTAAAACGCTTAAAAACAGTGAAAAACCGTCAAAAAACACCCAGAACCCTGCTAAACGCTTAAAAACAGTGAAAACCGTCAAAAAACACCAAGAACCCTGCTAAAACGCTTAAAAACAGTGAAAAACCGTCAAAAAAACACCAAGAACCCTGCTAAAACGCTTAAAAACAGTGAAAACCGTCAAAAAACACCAAGAACCCTGCTAAAACGCTTAAAAACAGTGAAAAACCGTCAAAAAACACCAAGAACCCTGCTAAAACGCTTAAAAACAGTGAAAAACCGTCAAAAAACACCAAGAACCCTGCTAAAACGCTTAAAAACAGTGAAAACCGTCAAAAAACACCAAGAACCCTGCTAAAACGCTTAAAAACAGTCAAATAATACAGTGTAAATTGTGAAATCGCCAAATACGTTCCGAACAAGATGGCCGCCTTGTAGACTTTGTAGTAGTATAGTTGAATTCATCTGTCTGTTACCGGTACCGTACCTATTGTTGCCACTGACTTGTAACGTTTAAAACGTATCATATCACCATAGGCTACCGGTAAGTTACATCTATTCCGAAACAAATACTGAAATAGCCAATTCAGATTTTTACTCTTGGTCGTCGATATATACCGGTACCGGTAAGACGCGAAACTAACGCAGTGTGTAAGCATGTCGCTGGTATACAGGTACGGTACCCGGTACCATTAGATGCTGATGTACACGGGTATTTAAAGAAATTTTGGTCTACCAACTACAAGTCTGCTACTGTAACACAAACATGCTCAATTAACGCATGAAAAGCTACAAAAACCCAACCGCCTAAAATAAAATCCACTAACGACAAAGAGCCTCGCTTACGGAGTCCTAATTCCTGAACCAGAAAAAGCGCGGGCTACAGGCACGTGACATTTGAGTGATGTCATAATTGGCACATTACCGGTACTAAATGACCTATGACGGTAAAGAGAAGGATTAAAATATAGGACATATTGATCTCTGCAAAAAGTACCAGTACCGGTACCTCAATATTCAGACCACTACCCGTGGTAAATTCGCAGCTACCGTACAGACCGTTGCTAACACAATCATCAAACTCAGACTCACGCTATTGCATACTTAACATACGTACCGCATTCAGTTTTCCGCACGCAACCGATGCTGAGCTCCCAAACAGCTTAGCGTCCCAGCTGAGATGGGCAAGGAAACTCGAAATCAAAAATGCTGCGCACGCAACCTGCCTCGTGGAGTTTTTGCGGATGAATTTTTGAACAAATAGGTCCGCTTACTTCCGGAAAAATAATATATAAAAACAATATCTTATCTTGTCTAATGCAATAGCAAAACAATCAGAATTTTTGGGTGATGAACCAAAATAATTTTGAATAAAATTAATTCAAATTAATACCCAGAGCAAAATTTAGATGAAATTCTAAAGGAGTATTTAAATTTGCTTCGTGACTATATCGTAGGTAGATAAATTCGTTTATTGGAAAGAATAGTTACTCGTAAAGTAGAGGATCTTAGATTTTTTTACTTTTTCCAAGTATACTAATCTTTTTACTATTTTTCTGTTATATTAATTACTAACTGATCAGTGAAATTACTATTCATTAGTAAACTATTAACAAACAAGCACCCTGATTGGCTCAGCTAAGCAAGTCACGTGATTTCAATAAAATACTCTTGTAGAAAGTAAAATTCAACGAAAAATTAGTAAAAATTTACTAGAAAAATTAGTATATTTACTAATTTTTTTAACAGTGTATATAACGATTAGCTATTGCCTTCGTTCCAAATTTTATTCGATTACCTTCAAAAATAGCGGAGATACAACTTGATATTTATTGATCTCACACGTCTGCTCGTTACAGTTTTTGAGTCAGCGTAATGCTAACCTTATGACGAAAATTGGTCTCCCGGTGGTATTAGAATGACGATGTCTCCATTATTTCTTTGACGTTTTTGCAAACTTGGTATTGTCTTTTCACTTTGATATATCCACTAGCGCTGTTTTTATTTTATTAACTTTAAATTTTTGTAACACACCTACTGTACGCAAGAATATCATCTTTTTCATTATATAACGTTATTTTTATTTTTATCACAGCTACGGTATACCCTCCTATCCCACCCTGCTGGTTCAGGGGCGCTACCATTCCTGACTACATAACTGGGCCTCCGATTTGGTGTCCATACATTATCGATGGAAAAGCTGAAACAAATAGGCCTACAGCTACCAGAAGACTGTCATCCGTAAGACCTGCCTATGGAAGAATATCAGGGGCAGCGCCAGCTGCGCCGGCGCCAGCTGGGGCACGGCCAGCTGCGCCACAAAGTAGGCCAGCTCCGCCACAAAAGTCTAAGACAACAAGTGCACGAAAGCCTGTCAAGAACAATGCACCAGCCTTCGGCGGTTTTGGATTCTCTTCATATATTATGTCTGATGTTGATATGTATGGTTATGCGCCTTCCGTACTCGGTAAGTAGTATATACTTGATAGAATTTAAACCCTTCAGGCCGATAACTTATTGGACGCAAAGTGTACGTATAAATCGTTTTTTAATATGTTGTTGTTGTTGCTTTTTTTGTTATTGTTTTGAATTCATTTTTGTCTTCTCCTTGTTGCTGCTAAAAATCACTTTTTTCATTAACTATTGGAACAATTGCTTTAAAATTTTTCATTGGGTGAAGGTTGTATTTTTCGCCATAAGGCTATTACTTTTAGTTATTTTAAAACTGTCTGTGTGCCCCACGGGATTCGTTTTTCTTGCATGTGATGACGCATTCAAAAGTTGCGCGCACTATTCAGTTCGATAACTTGTTTTTACTTTATGGTTTAGTGCAAAAAGCGGATAATTGCAGTGGAACCCTGACGAATGACAGTGCATCCATATCATTGCCGGAACGAAACCATTCTCTTACTACTGTGCTTTGTGAGTGGGACATCAAGTTGCCTAAAGGATCATGGATTGATTTATACGTCGGGAGACTTGAGTCGTCACATAATGAAGTATGTTATTTTTACAGCAATTTTCTGCCTCTGTTATTCAGAACAAAATATGCTTCTTCAATTCATAAAAAAATTTTTCCTAATTTTTGATCGCTTACGCGAGGTCATAAAACTTCCTAGAAATATCTCTACTATTCCATTATAAAAAAAGATTTATTCGTTTCCATCGTCATATTTATAACATCTTTATTTTTTCTTATTTCAGATTTCAATCGTAAGCAAAGGAGAGACGCTGGTAGCTCACTATGGTGGTGTTACTGCATCGAAATATTTTTATATTGCCCATAATGAATTCTATGTCGTCATGAGAGTTGATCCTGATGAAACACTGCAGACTGGACTTGTTCTTAAATACCAAAGATGTAAGTAGAACGCGCACCTAATTAAACAGTTTTTTTTTGAATTACAGCATGTTATAATATGTGAAGCCTACTCTCAAAGGGAAGTCTTCAGGGCAGAAACATTATTCTCGATCACAATTTTAAAATCGTTTTGTTTTTAAACGTTTTTCAAAATATTTCTGGAACTTTGACGTTACAAACAAAAACTGCGCAACTCAATTGGATATATATTCTAAAAAAGAAGCATTTTTGACGATCTTTTATTTGGTAACAAATTACAAAATATAGTATAATTTTGTGAGAATGCCTTGCAATCCTTATTGGCTTACAAACAGGGACAAGCCTCGCGCATTATTGGTATACGTATCCCTGAACTCGCGCCTGTTTGGGTCGAAAAGTCAGCTCCGGAACGTCCGTCTGAAAACTGTCTGCCGTAAGCAATAAGTAACATAATATGTTTTATTATCTTAGTTGTACCCGACGATAAACCAATTGTAACTGAAAAGAAAACACAATATTATGAGTCTGGGCCGACGAACTGTGGACAAACAATCTCTTCAACCGATGCCTCATCTGGATACATAACGTCGCCAAACTATCCTTCATCATATTCGAGTAACTCACATTGCAAATGGAAAATAGAAAACTTGGATGCTTCTAATAAAGAACTGAAAATAACATTTCTGGACATGGATATAGAAACCAATGGAAATAAAGAATGTTTACATGACAGAGCTGTAATCACAACGAAAGATAGTTCCCAAAATTTCTGCGGCATGCAAACAAACGAAGCCTTTTCCAGTAGCGACGATGTTGTGACGGTTGAATTCATCAGTGACGCAAACTTACAATCTGGTGGATTCAGAGCACATTATGAATTTGTTCCAAAAGTGACAAACCACTAGATTGTGAGATTATACGTCGAAAAGTGTAGCCCTGGAAACTATAAATGAAAATATATAAACTTCATCAAAAATGATTGTTTATTCTAATTTTTCTGAAAATGACTTTTACGCTGTGTGAATTGAAGGACATTCCCAAATCAATATCTTTTGAAACTTTAAAATAAATTTTCTAAAAAAGTAATTTGAAATATTATCTGCCTTTGATAAAAATGGCAACATTGTACTACATTGGTCATTAGTGAAGTCTTTGTCAATAAATACTAGAATTTTAAATATATACCTTCTTGTGGTATACATTCAACCATAGCAATCACCTGTGTCAAACCTATTAACATAAAAAAAAATACAGAGTCCAGCATCCATTAAAAATAGATTGAAAACGATATTTCAAAAAATATATGCTCTTTAATAAAACTAAATATATATATATGTATTTATTTGAATGTCCACTCATGGGATTCGGTGTTTACCGAGTCTAATGACGGTGAACTTAACGATCTTTGGAAATTGGGAACAATTGGTAAATATTGTATTGAATATGTGCAACGTCAGTGTTTAAACAATTTTCGGTCAAATATACTGGTGAACTCAACGTTGTTGATATTAATATTACAGAATATTTAACGTGAAAATCCGTTATTATATTATGTACTTCGTGAGATCACTATTGGCTTCACAATTGCTCTATACATTCCTATATCTAACATCCAATCGGATTTGAGGCAGAACATTTTGTTATAGTATGGGAAAAGTGTTCGTTCAAATAAAGTATCATACCGAGTCAATGGAGCAATATGTAAGAGTGGAATGGGACCCGGATTTTATAAGGAAAAACACTCAGTGATATAACTAAGCGATAAGTGAAATAACCAACAATTTTAAGCGATAACGAAACAACAACTAAAAATGTTCCTTTGAAAACTGCCATCGAATAAAAAAATTGAAAAAAAATAAAGCTTCATTCGTCGGCAAAGTCTGCTTAAATCGATGCAAATACTACTACTTGAACCTTATTATCAAGGTTTAATCTTCACGCTTGGAACATTTATTTATCACTGATCACGGTATAAATGAACGTATTCATATAAAGTTCATATGTACATATGTGCATATGGTCTTTATATGAACACGTTTTGAATAGATTCAAGTCAAATAATTGTCTTGTGTATAATATGCATTTACCTCATTTATCAGGGATGGCGAACCTTTTCCAATGCATCACGCATACGAATTACCGAAAAACGTTCAGGATGATGCGGCAAATTATTTCACGGTTTCGAAAAGTTTGGGAGGGAATTTCACTCTGATAGTGTTATATTTTTAGATCAGTTTCAACCGCATTAAGGCGCTTTTACACTGCCCTATTGCTATTTCTAGGTTTTTATTTTAAGTCCAATCGATTTTGTTTTCTCAACGGCATTGTAGGCGAGCAACTAATAAAATGCAAAGTAGCATTTAGTTCTCGAATACCCCCTCCCCCCCCGCATATCCGGAAAGGAACGCTGCAACAAGACGAGAGCGAGAAATGAACATATCAAATGTATCGTTATGACATAAACAATGTCACACAGCCAATAGCTGCATAGCGGTGTACATGAGCGCAGACGACCCGGAAATTACAATTCGAATTTGAGCCATCGCTGTCCTGGCTGCCCTAATGATGGTACATTATATAGTTATCCTATATAATAAATTTCATATCATGGTAAACTTTAAATTTAATTAAATACGGTTATATCAATTTTTATCATTTATAACTTAGTATGTTTTTATTTAATTCGTGCTTTGGTGGGTCACCGAAATAATGCGATGGGTCACTTTGTGACCCGCGGGTCAGTGGTTCGCCATCCCTGTCATATATCATACATATCATCATTCAATTTCTCAGGTCCTGTCCAAGGCACTGCGCACTATCGTTGATTTTACTTTTACGAAAGATTACGGTGCATCTAAATAAACAGCAGTGGCCTCTTACATATCGTAAGATGCATTGGATGCCGGTACGGGGCTTTGTACGGATTGAAAGGCAAGTGTTTCGCTCGTCTTGGGCTTTGTTAAGAGCGAATTGTGAAACATATTATTCATACCCCATTCATTATACCCCATAAACTAGTGGTTCCCAAACTTTTTTGTTAAATCCCTCCCTTTGCCTATTTCGGAACTCTTTAAATTCTTCCTAACTGTGCATAAAAACCAATTTATTGGTCCAATCTTAATTGGACTCTTAGCTGGTGTTATGCATCACACTCCCGCCGTTGTACAGTTTGAGTGGTTTTTAATGTGTCCATCAGGAAAGCATTACAGTAATGAAAAAGAGTTAAATATCATTACTAATACTACAGTAAATAAATACAAAGCAAAATTCCTCCTCATTTGGAAAAAAGTTGACTCGAATAGTTTCAATTACTTCAAAACACAAGTAAATGTACTGAATTTATTTAGAATTTCGTATCTTTCTACATATGAAACCATAAATTGGTCGCTTTGTGTTTGTGTAAAATATTCCACGAAAATCCACAAAAAGTTAACTTTGTTTTTATGGTAAATTTATCATATATATAGTGGCATATCACTGGACCCCAAAATAGGGGTTTGTTCATAGCGAAATTCTTGAATGCGGATCGTATAAAAAGTTCTAATAGCAATCTACTATTTGGATGACTTTTCTAAACTAACAAAGTAATTTTAAAAAATTTGCTGGTTATTTTTGACAGCATTTGCCAACAAAAACAAAGTAACGGGCTTGTTTCAACTCAACTCTAAATCCACAGACTCATCGATGCCCTTGAATGGTCGTGAAGTGTGTAGTATAGTACTTAGAAACATCGAGAGCTGATATAATAATCAGGTTCTCATGGTGAAGACTGAAGGATGGCTCTGTTAATTAGAGCAGTGGTCGGCAACCACCGGGCCGCGGTCCATCGCCGGTCCGCAGAGAGGTAAAACAAAAACGGCTAATTCTATACTTCAGGATCCGGATAATCATAAATTTAGCACATCGAGTAAAAAAATAGTTTTGGCAAAACAAACATCAAGCAATACCCAGATCAGAGTCAGAAGGTTCCAGGCGTTGTTACCTTCTCCAAAATCCTATCCTGGTTTTCAATATTGATAACTACAAAAACGAAATATCGAAGTAGTCTGGATGTATTGTGTCACTGTCGACCATATCTTCAATATGGAAACAGTTTATGGCCAGCAAACAAATACAGATATTACATTAAACAGCATCACTTTAGTTTTTTAGTATATTGTCAACATAAATTTCCTAATGCGTTCCTATTCGTTTCCATCGTCATATTTATGACATCTTTATTTTTTCTTATTTCAGGTTTCGATAGTAAGCAAAGGAGAGACGCTGGTAGCTCACTATGGTGGTGTTACTGCATCGAAATATTTTTATATTGCCCATAATGAATTTTATGTCGTCATGAGAGTTGATCCTGATGAAACACTGCAGACTGGACTTGTTCTTAAATACCAAAGATGTAAGTAGAACGTGCACCTAATTAAACAGTTTTTTTTTTGAATTGCAGCATGTTATAATATGTGAAGCCTACTCTCAGAGGGAAGTCTTCAGGGCAGAAACATTATTTTCGATCACAATTTTAAAATCGTTTTGTTTTTAAACGTTTTTCAAAATATTTCTGGAATTTTGACGTTACAAACAAAAACTGCGCAACTCAATTGGATATATATTCTAAAAAAGAAGCATTTTTGACGATCTTTTATTTGGTAACAAATTACAAAATATAGTATAATTTTGTGAGAATGCCTTGCAATCCTTATTGGCTTACAAACAGGGACAAGCCTCGCGCATTATTGGTATACGTATCCCTGAACTCGCGCCTGTTTGGGTCGAAAAGTCAGTTCCGGAACGTCCGCCTGAAAACTGTCTGCCATAAGCAATAAGTAACATAATATGTTTTATTATCTTAGTTGTACCCGACGATAAACCAATTGTAACTGAAAAGAAAACACAATATTATGAGTCTGGGCCGACGAACTGTGGACAAACAATCTCTTCAACCGATGCCCCATCTGGATACATAACGTCGCCAAACTATCCTTCATCATATTCGAGTAACTCACATTGCAAATGGAGAATAGAAAACTTGGATGCTTCTAATAAAGAACTGAAAATAACATTTCTGGACATGGATATAGAAACCAATGGAAATAAAGAATGTTTACATGACAGAGCTGTAATCACAACGAAAGATAGTTCCCAAAATTTCTGCGGCATGCAAACAAACGAAGCCTTTTCCAGTAGCGACGATGTTGTGACGGTTGAATTCATCAGTGACGCAAACTTACAATCTGGTGGATTCAGAGCACATTATGAATTTGTTCCAAAAGTGACAAACCACTAGATTGTGAGATTATACGTCGAAAAGTGTAGCCCTGGAAACTATAAATGAAAATATATAAACTTCATCAAAAATGATTGTTTATTCTAATTTTTCTGAAAATGACTTTTACGCTGTGTGAATTGAAGGACATTCCCAAATCAATATCTTTTGAAACCTTAAAATAAATTTTCTAAGAAAGTAATTTGAAATATTATCTTCCTTTGATAAAAATGGCAACATTGTACTACATTGGTCATTAGTGAAGTCCTGTCAATAAATACTAGAATATTAAATATATACCTTCTTGTGGTATACATTCAACCATAGCGATCACCTGTGTCAAACCTAATAACATAAAAAAAAATACAGAGTCCAGCATCCATTAAAAATAGATTGAAAACGATATTTCAAAAAATATATGCTCTTTAATAAAACTAAATATATATATATGTATTTATTTGAATGTCCACTCATGGGATTCGGTGTTTACCGAGTCTAATGACGGTGAACTTAACGATCTTTGGAAATTGGGAACAATTGGTAAATATTGTATTGAATATGTGCAACGTCAGTGTTTAAACAATTTTCAGTCAAATATACTGGTGGACTCAACGTTGTTGATATTAATATTACAGAATATTTAACGTGAAAATCCGTTATTATATTATGTACTTCGTGAGATCATTATTGGCTTCACAATTGCTCTATACATTCCTATATCTAACATCCAATCGGATTTGAGGCAGAACATTTTGTTATAGTATGGGAAAAGTGTTCGTTCAAATAAAGTATCATACCGAGTCAATGGAGCAATATGTAAGAGTGGAATGGGACCCGGATTTTTATAAGGAAAAACACTCAGTGGTATAACTAAGCGATAAGTGATAATACCTAACGATTTTAAGCGATAACGAAACAACAACTAAAAATGTTCTTTTGAAAACTGCCATCGAATAAATTAAAAGTTCAAGTAGAAATTGAAAGAAAATAAAGCTTCATTCGTCGGCAAAGTCTGCTTAAATCGATGCAAATACTACAACTTGAACCTTATTATCAAGGTTTAATCTTCACGCTTGGAACATTTATTTATCACTGATCACGGTTTATATGAACGTATTCATATGAAGTTCATATGTACATATGTGCATATGGTCTTTATATGAACACGTTTTGAATAGATTCAAGTCAATTAATTGTCTTGTGTATAATATGCATTTGCCTCATTTATCAGGGATGGCGAACCTTTTCCAATGCATTACGCATACGAATTACCGAAAAACGTTCAGGATGATGCGGCAAATTATTTTACGGTTTCGAAAAGTTTGGGAGGGAATTTCACTCTGACAGTGTTATATTTTTAGATCAGCTTTCAACCACATTAAGGCGCTTTTACACTGCCCCATTGCTAATTCTAGGTTTTTATTTTAAGACCAATAGATTTTGTTTTTTCAACGGCATTATAGGCGAGCAACTAATAAAATGCAAAGTAGCATTTAGTTCTCGAATACCCACCCCAGGACAGTCCGCAGGGCCTTTTGGTTTTGCATATCCGAAAAGGAACGCTGCAACAAGACGTTGCGAGAAATGAACGTATCAATTGTATCGTTATGACATAAACAATGCCACAGCCAATAGCTGCATAGCGGTGTACATGGGCGCAGACGACCCGGAAATTACAATTCGAATTTGAGCCATCGCTGTCCTGGCTGCCCAAATGATGGTACATTATATAGTTATCCTATATAATAAATTTCATATTATGGTAAACTTTAAATCTAATTAAATACGGTTATATCAATTTTTATCATTTATATGTTAGTATGTTTTTATTTAATTCGTGCTTTGGTGGATCACCGAAATATTGCGATGGGTTACTTTGTGACCCGCGGGTCAGTGGCTCGCCATTCTTGTCATATATGTTACATATCATCATCCAATTTGTCAGGTCCTGTCCAAGGCACTGTTTGCGCACTATCGTCGATTTTACTTTTACGAAAGATTTCGGTGCATTTAAATAAACAGCAGTGGCTTCTTACATATCGTAAGATGCATTGGATGCCGGTACGGGGCTTTGTACGGATTGAAAGGCAAGAGTTTCGCTCGTCTTGGGCTTTGGCGAATTATGAAACATATTATTCAATACCCATAGACTAGTGGTTCCCAAGCTCTTTTGTTAAATCCCTCCCTTTGACTATTTCGGAACTCTTTATTCCTTCCTAACTGTGCATAAAAACAAATTTATTGTTCCAATCTTTATTGAACTCTTAGCTAGTGCTATGCATCACACTCCCGCCTTTGTACAGTTTGAGTGATTTTTAATGTGTCCATAAGGAAAGCATTACAGTAATAAAAAAAGAATTAAATATTAATACTAATACTACGGTAAATAAATACAAAGCAAAATTCCTCCTCATTTGGAAAAAAGTTGACTCGAATAGTTTCAATTACTTCAAAACACAAGTAAATGTCCTGAATTTATTTACCATTTCAAATCTTTCTACATATGAAACCATAAATTGGTTGCTTTGTGTTTGTGTAAAATATTCCACGAAAATCCACAAAAAGTTAACTTTGTTTTTATGGTAAATATATCATATATAAAGTGGCATATCACTGGACCCCAAAATAGGGGTTTGTTCATAGCGAAATTCTTGAATGCGGATCGTATAAAAAGTTCTAATAGCAATCTACTATTTGGATGACTTTTCTAAACTAACGAAGTAATTTTAAAAAATTTGCTGGTTATTTTTGACAGCATTTGCCAACAAAAACAAAGTAACAGGCTTGTTTCAACTCAACTCTAAATCCACAGACTCATCGATGCCTTTAAATGGTCGTGAAGTGTGTAGTATAGTACTTAGAAACATCGAGAGCTGATATAATAATCAGGTTCTCATGGTGAAGACTGAAGGATGGCTCTGTTAATTAGAGCAGTGGTCGGCAACCACCGGGCCGCGGTCCATCGCCGGTCCGCAGAGAGGTAAAACAAAAACGGCTAATTCTATACTTCAGGATCCGGATAATCATAAATTTAGCACATCGAGTAAAAAAATAGTTTTGGCAAAACAAACATCAAGCAATACCCAGATCAGAGTCAGAAGGTTTCAGGCGTTGTTCCTTGTTACCTTTCCCAAAATCCTATAATGTGAGACCTGGTTTTCAATATTGATAACTACAAAAACGAAATATCGAAGTAGTCTGGATGTATTGTGTCACTGTCGACCATATCTTCAATATGGAAACAGTTAATGGCCAGCAAACAAATACAGATATTACATTAAACAGCATCACTTTAGCTTTTTAGTATATTGTCAACATAAATTTCCTGATGCGTTCAATTTATTGCATAGGCCGTTTGCGTAAAGGTGATCGACCAAAATTTTGGTCAGGCTTTGCCGGTCCGTCATTTGAAAAAGGTTGCCGACCGACCACTGAATTAGAGGATCAGACTCTTATTAGGCAATGAGTTTTTTGATTGAATTTCTGCATTTATGTCCTCACGTTTTTCTATTGTCATATTTTTGTATTTATGACTTCATTTTGCGCTTGTGACGTCAACTATTTATATTATGACATCAATGCCCTTGACTAAATATGAAGTGTATCGGCTGGTATTTCGCAACATTCAGAACTGGTCTAGTAGTGAGGTTCCCGTAATGAAAAATCGCTACATACATTAGCAAGCTTACCCAACCGTTAAATTTTCCCCAAGAGGTCAATTTTTGCATTTATGGCAACAGCCTTTTGGGATGTAGATTATTGTATTTTGAGGCCTTTTTTTTGACGTCAGTTTTTGTGTTTGTGACGTCAATTTTTCTCATATTGTGACAACTGACAACCAGATCTTAAATTAAATGTATTATTGAGTAACGTAACGTGCGTAGGATGAAAAATATTATAATTTTCTGTGTCACATTTAGAACTTGTAGTACTTTATAGCATATATTTTATTCTTACGTTTTTTTTCATATCTTACATATAGTAGTGGAAGATCAAAGTAAAAGAGTGGACGTGAGAATAATGCATAATTAATCGATGATATTTTTATAAACAGTTCAGATAATAATGATGATTTCTAATCATATTTCAAACTAAAATATCGAACGTAGTATTTTTTTGCGATAAATACACTCTTACGGAACTATATGAACTCTTTAAAATTAAGGTTTTTTTTTTAATAAACATAACCAGATTATTTTTCAGATTAAGATCATCAGTTGTTTTGTATATTTATCAATTTATAAAATCAGTTTTAATACATGAGTTGTTATGAATATTGATGCTCCGTAATTACTCATTAAAATCATATTAGACTTCTTCTAATAAACTAAAAAATAATCAATATGATCGCTCGCACCAGATTGACACATATTTTTATATACAAACTTCTGTTCGTAATGGTATTACGTGCGCGGTAGCCACCATTGTCGTCTCTGACAATGTAGCTTATTTGGGTCAATTGGACATCAAGTGTTTTGTTGTTGTTTATATTCTACCTTTCTTTGATGTTGTTGTGATAAAATCGATTTTCTCTTTAACTACTGGAACAATTTCTTTGAAATTTGAGTTAATTCAACTGAATTTAGTTGATAGTTGGACTTGTTTTAATTTGAAACTATTTCTACTTTGACTCAGACATTAAAATTAGAACTAAACTAAAATCATAAAACACTACAATTAGACGACTAATTGTTTCCAGTACGGTGACGTTAATGACTACAATCGTATTATGTAGTAATCTAGTCCGTGCAATAGAAACGTGCAATATGGAAAATTACGCAAAAATAACGCAACACTAATATAACCGATATCACCTCTGACTATACAACACTGTCTAATGTTTAATGTCTGTTGCCACTGTCTAATGAGTGTGGTAATTTATATTGCATATTTTGGTATTCTTAACTTTATCTGTTGACTGGCAACAGTAATTTAATTAGTACTTAAAACCTAGTATCTGTGATAATCATGGATTTGTTTGTGAAGTGATGAACTGAACTGAGATTACGACACTGAGTAGCCTAGAGGAATTTAACAGATTTTATCAAGGTATAATTTGAAGAGAAACTAAACAAACAACAATTCTAATTGATAGAAAAGGGATTTTTAATCGTTCGATTTTGATATGAGCAGATAAAAGCAGTTTTTTAAACAAATTAAAATTTGTAGCTGAGATATTTTTTAATCAGTAATGTTGAAACGTTTGTTGTCGCAGTTCAAGTAACATTATCCCAGATGAAAAGTGGAATTTAGCGGTTAATGAATTCTATATCCAAGATACTAGAGACTTGAGCAGTGTTAACCTGGGCATTTGTACCAACTACGCAAATTTTTGCCTCATGTGTGCAGAAACGCCATTTGTTTAAGATGGTGTCTTTGTGATAGCCCGTTCACGTTTACAAGTTTAGTTGTTTTTAGGGTACTCCCATAGTGTGTGTACCAGGTTAGGCCATAATTTTATCCCGTTTTTCCTAATTTTAGTTCTATTGTGAGTTCGGGGACTGTCTGTGTTTGTCAATTGAATATACCCCTGATCATAGGCTCCATTCTCCTTACACAACTTGGTGTAAAATAGGCAAACAAAATTAGTTACCACCATATTGGTACACACACTTCTGGAGCGCCTTTGTTAGATCAGTAGACCCAGTATTACGAATTAGTTATTTACTAAAACAGCAAAAGTAACAAACATAAGCAAAAAGCAGCCAACCCTAACCCTGCTAGAGTTGGACGATAACGATAGCGGGTGATTGTTGGGTCAAAATGAATTTATGTTATTAATTTGCCAATTATATTGTTTGTTCTCTGGTTTTTGTAGCGGGATGAATATCTTTGATAATGGTTATAGAAACAAAATTTCAAAAATACAATATACCATTTGCATTAACAGAAAATACGTAAATATTGTAGAATTACAAAACTATAGCAATATCATCAAGATGTCTGAGTCTCCAAAAATCAAGCTTATTCGCTCTTACGAAGGCAAGAATGTTGCTGATGCTTATGCGAAGTATAGACCTTCGTACCCCAAAGCAGTAACTGACAGGATAATCGGATATTTACGAAATAAAATGGGGATGGATGCCCAGACAAAGTTTGAGAGAATGCTTGATGTTGGTTGTGGCTGCGGTCAGTCAACTTACATTTTTGCCGACTATTTCAAGTCGATTGTAGGGATTGATATCAGCGAAGCTCAAATCGAACAAGCTAGGAAGCTAAATCAATATGAAAACATATCCTATCAGCTTGTTCATGGATATGTTTTCCCATTCGGAGACAATAGTATTGATTTAATAGCTTCTGGAACCGCGGCTCATTTTTTCGATATACCGAAGTTCGAAAAAGAATGCGAACGTGTGTTGAAACCAAACGGGGTATGTGTGGTATTTAGCAGAGCAATATATTCAATTAAACCAATATTAAACGACGATGAGAATGCATCCACCCCCTCGTATCCATTTTATAATTTTTACAAAGAATTCTTTGTCGACATCAATGGTGACGAAGGAAATATTGTTGCAATTGATGGGAATAAGGTACTATTCGATAAGATACAAAATGACTCCAAGGAATGTTTCAAGGATCTTATTTACAGAGACGAAAATGTGAACACACTCGTAGATCTTAAAAATTTTATGACAACTATGGGTGAATACCTAATTTTAATGGAAACTCAAAAACCCGATATCGATCCTTTAACAGTGATGGCAGAGAAGGTGAAAAAACTCTTTAACATGGAAGGTGTGCCAGACGAAAATGTCAAACTGATCACAGAATCAATTATTTACATGTTCGTGTTCACTAAACGTGGCTGATTTCAAATCAGATTATCGGGGACTCCTTTCACCCTGAAATGCGATTTATTTTATATTTCCTTTAATTTGTGTATGTATAGATCGTATTTTGATGAAGAAATAAATTACTGATTACTGAGATTATCGGCCATAACTTTGGCGGGGTGATAATCTCAAATTTCACATTCCTACAAAATATTCTCTGCCTTTGCATGCTACTCTATTAGAATCCTAGACCTCAATCTTAAAAAAAAATTCTGCATTTTGTCTTCGTCAAGACCATAAAACTTTTGTATTTTATTCAAACACAATTGATGTCAATGAACATTGATTATTTGCTTTACTTTTCTTAATTAGGACTGAACCTTTCGAATCGAATATTAAATTATTCGAATCCGCTCAAACGAATATTTCGAAGTGCCGCCATATTTTTTTCGTTCGCCAAAGATCAATCCATATTTTTTAAATGCAGACTGACATGTGACGCTTTTCTTACGAGTGATTTATTGATGAAACATGTTTATTATTGTGTGTGAAGACCAACTGAACGTCTGGTTTAAAGATTCTATGTTTTCAGTATTGTAGGAGTCGGGAGAACTCGCTATATATATATATCACATTAAAAAAGTCACATACAATTACCAATCTTTCAGGTTTTCGAGATTCGATTCGAGAATAATATTCGATTCTGACATCACCAGGGAATTCGAAAATGCTCAGCACTAGTTGCAATATTGCTTGTATTTGCTACAAATTTCTGTATTGCTTGCTTGAAATTTGGTGCAGAAGAGAAAATTTAACATTACGGTCGGTTCTCTCCTGAAGACGTAAGATGTTTCAATTACCTCTCAATAAAAGTATTACTGTCTTGGTGCACATTATTTGGTACTCCCGAAGTATATGAACCAAGATTGCGGACACCGGAATGTAGAATGTGTGCCAGGTTCGGCCATGATTTTATTCCAATTTTCCTTTTTTCAGTTCTATTACGAGTTCGGGGTCTAGCCAAGTGACTCCCGTAGTATTTGTACCTGAAATTATGACCTGACCCTAACCTGGTACACATACTACGTTCCGGTGTCGACCATCTTAGTTCACATATTTCGGGAGTACCCATTATTTTTTGTATTATTCCTCGGGTGTAATAATGATCAGAATAAAAACTATGCTTGAAGTTTTGGAAATACAGTACAAATAGCTTATGTGGTAGTTTCACGTGTTAATCAGGTGGAAAGAACATTTTAAAATATTTTTTTAAACTTGCGAATAACGTAAATAAGTTTGTTCACTTCGTTTTGAAAACAAAGGCTCTCAAGACAATGCCACTATATATATTTACACTATATAGTTTCGCAGAAAAGCCCCGTACCGTCTACTTACACTTGTAGCAAAATATATAGAAATATCTAAATATTTGAGAACACCCAACGACCGGGAGTCCTTTAACTGGCATATTAATTATCGTCCATTGCTTGAAATCTGCGAATGCAAGTTGGTATTTCAGGGGATTAACGAAGTGCGCCAACAGCTATGGAGCTTAAGCAGACTCCTACGCATTCAAACAATACCATCAGAACAGACTTTCACTCCGGCTTCCGCCCCAAGTAAATAAAGACACCGGATCCTAACACAGAAATGCGAAGTATTTGAACCCTGAGACTTGTGCATACAAGCTTTTTTCAGTTTTCTGTGAAAATATTGCACAAAACGAGGCTTTTCAGTTCGTTGTAAATTCCAACCCTAATGGAATATGCTTTCATGAGACGAATAAAAATACATACAATCGACTTCATATTCACATTACCCTGCAAACCATGTCTCCTACATACCAGTTTAAAATTTTTCAATAATAAGATAATATAATGAAATTACAGCTTTATTGCAACTATCAAATTTATGATAAGCATGATTATGTAATTGAATCTCGAATTAATATGTCTACAAAACTAAATCCAACTTATCAACCAGAGTTTTAAAAAAGTGTGATTATGCTTTGGCCATGCATGGTTGAGATGAAGTTGGTAACAGGGTAAGAATACTTGAAGGTAAGGTTTCACTTTGTTGGTTCAAGAAGCTCCATTAGTTTCTTGCATCTTTTCCTGAAAATTTAACCCATAAAATTATGATAGTTTTTTCATTTATCTTAGAGAGAGAAAATGAGACAAAGTTTTGTATTTTTCAACAACCAGTATTGGTTGGAACAGTAAATAGAACTTTGAAATCTTCTCAAAGCAATCACCGTAAATCCACTGAGAATAGCAAAACATTTTTGATCCCAATGTTTATAGATATAAAAAAAAGTCATGAACATACCCTTAACATTTTTTCAAGTTTGATAGAATCAGCAGCGAATTTTCTAATTCCTTCAGCTAATTTTTCAACTGCCATCGGGTCTTCATTATGCATGTATCGGAATTGGGCTTCTGTCAAGGTAACCTGCAATGAAAACAACAGTACTGAAAAAGTGAAAATAGGAATTTAAGACATTGTAAATAACAAAGCTTAGCTAACAACAATATTCGCAATAACTTCATCAAGTCTACAGTTCCCCTTTTGGCCCGCGCAGCAGCTTTGGAATAACCCTATGGCATATTAGTATCCACAAATAAATATGAGCAGGTGGATAGGCAATCGTTTATGTGACTGAAAGGCTACTTGGACCGTGCAGTTTTGTAAATAAAATGCCAGATTACAAACCTGGTAGTCCTATATCAATGGTTCTCAAACTTTTTAGAATTTGTCAAATTTCGCACTCCACCTAAATTAACTAACAATAAGCAAGGCGAAAGTATGTTTTCTTCAAAAACATGTTGGAAATACATGGATGGAACGTAAATGTCCAAAATACGACAGGCATGATCAATTCTTACAAATAATAAATATTTATATTTTTTCAGGCCCCTGCAAAAAAATTGTCTATGCCCCTTCCTTGTGGGAAGCGCCCCATCGTTTGATAATCATGGTCCTATATGATTGAGTAAAATTACAATACCACTATCAAAATATTACTTTTTCCAGTTTCTGGCTTTGTGCCACTTCAGCTGATAATTGCGTTTCTAGCTTGTCATCATCAGATTGAAGTTGTTCAAGTAATTTCGGTCTGAAAAAAAGAAATTGAAACTGTTTAGGTATAGTCACCTATTCTGTTTTGTGTAGCGTACTCCGGCCTCGAATGTCTTTTAGGCATTTTCTCCAAATATTATCTATGCATCCACATGTACTTGAATATTTCTGGTTGGACATAGCCTAACCTAACCGAGTTGAATAAGAATAACTCCCCTGGTAAAAATGTTGGGCATAAGACTTGAGACTGTGATTATATTCTGTGATGCCAAACTAGTGATGTCCAACGAGGGTTTCATAATCATTAAAAATTTTCAAACAATCAAAAATCATATATTTTATAATATTTTACAATGATAAAACAGAATATGAAAATTTGGCACGATTCCGTTTGTATTTAATTCCATGCGAGGCAATTATCTTATAGTTTGACATCATTGCTAGTTGCTACCTAATATCATGTTGAAAATGATTTCCGTAGGTTATTCAAAACAAATAACCTTACCAAGAGTTACTAATTATAACCAATGTGGACAACAAATCATTATTGTTTCATTTCTGTAATTAAATTGTTACAGCTAAACATTCAACAACTGAAACTCACGAGATTGTAAGCAAATCACATCCAGCGAGAGCTTTGATTTGTTTTGTATTCCTAAATGAAGCTCCCATGACAACGGTCTTATATCCAAACTTTTTGTAATGATTGTAAATCTTTGTCACACTTTGTACTCCTGCGAAAAATGAATATTTTCGAGTGAATTTGATTAAAGCAAGGTTGCGCACTATCAAGTAAAATTTTATCATTGACTCTAAACATCACAGGCAGGACGTAGCCAGCCTCCCTTTCAAAATGTAAAAAAAACTATTTTTCTGTATGCTTTTTGAACCCTTAAGACTCTTCGAATCCCATGTTTTTCAGCCTCCGGCCAAACCCGCTTGCTGTTCAAGGTTGAACTTGGCAATTAGAAATTTCAGACCCCCCTCCCTTTAAAAATTTCTGGCTACACCCCTGATCACAGGTTGTAGGAAATTTCAACTCCAAATATCTCCAAATTCAGAAAAAGTCAAATTTTGTAAACAAAAACATTAAGAGTATGCACGCCTCATTCAATAGATTATTATGAATGTTAAATTAATACTTTAAGTTTTAGCCAAAGTTTGACATATGACTCAAACCCCAGAGAATCTCGTATTTGAATTCTGAGAAGTTAGACTCTGAAATAGTAGAAACATACTGAACTCAAGCTTCAGACTTCGTATTCCCAGTTACAACGTGCAAGGGGCTTAAAGGGCTAGATGTAGTAGATGCTTTCTTGAAGTAATTAGATTCAAATTGAAGGGTAAACAATTCCTGGTGATGAAAAGTAATTGAACCAATGCGTGAGTTTCTCATAAAAATTAGAAATTTCTGTCACTCATGTCCTTGACTCACTGTTGTGTCTCGAAAAATTAAACTCTGTATGGTAATTCATGATTCATTCATGATAGCGAAAATAAACTGTGAAATAATTCTGTGATTACATATACCTGGGTCATCATGAAGTCCATACTCTTTCTGTCCGGTGCTCTTCACATACCAATCGTATATTCTTCCAACAAAAGGTGAAATTAATGTAACACCCGCTTCTGCACATGCTACAGCCTGTGTACCAAGAAAAAACAAATACGGTACAATGTACAAAATGACACTATCTCGGTTCGGCGGTGTGGTAAATTGTGCTAAGCGTTTGGAATACGCTCGCCCCATCACCTCTGATTACCCTGCGTGGATTCGCAGGTTTGAATCCCATGCGGGGTGTATTATGTGCAAGAGGATTGCTGGACTTCTCGCCGTCATAGGGTGGTTCAGGTAACTGCTGGAAACCAAACGAGAGGCCGTGGTTCACTATACGATTGAATCGTATTATCAGCTTTTATCTCCCCCCGGGATAAATATATAAATCCTATCCTATTTTTATAAAGAATCACATTTATTATATAATGCGATGTGAGGGACTGAATATTAGACTAAATTCCAGGTGTTATTAAGCTAAAACTATTGTTAAAATTATGATTGAATTCATTACTAACATTAATAAAAGGGTAGACATATCATTTATCCAAGAGTCTACATGCCTGATGCAAAGCATAAAATTCTGGCAGATGTAATTACAAGTATAAAACCAAATACAGAAAACTTGAATTCAAGATAATAAAGCATACCAAATCCCATATATATAGCAATTCATAGCTTATGCTTAGCAGAAACATGATGCATCATGCATACACCCTCAAATCAAGAATTTGGTTTAAAGAGTTATTCAAAGACAAAAAGCATATATTTTAGTAAGAAATGAAACAAGCATCTCTTGAATGAGGCTCATCACACTGCATTGAAAGTCTCAATAAAAATTAAGATTGAAACAAACCTGTGCAAATGAAAACAACAATGTCATGTTGCAGTGAATTCCTTCACTTTCGAGTATTCTAGAAAAAAGAAGATGAATATAAATATTTGGTGCTCTGTTTGCTTAGTATGTGTACTAGGTTAGGGTTAGGCCATAATTTTATTCTGATTTTTCTTATTTTAATTCTATTATGAGTTTGGGGACTAACTGTTTTAGCCAAGTGCATATACCCCCTGCCGATAGGTTTCAGTCCCTTTACATAGCTTGATGTAAAATAGGCAAACAAAATTTGTTACCTCTATATCAGTACATGCACTTCTGGAGCGCCCCATATTCAACATATATTCTTAATCTTAAGTTACAATTTGGAGCGTCAAATTTTGTTATGAATGTTAAGTATATCAATGATAGCAATATAACATAGAATAGTAATTCGTTCGTCCAAAAAAAAACAAGAAAATATGAGAAAAAATGTGTGAACAGTTTAGTATCTAAGTATTGGTGTAATAGGCATGTGTACGATATGTCGTTGACATTTAAAAAAATTATAAATAACGATCCTCCGTATAAAGTGAGGAAATGACTAAATGCATGTATTAGTAATAACATCAACAATGGTTAAGAAAAACAGTCTACACAAAAACAATTGGGCAATCAGACTTGTGTTACATTTAATAAAAGGTATTAAAATATAGACACATACATCTTTGATGGAAAATTGTTACATGAACTATGTTTACTTTCTTGTGCAGAGCGTCATCCAGCATTTGTGCCTATATCAATATTTCAAGACCGCCTGTAATCATTCAGGTAATGCATCTATACAACGAAACATCTGTATCTACTAAAGTAATTACTATACATTATTAAACAAAGTGAACGTAATTTGTGAAGTGCTAACAATTTGCGAGTAATATTTCGTAAATATGTCAATACATGCTCCATATATCCATACAAAGAATGACCATAAACTCAGACTCATTCAATGTACTGGTAAGTAATGCCAAACCACAAGTTGAAAATTGATTTACTTACTTGGCGGCTTGTACTCCCTCCCATGTAGTACCAAGTTTGATGAGAATTCTATCTTTTGATATCCCCTGTTGTTCATACAATTCAATAAAGCGATGTGCCTTTGCTACAGATGCATCAACATCAAACGATAGCCTGAATGAAGTAAAAAAACAGTTCAGTTGATGTTCGCAGTGAAAGTAGAATATAATACAGAAAGAAAAATTGATATTTGGCATGATCATAAGTTGTGTTTGTTTGATTTAGAATAATGATTGGCGATCTTACTACATTTGCTATTTGACATACATATAATCAGAATTGAAAGCTCAAAAAAGTTGCCGAACTAAAAGGTGCAAACATTATTTACAATTCGTAGGGTCGCTTATATGATAATTTTTATAAATTCACTGTTTTCGGGACATTTTAGGGGGTCGGCTTGTATGTGAGGATATACGGTAACTAGACAATCAAATGAAGTAAAAATCAACTGAAATATTCTACATAAATATATTATCATTGTGTATTTTACATACTTTGCTTTGCAATTATATCATCAAATTTTTGCAATCCAATTCTATAATACTAGAGCTAAAATATAATGAAAGATAATTTACACTAATATATTATGACTCACCTATTCCAATATCTCATTAACCAATCACACAAAAGAAAGGTAATAACACACACCAGAAAAACATGAAGAGAGCAGGATATCAAACAAAACTAAAGTAGGACTTGAAAATATGAGATCATTATTAAAATCTTATTTTGCTGCCAAAACAAAGTAGTTTACTGCAATACAATATAAATGTATGCTAATTACCTGGCATCCACTTCTGTAGAAACTCTTCCAGGAACAATTTTCAAAATTTTTGCCCCAAAATTAACAAACAATTTGTCAATGGCATGGGTGACTTTTTCATCTGCAGTGCTGAAATGAGGAAGGAAAGTTACGTTATAAATTAGGTATAAAGTAGAATTCCAATACTTGAAATATTAACATGAAACTGACATTGAAATACATTCTACAGTAACAAAAGCCATAAGTTGCTAATATAGTAAATTGTTCAGCAAGTGGTGACATATAAAAGATACAAAAACACAAAATTCAAACTTGTCTAAAATATTATCACAAAACAAGCAATATGTGTGAGAAACATTATATACATTATTAGAACAAAGAAAATTAAATAGCATAAGCTATGGAAAAGTTTAAAAAGTGTGAACAAAAATAATATTTGGAAAAATTGTTTCATATGCAGATGCATACCGCTGTATTAGTTAGTTGTACACAAGAAAAGTAAGATCTCTATCTGAGGTCATACAACAACACTGTGATAATACTGCGCTAACAACTTTGTTACATTGGTTCTATAGTTAAAAAATGGAATGTTTATTATTCCATATATAAACTTATAATGGACAACAGACCCGTAAGCTTACTTTCCATTTTTTTCACCAAAGCTTATTGCGTCTTCAATTAATTCACTGTATTCTGGCATCTGAGAAGCTGCAAGCAGCAAAGATGGATTTGTGGTCGCATCAGTCGGAAGGTATCGAGATATTGCTGAAAATATATTCAACATATTATCATTGCAGTTTTTTAAAGGGTTTTAGGAGTGCCATCATGCAGGCATTATGATTATTTAATCCCTTTATAGTTAGTATTATTTAAATAGCATGTTATGGCCAATCAAGAAAATTGTTTAACTTCTAGACCAGAAATACCCCTAGGTGTGTCAGTTTTACTGTAACACAGCACTAGCATACAATATTATAACATACAGAGCACAATGTATAACTATATTTATATTCTACAGATATAGTGATACCATACAGCCATAAATACATACACTGAATACACTGAACACCTTGTCCTTCTAAGATTTAGAAAAGATGCTAATTCAGTAATTGACCTTTATACTTTCCAAAGCTTTTTGCCCGATAGTTATAGTACTGTGTTTGAAATTGTTCGGTTCTTAAAAAATCGCCTCCGTTTATGTATTTGCAAGCTTTTAATTATTCTATTTAATTTCGCTTTGGTCCAGTTCACATAGTCAAAGAAATACCTATTTTAAATAACTTTGTTTCGGTCAATGTTAAATAAACATTAAATAAAAAACACATAAAGATTTTTTTATTAGCCTATTTCTTTTCAACTTGTAGCCTATATAATTTTTATTTCATTGTTTTATATTGTTCTTTCCTGCAAGTTACAAAATAAATGATGACGGTAATTAATGTCTTTTATTGAAACTTTTCATAGTAGGCAGCCCCAATAACACCTGGACATTCACACGTTGTAACATGATACTTTGATATGACTAAACAACGGCGACAATCTGACAATACCAATTTATTTTACAGTTTTACCTTGAATATCGCCAGTGTCTGCAACAACGACTGTTTTTTCTTTCAATTGATCCAAAGTGTTGGCCATTTTCTGTTTTTTGGCATCTGCAGCAGACATAACTAGAGGTAATAAGGCACGACGCTATCTATTTAAACTGTAATTGACATAAATGATTCATAAGCTAACGGAGTATGCAGGTGATTTATCAAAATTATCGATAATATGCACGAAAGAACGATATTGTCTAACGAGCTACTTTTGCATAACTCGATTATACTGCGCCAAATCACTACTGGCACTTCCTTCATCAGCGTTAGTACCGCACAAAATCAATCAGAAAATGCACGGTCATAATGACAAAAATGCCTCTATACCGCGACGAGATCTCGCATTGGATAGACTGGGAAAATGAATAATTTACTGGTGTGCTACAAGGACATTTCCAGTCAGAATATTTACGAAATAAAACAATTTACGTCTGTACGTTGTATTTACGATCTTTTTGAAACTACTACTGTGTCAATATGGGAATAGGATGGGATTTACATGATATTTATCCCGACTGAGAGGAAAACCAATGGGACGACTTTATCATTTGGACAGAACTACGGCCTCCCGAGTCCCGCCTGATTGCCACTCCAGGTCAGGCATGGATGTCTCCCGTAATATAGATTTCCTTGTTAACCCTTTCCATGCGATTTTTATTTTTTATTAAATAATCGTATTTGCTACGCCGACTTTATGCATTTGTACCCCCACAACTAATCGATCGACTAACGAAAAAGTAATGATCCTCTGCTGCCTACTGACGGCTTGTTGGAAAGCTTATTTAAAGAGCTTGCAATTGGCGATTAAAAAATTTTTTTTTTTTAAAAGGGGTGGTCTGAGTCACAAACCGGATAGAAAAAAGGCATTTTTTTTTCTTGGGTGTTGAAACTTCAAACCGTGATAAAAAATAGAAATATTTGCTAAATCCTTTACTGTTACCGCTTCTTGGTTGGCAAACAATGCATAATATTGCTGTAGCAATTTCGTTATCTAACTCAAAATACTTTGGTAGATGGAAGGGATAATTTGTCTTCTATCACTACCCAAAAAACACCGAAATTTGCATAAATTTCAAAAACACTCCATCGTTCCTCCGCAAATAAAACTCCCATGGTAAACGAAAGCGAGATTTATCGTCGCTTATGTTAATCTCGAAGAAGACTTTTTATCAATAAACTAAAACCCGGAAAAACTAGACCAACAGTTTGCGACCGATTGCTAAATAAAACAGTGGAGTACATCAACGTACCCGCCGCAATCTAGCGAGTTTTGTCGTGGGTACGTATACGTGCCCACCGCACGGAAAGGGTTAATTTCCGTAACAATTACAAATCAGCAACGACTCAACACGTAAAAATTGCAAACTACTTCGCTCAGACAGGATAGGATAGGATTTACATATTTATCCCGGGGGAGAGGAAAGCCGATAAGACGGCTTATCCATATGGCGAACCACGGCCTCTCGTCCGGTTACCATTCCAAGTCGGGTATGGGATTAATTTTACTGTATTGTTTGTTTTCGGAAGCCTGGACTTGGTGGTGGAGGAAGCCGTAACCGACCAGCGGTTACGTGAACCACCCAACGACGACGAGGAGTCCAGCAATCCTCTCGCACATAACCATCCCTGCATGGGATTCGAACCTGCGAGCCCACGCAGAGTAATTAGAGGTGCGGTGGCGAGCGTATTCCTAACGCTTAGCCCGTTGAGCCACACCGCCGCGCCTACCCGCGCCCCCGACAGATATTCAAGCGTGGTTGCCTCTTTTTTGGTAGTTTTGCATGTTAATTGTCAGTTTTAGTTGTGTTTCCAAAAAATAGTTGCAAATCAAATAACTTCATTGTCATTATGTCTGCCGGGGACCTTTAGTTTATTTACAACGATCAAAAATTGGTAGCGCAAACGCTGCGATAGACTAGGCTAAGTAAAATTATTTATCAGTACCTGTGACTGTGAGCGACACGTGATTTAATGTTATGAATACTGAATAGAAATGATAGTGTTGAACATGTGAGCTAGTTTGTAAGCACCAACTCTCCGAAACACTCTCAAAATCAGTGTTGAAAATTTTGCACTGATAAATTATGGAAAGAATTTTTCAGGGGTCAAGGGTCGGTAAACGTCCATGGAATTCGTTGGCCGGATATTTTGTTTTCAGATGCAGAACAGACGCAGGATAATCACAGGTTCTGTAGCAAGGTATTCTTACCGCCTTCTATTTATTTCCAGTTTGCTTTACCTTCACCACTTGCTTTGAATATCTTTCATTTTTTACTTGACTTACAGTGCTCATTTCAATATTTTTTCCTCGCTTTTCCACACTAACCCAGGTTTAGTTTATTTTTTCGGCGCTGCGGTAGTATGTGCACAAAAATGACACACAACCTAATAAGTTCTGTGCCCATCTTGGTACACATACCTCGGGAGCACCCCTTTGTTCACTCCCAATTTCTTTTTTGGACCTCCCATTTTCATTCCCGTTCATCTTATTTATGTTTATTGCTTGCTCAGTCTATTTTCTTTCATTCCGATATCTGTCCTTGAGGCCTCGTTACCTGATGTTTTGTTTATATTCTCACCCTTATTTTTTTTGCCTAATCTTATTTATCTGGTCTGCTCCTCGGAGTTCGCTTGCTTTGAATAATAATCTTTTATTTTTTTCCTTGACTGCTTCATTTCAATATTTTTTTCTCGCTTTTCCACACTCACTCAGGTCTAGTTCCTTTTTTACTCCTAATTTTCTTTCTTGGGCCTCCTATTTCGTTTCCCAGTTCATTCTTATTTATATTTTTTGCTTGCTCAGTCTATTTTTTTTCATTCCAATTGATATCTTTTTCTGGGCCTCGCTGGTTTTGCTGCCAAGTGTCCCTTGCCAGATGTTTTTTTAGATTTTCCACCCTCACACATTTATGCCTAATTTTTATTTAATATTATTTTTACTAATTTTATTTTTACCTAATTTTTTGCCGTTCTCACTAGCTGATGTTCATATTTTTTGCTTGCTCAGCTTTTTATATATTATTTATATATATTTTTATATATACTTTTTATATATTCATACTTTTTTTGACCAATTCTTGCAATCTCTCGGTGGTCGGTGGTCTACTGCGACCTGCTTGCTCTTCGGCCACCTGCTGGCATGTCAGCCCTGCGCTTGCCTGCTGCTGCTCTTTCACTTCTTGCCCTGCTTCTCTCACTGGCTCATCGTCTCCCATTGCTCCTTCTTCGACGGCATGTTCTGCCCATTCCTGAAGCTCCGGCTTCTTTGCCTACCATGCCTGCTGGTCCACTCCTACAACTCAGTCTATCTTGTGGGGTTCGAACCCTGAGGTTAATGTTTGGCCACATCACCGCGCTTCCCCTGCGCCACCGCTACTGACGAGAATCGCGTGGATCAGAATCTTACTCAATTAACGAAGTCACGACCGCTAAAAAATTACATTGAACATACTGCGTTGATTCGAAGCAATGAGCTTTACTGTTGGTGAAAAATCTCCAAACTAATGTACCAACTTTTCAGTACTTGAAAATGTTTGAAGCCGCTGAGGCTAAAAAGGCTATTACTTTCAATTTTATATGAGTCCTTTGGGTTCGATGTTTTGGCCAACATTATGTGAAATTTAAATTTATTTAGAACACTTTTTTATACCATCATGCTTGTCTTTATTGGACACGTAGTGGACATAACGATCGTTTCAATATTATGTTGTTGTTGTTCTTGTTCTTTGACACGTTTTTAAAAAGTCGCTTTTCTCTTTGATTACTGGACTAATTGCTTTGAAATTTTCAGTGGTTGAAGATGAAATTTTTCTCCAGAAGGCTATTACTTTTATTTATTTCAAATATTTCTGTTAGCTCTGTAAGATTTGTTTTTGTTTGCTATGACGTCACTAAACGTTCTAGGGATATCGGACGCCATTTTGTGTCCAACGGACCATCTTGCAATTTCAATTCACGCTGTCACAAGACAGGACCTTCTAAAGATAGAGAAGTTCTGGTACCGTAACACAGCGCGGTGACACTGAACTAACTCGTAGCTGTCAAAAGCTTAAAAATCCATACAAATATGAGAAATAAAAAGATGAAACTTGGCAGGTGGGGTAGAGTTGTGTTTCTTTTAACCATATTTGAAAGTTTCGCGTTTCTACATTTGAAGGAGGGGAATAGGGGGTGTGCATTTCCGATACGTCGATAATATCTTTGTCAACCAATTTGCGGCCACCGTGTTTTCGTCTGTTTGATTGCTGTGATGTGGTGCTTTGTTTATAATTTAACGAGTTTTGTTCGAAATAACCGTGTTCTTGAAATTATGACGGTCAGAAATGCAATTAGAAGCCCAATGTTTTCACGCTGTCACAAGACCAACAATTGTCAAACCAATTTGCGACCACCGTGTTTTGTCTGTTTGATTGCTGTATGCTGCGTATGCCATAGTCTCGACGCAGCGTAAACGGTGATCAAGGCTTGAAATCCGTGGTCGCACACTGGTCGATCGCAAATACGTCTTTCGATTGCCGTACTTTGGGGATTTGTATAGCTTCAACCCTTTGTCGTAGAAAGTTAATACGAGGTTTAGCGTGTAGAATAAATGCCGCCAATGCACCCACGGTGAAAAAATTAACGGGTTAGATATATTGGTTTTTGTTTTATAGCGGTTTGAATGAAATTGTCCGCAGACTGGCTACACCACCCTAGGCCTGGTGAGTTGTCCGTGTAGTCGAATTGTCCATCAGCCCTAACGGCTATGACAGTCACTGTACCAAAAATTGTACCCCGATTCGGCTGGTGTTAAGTTGACGCATGTTATTTAGTAACGTTTTTTATGTGAAATGTTTGACTGTGGTTCGGTACCTGATCCGATAATACGGTACATAATTGACTCATATCACGAGATATTTCAACTGATGTTTCAATTGTCACAGGACCTATAATATCTATGACAGTCCCTGTACCGTCACGGTACCCCGATACAGGTACTGGTAAGTCACCGCCGGTATGTTAGTCGTTGGTCACCGCATATGATTTTTGGGGAATTGTTCTGCGTGTCCATATATTTGAGCATTGCTCACTTGTTTTATTGGGCATTGCTTCCTTGTTTTAGTATACATACAGTGCTAAATGTTTTAAGTCATTCTATCCAACTTTTCCGATGTGAGATCAATACCGTCTTATCGCCTGTATTTTGTATTCTATTTTATCAAGTAAGCCTACTTGACATTTTTCAGTCTTTTTAGTTTATCTCGTATCCAGGCATGAATGATTTTATTTTATCATTATTTGTACTGTTCTTGTCGGGAAACTCCGAACCGTGATGAATCTGGCGATTTTATGATCGATTGTTTATATGCAGTGTTGGTTTATCTGAATTATTCATTGAAAACGCAATTCAAATCCATCAAATAAAATGATTTTCTTTTGCACCAAGAAAAAATGATAGAGCACTTCTTTATATTTTTTCCGGATATCAAAGAAGTGACTTTGAAAATTTATAATCGTTCTTTGAATAAAATGATATTAGACTTATTCGATTAGTTGAAGATGGTTGGACATTTTTTATATGATATTTTGATGATAAATACTGATGTTCTGGAAGGTTTTTATTTAATTTGTAGTGTTCCTTATTTGGTTTTGAAGTATTTCGACGAAAATTCAAGGTGAATAACGCTGCTTCAGAGATTTTGCCTCTAAAAACATGTTCATTGCCACACGTTGTATATATATTTGAAACGGTGCGGAGTTAATTCAAATCTGATGCTGATCGGTTTGCAGCGCTAACACTTTGAGTCAGAATCGGTCTTAAAGTTCTAGCACTATCCAGATCCAGGGGTGGCCAACACGTCGATCGCCAGGGCTCGAGTAGTCGATCGTGTCTGATGTTGAGTGAATTTAATAATATACCCCAAAAAATGCCTTGAACCAGTTTACATACGACGCCTGTTGCGTGTTGTAGGCTACATGGGCAAAATACCATATACAGTAGGCAACACATTGAGCATGGGCTGGCCAGTTAAAGCACACTATTACGTAATAAATGTAAGTTTCGTCGCTGCCAGAGTTTAGAACTGAACGTGCCGAATATTGTGCGCCTTGACTAACGAACGATCCTACAATAACTTATGCAATATGCGAAAGTTAATTACTCACTTCAAGAGTAGTGTGATAAATTGTATTCGCAACAGAGTTCCCAATTTTTTCTAATTCCAAAAAGCGACTTGGTGGAAATTGTAAATTAGATACTGAAGTTTGAGCAGTCATGTAACATTAATAGTTTGAGAATATTTATTCTTTGCTATTCAGATGAGACATGAATACTTGCTAAGGTTTTTTGAGGAATTTCAGCACTTGCGATAAAAAATAATTAAGCAGACCGTCAGATCTGAATTGTATGATTCGATATAACCCTAAATAAATAATTAAAATTTACTCCGGGTAAAATCACAGAATTAAATTAACAAATTAAATGGACCATAGAACATATAAAGTTTTGTTGCCATTCCATTAAATTAGAGAGTAGTCTATAGTATACCAAACTAGTTGGAAATTAAAATCGCGTTTAATATAGGTTCGCGTATGATAATCGAAAAACGCATCTCACACGGCAACCCAATTATGCAAGTGCAGTTCTAAGTATTTTGTGGTGTCTGAAGCTTCCGCGAAACCATGGCGATATTTCCCAAACCACGACCTCTATTTATGTATTCAAAGGCATGCGGTCAAATGATGCGTACGCAATATCGACGGAAATCATGCAATAGTGAATTCACGCCCGCATTGTAATTTTGGAAGCTTCGCTTTAATGCATAACCACTAATTTGTTGATTGTCTTTTTTTCGATACTATCCAAGGATTGGTTAGGTTAGGTTACTGGCACATTGTCTGTTTATTTTATCATAAATTATCCCAATTAACCTGAAAATATATCCGAAAATTAGGGGTGGGGCGATAACTGGAAAGTATTAAACAAATTGAAATCGATGTTATCAGGTTGAAGAGACGCGGGTTGCACCATGCATGTAAATGGAAAATATTAAATTCAAAGAAATCTCGTCTACAGGTTTTCTTTTACTAGGATCGAGATTGGATTTGATATTGTTCACTTTGCAATTTTTCTTCCACAGTCAACAACGTTTTATTATATTTTGTCATTGTCAACAAATATTTTATAAGTCATGACGGTCAGTAGGATGGCTATTCTTCATGAACGAGTGAGTTCGTTAATAGGACACCAATGTGACCTATTGCTCATCTATATTGTATTATGTTAAATGCCTCAGAAAACAACACAGCGGATGTGTGCTCGGGTTACAATCGATAGAATTCAAGCGTTGGTAACAGCGTACATATGCCTCATTCAATAACACTAATATTTAGCCGAAGACATAAAAATTAATTTCTCTTAATGATATTCACTCTACTCGTAATTGGATCGTTAGACGTCATAAAGAGCAATTATTTTTTGTCTTAGAATACGGAATGGCAATTTGATAAGCCATCTTTGAATATTATATCAGACGCAATGTCTGTTGTGGTCAGTTCTCATAAAATAATAATCTCTTTATTGCACAATCAAAATAACTTCCAAGTAAACAAAAATACTTGAGATATATATAAGAACGTAAATGCGATGTCCGATGTGACTAGTGCCATGGGCGCCGTTTGCATGGGGTTGCAAAAATGAGTGAAAAGTTTTAATTGTAAAATGTTTCAATAAAATTATTTCGAATTGGGAATTTTTTTACTTAAAAATAAGAACTAAAGGCATCTCTATTCAGCAACAATCGTTAGAGATTGTCAGTCAACGATCGAGAAGGCGCATTTTAATACTTCGCAATGGGCGCCATTTTACGTAGATATACGCCACGGAGTATATGGCCCAGTCAGAAATAAAAACACAATAATTAAACTCCAATGTACACATTGGCTACAAAATTTTCAAATTTGCGTTTAGTCATCGTATATATCGTTGACAATGCAATTAAGATAGTGATTTTAGTTGCACTATAATGAAACATGCATTCACTCAGTAATAAGGAATATATTATAGGATGTAGAAACAAGATGCCTTGCAATTGACTGAGCAGGTGCTGTATAGTCATAGTTTGTTCATTTTTTCCAGTTGCGGCGTAAACCCTGAAATTTATTACGTATATATATGATATTAGCTTGACAATGAGAACAACGTGTAAGATGTCACGTTGTTTGCATCTTAAAATATAATGCATCCAACTTTTCGACATACACCTGTTAGCAAGGCATGTGGACGTCCATGAAACAATTGGTAGGAGCGTAAAGTAGAACGATAAATTGTGGGTACTTAGAAAGAGACATCCGATGTGTCTATTTTATGAACAAAAAATAAATGATTCAGAGTTCAGGTGAGAGGCAATAAGCAGGTGTTTTCATAAATACCTACTTGTTTTATAACGTTTATGACTATCCGTTTTATTCTAGTAAAATATTGTAGTGAAGATCGGTTGTACTAAGTCAACGATTCCCAAGCGGGTAGGAATTCCTCCCAAGCGGGAAATTTTGTCGTTCCCGGGGAGGATAATTGCTTTATTTTTAAAATTATTCTTCAGTTCTTTATTACTATTTCAATAATTATCTATGCACCCATTATAAACTAGTGAAACTACACAAAAGCGGCAGTCTGCGCGTATTACGAGCTTAGGATGCATTATAGATTGATTAGATGAAGTACATATCATGTATAGTGAGGGTTCAATCATGGCACATTACTTGCTTACAATCGGTTTGATTGGACATGGCGGTGAGTTGCTGTATTAGATTTGTTATACGTCTTGTAGAATGAATATAATTTTGAAAAATTGACACCTCGATTTAAAAATCGTGTATTATAGCAGGAATAAACAGACGGTAGGCGACTTGATATATATTTAATAAAATTATGCATACGTAACTCGGGAGAGCAGAAGTTGCGTTTGCCGAGTTCTACGATTCTTAATACTGGGTGAAAGGTGATCATTAGTTCAAATTCTTAAATACTAAATTAAAATGTCGGCTCAGCGTAAAATGTGAAAAGCCCATTAGAGGTCGCCGACTATAATCTCACCGGCGAAACCCTTTGCGGACTCAAAGTTTATAGCATTTATAGCGTTTCTGGCAATCGTGCTCTGTGTGAACAGGCAATAAAAACAAACACAACAAAGTTTTTAACGAAATTCAACATTGGCATTTTCTGTCGCACAATTTTCAATCAATGACAACGACGAGAATTTAAGATGTATTCCTATTTTAACTTAATTGTGTTCATGTTAATTCGCGGTTGCGTCGAATTACGACAAGATGAAAGCATTACTTCTATAAAATACAATGGAAATCTGTGAACATAATAATGTGAGATTATATTGCCTGATTATACTTAGTTTTGATACATATTTTTGCGATCTTGCAAATTTGTTATCGTCGTTAGAAAAATCCTACTATCTGCTATAAATTTTTAGAAAGTACAACTTGATTTAGTACTTATGAAAAATATATTTAAAGTATATTAGTACATCAAAAGTACATATTCATCGCCATGGTATATGTTATTGAAATTTGGGAAGACAATAATGAACGCCATATTTTAAGGGACGGGGATCGGACAAATGAACTATAAGGCGTAAATATCTATTGTTATTGTTTTTGGTTATAGTCATCAAAACCCCGAATTCTTCCTTATATTCTTTTTCTATCGCCTTATCTCTTGATAAGAAAAGTCAATTTCATGACGTTGTTTTGTGAACAAACAGTCCTGTATATTATAACAATTATGCTTTGGAGGTTTGTGAGAATACCGATTCAAACACGGCGCTACTATTTCTACAACTATTTCACCAAACCACAACATCTATTGGCATATTTGTATGTATTCGTGTTTTGCCTTGCTTTCAATTTTCGAGGAATACAAGCATTTGTGCATTGATGATTGGAAATCGGACTACCGGATGTGGTAATTCAAACGACCTATATGTTTTGCAGATGGCACATTACTTATAATTTATACGCGCTTTCTGAATGAACTATTTTAACATGAAGGTAGAAACAGAGAGTACTAGGGAATTTTGTACAGACCTGCTAGTCCTTTCTCCTTGTTAACTTCCTACTTTAGAGCAGAAATAGTTTTCTATTATTGATAGTAATTTGTCCTAATTTTGGTAACTTTTATTAACAGGTGACTTCAGATAATTTTGGCCTACATGCATTAGAAATGAAATTTTAAACCATGTGCATATTTATTTACATTACTTCAATGTAATAGGTCAAAGAACGATGGAAAGGATAAGCAGCTTGTCGATATCGAGCACACCAAATTATTTTGTGAACTATACGAATTCAAGCACTACAGATAGAGGAGAATCGAATTCTTTCACTTCGATATGGGATATATGTTTCATCTCAAGCAGCTTGATGATGTTTTGTAACGCGTGGATTGCGGTTGCCTTCATTTTATACGCAAAATCATCAAATATTTTAGTTAAAAGGTCAAGAACCGATATGGACGGTGGATTTATATTTAAAGTTGCAATTGCATCTGTAGTTTTGCCTTTGTCTAAATTTGCCACTACGTTACTGATACTAGTTGTCGGGCTATATCCTGAGAACCACACAGCTTGCAGTGTTATTATATATGTAAGCAACGTTCTGCTGGTAGCGTCAGTATTGGCTGTTTATCTATTTCTGTGGATCCGCCAACGAGCTTTTTACACCCATCCATCACTGGGAAGTATTTTCAATAGATGCATCGCAAGATTCAGTAAAATGAGTCTGCTAATGATCGTTTTGCCCATTCTAACTTCAATGATCGTTGACATGGTAACAAATAAGTACGAATCTGGCGTACATGGTTGCGTTTTCCGAAACGATCAAGATGACAACAATTACCGTTTTTTCATCTACGCTGCAATTTTGACGGTAGGTCAGGGTTCCCTCATCGGTCTTTTTGTTTATCCGATTTGCATTCATGCAAAGTCACAATCGGAAATGGCATCGGAACGGTCAGAAACTTTTATTTCGAAACAAGTAGAATCGAGAACATCTTTGGATATGTCTGTAAATGCAAGTTTCCGTATAGGAACTGCAGAGGAGACTCAAAATACATCGATCGCTTTACAGACAATAGACGGGACATCTACAGCCAAAACTGGGTCTTTTATGACCACTATATTTACGAAGCGAAAGCATATTGACAACGGGGATAGTCATGTGCGTGTTTCAGTCGACGAAGAAAGCGAAACATCACAAAAGGCAGCAAGACGTGGTTTTCGCAAAGGATCTAAGATCTATCTTCTCGTAAAACGTACTCTGTATCTAGCATGTATTTCTATTTTGTCTGATATATTGGGAATGGGTATATCGGGTCTGTTAGTGCCCAAAGGAACTCCATATTATGTCGTGTGTGTCTTGCTCGACGTAGACATCATTGTGAACACTATTACAGTTGTAGGTTCATTTCGAAACTGGCATCAAATTTTGTTCGGTAGATTTATGAAGTTTTTCGAAAAGTGATTTGAAATCAGAATAGTTTTTTTTTTAATTTGACAGGTCAGCCCGACAGTTCTCCACCATTGCCAAGCTGCTTTGGCATCTCTCACTGCGTATCTGACTGCGCCCTTTTTGCAAACTCGTTATAAGTCAACTTTAATATCAATATCATACATAGATATCAATTAATATTTTGTTATTATATGTGTTCTCTTGTTCCGTCAGTGTTTTGTTTGTTGCTTTTTATGCAATTTCGCTTAGCGCCAGGTCACAGACGCTTACTCATCGGCTTGTTCAATAGAAAAGTTGGAAAGATACCACTGCCATCCCAGTTAGCATGTCAGATAAATGTGAGAAATAGATTTAATTTGCACCTATATCTAATTTTCTCTATCACTACTAGGGCTGCTAGACACTTTCGAATACTTGATGATTTCAGAATTTAATCAAATAATTTTTTCGAATCGAATCGAATATCGAATACTTGAGAGATATAGAAGTGTATGTAACTTTCTTATTGTATTAGGTCCTCCAGACACATGGAAACATAGATTACATAACTCAGGCAGATTGCTGAGCGTTCACACACAATAAAAAACGCGTTTTCGTCAATACCTCACCAAAGAAAAGTGTCATATATATGTCAGAATTGCGTTGAAAAAATATGGCTTCAATAAAAAAAATTGGGGAATTCACCTCGACCATTGGCGGAAAGAAAAATGATCTGATCTCTGGTGGCACTTTAATTACAATCTTTCATATTAATCTATGTAGTGGGAGATGTTATTTAGATAAAACCATGCGGGTACTAATCGACAACAGCAGTTCCGTAAATTAAATTCTGATTTTTTTAAAATTAGATACCGCGTTTTCCCGAAAATAAGCCCTCCCTTGAAAATAAGACCTGCTTGAATTTTGAAAATGATTTTAGTACTAGCCCTCCCCTCAAAATACGACCTAGTCAATGACGCGAATTTTTTATTGACCTAGTCCAGGGGTCTCAAACATTTGTGTTTTTTTATTTGGCCATTGTTTTATTTGATGCTTTTTATGCAAACTTATGACGCGAAAACTGTGGTCCCTGCGTAAAAGTGATGACTGTGGTACCGATAGTCTTGCTGTGACAGATTGCTTACCCGTTCTATTCCGTTTTGGCTTTCGTGGGTATATATTGGAGCATCGATCTCGTATCTTTTTTCTTGTATACGATTTTTCACTGATTGGAAAAAATAAACTTTACTTCACAGCATATTTTCATTAGACAAATTTAATATGACTCTATCCGAAACCCATTATAATGTCTCGCAATATAATTTGTTTATTGTATTTATTTTTATTACAATTTTGGTTGCTGATGCTACTTGTGATAGTCATGAGCACGAGACGTGATTTAGGATCATTTGATTGAGAACATAGAACTTCTATAAAGAAGGAATAACGTAGGGTGAGCGAAGACACAATTCTAAATCTTTGCAATACACCCGAACAGCCATTTTCAATCACTCGCGAAATTTGCCCAAACGCAGAAGCATGATAACCTGAAAAGCGCGATCAGTAGTATGGCAATCACATATTTATGAGTAACCCAATTGAATTAAGCGACAGAAGAAAAATCGGCCATTCATCAAACCAAACTTTTCGGCGACAGAAAAAAAGCTTTTGGAAGTCTGTTACTGGCGGTTGGGTTGGGGAACACAGATTCGGACGAACTAATTTTGCCTAAAAAGTCAGAGATGATTTCGAGTGAGCTTTCGGAATTGCGAAAAACTCTAGATAAAATACTTTATTCAAAAAGTCGATAGCTACTGGCATTGGTTTTCTACACAAAAAGTGTAATACACACGTCTCTCAAATTCAACACACAATTCCGAGATGCGTATTTTATTCAGTACAATATCATGTACTTAATATACTGAAATTGAGCAGCTTAAAATGTTAAATTCAAATAAGGAAGTAATTCTAGCACCAACAGACATAATAATAATGGAATGTAAACATCTTAACAAGATTTTTTATGATTGAAGTTCGAAGCTTACCAAGAAGCAATGTAGTTATTTGGCAGTATTGTCAACATGAAAAGCATAGTTCATTTCATCTTGATTGCACAATGCATCAACAGCATAACAGACAAAAATACCAACTAAGGCCACAATTAATAATAAGATAAACTTGGGATTTCGATATTTATCCCTGGAAAGACGAAAGCTGATAAGACGACTTTTCCATGAGGCGTACTATGGCCTCTCGTCCGGTTCATTCTGGTATGGAATTAGTTAGCCAGTTATTTGTTTCAGATGCATGGACTTAAACATAGGTAACAACCAGAACATAATTTTCTTTTTACGTCATTCTTCATTGTAAGGCTTTAATTTCAAACGAGGGACTATGTTCATTGAAGTAAGTTCTTGAAAAAGCAGTTTACACGCATATGGCATTTTGATTTTCGCAATAGCCCTGGAAGATTTACAGAATTGGCAGTATCCAGAATATCCGAGTAATCCACACTCTCCGCAAACCTCAACCTCGAAGGAATCACTCGAAATCATGAGTCGTTCAAGTAGAAGCATGCTCGCCCCGTATCCAATGAGACAATCACGTTCCATTTCACCTAAACGTAAACCGCCATCCCTAGATCTCCCTTCTGTGGGTTGTCTTGTAAGAACGGCTCTTGGTCCTCTGGCCCTACAAAAGATATCAATATTTTCTAAAACTCATGTGAAAATATATTGAAACTGGAAAGTGTTATTTCAGAACTCTTGCAGATTGATCTGTACGCACTATGATTGCACATAAATAAAAACGGTACTCCCGTAGTATGTGTACCCGGTTATGGTTAGGCCATAATTTTATTCCGATTTTCCTTATTTTAGTTCTATTACGAGTTCGGGGACTGTCTGTGTTAGCCAAGTGAATACCCCTTCCCCTTGTCCACAGGTTTCAGTCACTTTACATAACTCGATGTAAAGTAGGCGAACAAAATTAGTTACCTCCATATTGGTACACACACTGATGTAGCGTCGAACAATGTGTGCATGGTTCATCGTGAAAGTTCATGCGGCTTCCAAAAACTAATCAAATGTTTTTTTATATGACATTTTTGGTTCCTATCACTATAAACAAATTACCTTACCTACTGTTAGCGTTAGGTGGAAGGGTGCTATTTTTTTCAAAGAAATTGGATTTTTCAAGCCAATTGAGCTAACTCACTACACCCTGAAGGAGGTGGTAGACCTACCAGGTTCTGGAATATCGAGTTTACTTCGGATTACATCCTACAATCTGATTTAGATATAAAGCGTAATAAATTATTATGATCTTGAGATGAATAAGACAATAATATTTGCAATTGTCTGCGACAACAGCGAGTTCCGAAGAACATAGGCCGATGTAACTTAATAACACTGCTGGAGTATGGAGGGTACGTTTTATGGGGGCAGTTTTTGATGGTTGGCAAATTTAAATAATAAAAAAATGACGAACCTGGCATGCATTTTATCCAGGACCATGTGCTTCAGTTTTTGATAATAAACTGGTCCGTGATAAATATAGGCTTCCAAGTGTTCGCCTGTTATTCCAGAAGTAAGACAATCTTTCCCAGCATAATTAAATCCATGATCAACTAAAACTTTGGATAAATCTTCGACTTTGTCACCACCAAATGCCGTCCCGTAATGAAACTTCCCTTCAACCGCACCTGTACAACAAATAAGTACAGTCCCTACCGAGATTGACTTGCTTGAAAATTTTCTTGCTTATGAATGTTTTCAAAGTGTGCTTTTATATCTTAATATTCACCATTTTGTTTTTGGAATGCTGCTAAAGGGGTGAATGAAGGTTTATAAGTTATAACCCTTTTTGCTCTCATATCTTTTGCCCAGATATAAATTCCTTTTTATTTATAACTGATAAAGAGATATATAGTATAAGCATTTATAGACGAAAGGCAAATATGATCTAAACTGTTGCACGCGAGTTGCTGTGTAAGAATGCTTAAACCGATATACCAGAATGGTGCGTGATGGCTACATTAAAACTTGCACCCTATTTTTCTTGACAATTTCTCTTGAAATTATTCTTAAATCAATAAAAATCAAGTCTTACCAGCTTTACTTCCAAGAAGTTCAATCAACTTTCCAACAGTCATTCGAGAAGGATAACCATGCGGATTCATGATTACATCAGGACAAATTCCGAACTCATTAAATGGCATGTCTTCTTGTGGTACAATTAACCCTGTTACGCCTTTCTGTCCATGCCTTGAACTAAACTTATCACCCAATTCTGGTCGTCTTGTTTGTCGCAACAAAATTTTGATGAGAAATGCCTCTTCAGTGTTGGAAGATACCATTACCTGATGATTATGATAAAAACGGCACTCAAGAATAATGGCATAGTAATTGGTTAGCTTCCCATAGATTAGCTCGGTGGTGTGGCTCATCGTGCTAAGCGTAGGAATACATAAGCCACCGCATCTCTGATTACTCTGCGTGGGGTCGCAGGTTCGAATCCCACATAGGGATAGTTATGTGAAAGAGGATTGCTGGACTCCTCGCCGCCGTAGGGTGGTTCATGCCACCGCTGGTCTGTTAAGGCTTCCTCCACCAAGTCCATGCTTCCGAAAACGAATAACTGGCTAACTAATCCCATACCTGGAATGGACAGGTAACCGGACAAGAGTCCGTGGTTCGTCATATGACTAAGTCGTATGTCGTAAGGATGAATAGGACCTCCCTTAGTATGGGCACTAAGATGGCGCACATACTAAGTGAGCGTCTATGAATATGAAAATCCAACCCTTTAGTAAACACATGTACACATAAAATCGCCGAATAAAATAAGGATGTAGAAAGACTGAATAATACCAACCTTTTCAATGTAGGATGGAATGGGACCTCTGTATGAAGAAGGAACGTCTTGAAATGAAGTTTGTTTCTGTTGTGGGTCACCGGATTGAATGATGCTGGTTTGCATAGGACAGGATTTGTTGACGAGGACCTGTAAAGTTATAGAAAACGAATTAAGAAAGATATAAAATTCATTTGGTTATTCTTAGTATACTATAGGAGATTATAATTTTCCTATCCTTTCTTTGCCGTTCTCCTTATTTATTTGTTTTATTATATCTGATAACTTCTTATGATGGCAAAGGCTAAATTCCTCTTACAAACTGCAATGAATGTTTCTCCAACCCTAGACCCCAGTGAAACTTTTTCTTAACTTAACAAGTCAAAATTTTTGAAATGGCAATGCTTATTTTTTGAGTATTTCACGTGGTGGCAAAATTGTTTACAATTGTGAAATATCTAACCACTTGCATTCAAAACTCATTTTAGCCTAGTGTATCTCATTCAGGACTAATTTATGATTACTGCAGCTAAACTGGATGTGCACAAAGACAAAACGACCATTTAATTTATCACAATATTTCACAACACAATGAAAAACTTATAAACAACCAGAAAAACCATGAAAATGAGGTAATGTTTACTTGGAAACCTATTGATGCAAAAAGTGTCTGAGCAGACGCTAAAATTTTGATTGTTACATCAACGTTTACACCTTGCTGATTGGCCATTGCTATGGAAGTAACAAGGAAGTTGATGCTCAGGGAAACATCCATTAAAGAAATACTTTATGTACAGTATACCAAGTCACCTGTTTGCTTTCCACCTTTTCTCCTGGTTTACAAATACCATCGGCATCTAAAATTTCATGTTTCCATATTGGTTTTCTAGTTTCCGCATCTAATGCCGGTCCCATAACACGATCAAATGTTTGATTAGCATATCTTTTCAAAGTACATTTCTGGTTTCTGTAAACAAGACATCTACCATACCCACGATCGAGTGAAGCCTGTAATAAAAAAAAGATAGTAATCTTCTTGGAACTGTCAAAGCAGCATTTCCAAACTGGAAGAAAATTTATAGGAAATTTGTAATTTCAAGGAGAAAATCCAAAAATAGTATTCGGTATTAAGTGTAGTATTATTCCCAATTTTAATATTATTGTAATAAATATTTTTGGACACTTCATGAAATGCGCAAAAGCCAAAGTATGATTTGCCCTTAACACTAGCTAAGAATTCATCAGGATTGATCAAATGATGGAAACAGAGTTTTTTATGCATAGAGAGGGAGTAAAGAAGAGTTTAAAGGGGAGAATGTATCAAAAAAGATTTGGAACCACTATGTCACAGCATTGAAACATATTTGCTTGACAAAATTAAGCAAGAAATTGATAAGATTGAATGCACAAAATGTATTATTTTTAGCAAGGAAAACACATTTGCATATAAGGTATTGATAATCAACATATGGTGCATCTCTATCCAATATGACTTGGAAGTCTAAAATTTATTAAATTAATGGGTATGGAAAATCTTGCAATTATTCCATTTATCCAGTGGTATAATTTAATCATTTAAACAATAGACTCGAAAACTAGCTTCCTCGAGATATACATTTTACACATGATTTTCAATATTATTCAAAAAATCTTATTTACCACACAGAGAGATCCAACAACAATAATACATAGTTCAATAATTAACAATTTTAACTTCACTCAATACATTACAAACGTAGAATAATGTGAAGCGTTTAAATTATAAATAATTCTCACTTTATTCAACACCAAAGCATCTTCAATGTCGTACCCACTGTAACTCATCACTGCAATGATTGCATTTTGTCCGGCCGGTAATTTTTCAAAGTTGATTAGTTCGATTGTTCGAGTTTTAACCAAAGGTGCCTAGCAATAATATTATAAAAAATTGAATTTTAATATTATTCCTCAAATTTAATTTTTTACAAACTAAGCTGCTCATACACATAGTGGATGCAACCACAGAGCCTTATTCAAAGGGGATAGCATGTAAAACATCTTTATAAAAATATACCAAATTACTCAACACAATACAAAAGCCTCATTAATATATATGTCAGCATACTAATCAAATGATTCCATGAAAAATTTAGCATTGTGAAAAAATCAATCTCACCTGTGGATAACAAAGCAGGTACATTAATGTATCAATTCGATTTCTTTGATTTAATGCAATTGTACCCATCGCTTGTTTTCCCATAGCACATTGATAAGTATTTCTTGGAGATTGGTTGTGATGTGGATAAGGAATTAAGCCGGCACAGACACCAAGCAGAGTAAATGGCTCCACCTGTAATAGAATGTCTCGATGATACATTATTAATATATACATGATATTTGAAAAACAATTCAAGATCAAAGCCTGCAATACCCAAAAAGTGTTAGTTAGTAATCTCAATTTCTTACTAAAATTGCACATTTGTTTAGAACAGGGGTTGGCAACTACTTTCCTGAGTGGTCCAGTTCAAGACAATAGACTTGGTTATAGGGCCGGAGGCTCAATGTAAAAATATGAATAAAAACAGTTTAACAAAAACTAGCATAACAGCTAAGGTTACGTTGCTTGTGCTGATTACGTTTTTGAGAACTGTTTTTGCTTTCGTTAATCCTTATACTTCGGAATAGAAATTTGGATGGGTGAGTTTGAGTTCAATGGGCTGGGTCCGGCCTGTGAGCTGTGATTTACCACCCCTGGTTTAGAAAGACACAAAACCATAATTTTTGAATGCATAATGTATGTTATTTGTTAACAAATTATATATTTTTACTCACTTCAAGGTGCGTTGTATGAAACCCGATATCTTTTTCAACAATAGCAATATTACAATCGTTTTCTTCGTTAACATCAAGAAATTCCACCAATCCATCACGAAGAAAATCATCAAAAGATCGCAATCCTCGCTGTAATTCCTCCATATGCGAAGATTTAACGAGCGGCATTCCTTTATTGACAAGTATGTAAGGCCTAAAAGGAATTTTTCCGATTAAAATCGTTTTTTTATCTGACATTGTAGCTGACAAATACTGAATTTGGATTTATCATATCTTTGCCAAGGAAATTGAATAAGACCTCGATGACATACGAATGAGAGGCAACTGAACTAGAGATGTCAAAAGTATCCAACAATGAGGGATTCAAAACAAGTTTAATTTAAATTGCTCAAAGAAATGTTAGAAAATAAGACGATGTTGAGTATAAAAACAAACCAAACAAAATTTTGAACAGAACAGAAATCAGAAGAACTCTTCTGTTCTATTGTGATTAACACTCCTCATATGCACAGCCTTTTCTTGAATTAGGATCAATTCCGTTGCCCTAACAATGATTATTTGAATTACTGTAAGCTTACTTTAAAATTATTTGAAACTCAAAGAAAACATTGTAAGGTATGGTAAGTTAATTTTGCATAATATCCAAATGTTACTAACAATAAGACACTTCAATATTCCTTAATAATGGTGAAATAGTTTTGTGGCATAACTGGCATTGCATGTATTTGATAACACTTCAGTTGCTCTTTCAAGGTTTATAAGTTATAGCATTGATTTTATTTTACACTATATAAATCTTGTTTACATAATCTACGCAATACCTGCATAATCTTCCACCATCTGATGAAATATAGACAGAACGATGTGCATGGTTCGTACAAACTGATATAAAATCATCCAAGTAACCATTCCTGAAAATATATAAAGTACGGTATATATAAAAAACTTGAAATATCATATGAAAAAGTAACTTCTGTATTTGAAATTGCAACCACACAATGATTGTTGAAAGTAAACATGTTCAAGGTAAAATATTAACAACCTTGTCTGTTGAGCTTAAAAATCTGATCTTATTTTCCAATATTATGGAATTAACACATTCACCACAACCAAAAAAACTTAATAAGACAGCTTAATCTTATTGGCAAAATATGACTCCTCAATGGGTTTTTACCATTTACCAATTTAGTTCGGATATAGGAATAGTAACTAGTGGGTCATAAGTAGGGCTGAGCATTTTCGAATACTTGATGATTTCAATCTCGAATACCTGGAAGGTATGAAATTGTATGTAACTTTCCTATCATTTTAGGTCCTCCAGACATATAAATTACTGAAAACATAGAATACATCACTGACAATAAAAAAATACGTTTTCATCAATACCTCAATACAGAAAAGAGTCATATGTCAGAATTGTGTTGAAAAAATATGGCTTCAATGAAAAAAAAATTGAGAAATTTACCTCGACCATTGGCGAAAAGAGTAAAACAAGATGGCGGCGATTCGAAAATTTGCTCTTAACCGATTCGAATATTCGATTCGAAATGCCCAGCCCTAGTCATAAGGAAGCTATTATCAGACATTCATTTACATGAACCATCAGATAGTACCCCACTGGCACATAAATACACCTCACAAGGTTTGAACCTGCAAACTTAAAGCTTCTTAATATTGTTTCCATTTCCAACCATTGATTATATTTTATTTTGAAGATCAGATACCTACAAGCAGCAAATTTATCACATTCACTTTCCTGACTTTTGATACAGAATAATTAAAAAATACCTCCTCATAATTCTGAGTGTTCTCACAAGTTTTTTATGATTTCTGATGACTCCAAGAACATTTCCATTCAAAAAGACGAGATAAACGAGTGGAGAGTAAATTTCTTCACCTGAGGATATCAAAACATCTTATATTATTCACAGATATATTGCTGTGGGCATGCAGCGTGTTAGACATTTTGAACGTTACTTTTAGCATATTCTTAAAATGGCAAGATTAGTTTATGAAACTATAAGTAGTAAATAGTTCAGCTACATTGTAATATAAAAAATCATGTGCTATTGACCGAAGCTGAAAGCTGTCCAGAAAAATGTAGGCGTATAATTGATTGTTCACCTTATTAACTTTGTTCACGGCAAAGACAGGCGTGCATTCCTTGTTATTATATGAGAATGAAAAAAATATTTATGCATGAAATTGCATTAGCCCAAACTAATTGAATAGATAAACACAATATAATTATTTCACATTTTCAGCCTTATTCATCCATCAGCCATCATAACATGGGTTTCGCTGCTCGATAACCAACCTTTTTTTTCTTCACATCATCCTTCACTGTGAAATGCCATTTCTATGTTTTTTTCCTAGTTTTTGTTTGCACCAGGTGTATTTTCATTTTGGTGATGAATAAACTACTGACTGACTGAACATGTTCAATCAAGTTTACCTGAAAGCATGTATATATCTTCAACACCAAGATTTAAAACAAGTCTGGCAGTCGGTTCTTCCTCTACATCTACTGTAATATGAGTCATCAGAGCCAAATTTTTCACCAAACCACAAGCTTCACCTTCGGGTGTGTCAGAAGGACAAAGCATCCCCCATTGTGAAGGTTGCAGGGATCGTGGACCGCTTACTTTACGTGTTTTCTCGAACTGCGATGAAATTCTTGTCATCATTCCAAGAGCGGATATGTACGATAATCTTGTCAAAACCTAAAATTTTATGGAGAACCAAATAACGCAAAATGTAAGTACATATAGACATAGGTACTGAATTAATAAAAGTGTATGAAGAAGTACCGTATGTATATTTAACCCAGTTTAAAACCAATTTTTTTAAAAATGATAAAGATAATACAGATATATCTTCTGCATTTATTTCCAAAATTTCATTTTAGCAAAATACACATAAGAAAAGTTTCGAAGACGATAACAAATGAAACAATAAAAATTGAATAAAATATACTAACTTTGTAATTACCGAATGATTGGAGGTTACATAGAAGATGCTTTCGTGCTTCTAATATAATTGCCGATAATTCAATTTACTTTAAAAAGTCATTTTTTGTTGGTCTGCATTTTTGCTGGCAGCATAAAACTACCAGTAATAATAATGTAACAAATTTCAATTTTTTCATTGTCGAAATTTGCTTTTTCAATTAGAACACAAGATAACCTAAATACAAAATGTCTGAGAATTTCAACAAAACTGAACTGAGATAGATCACCTGTGTGACACCTTTTCTCTCCATTTTAAATCTCTTCACCACCCAGTTGCCAGTTGATATTGCAATAACGAGGCCATTGGTGATAGGATCCTGCAAAAAGCCAAAACAGTGTAAAAAGTATTTGATTTCTTTATTCATAAATAAAGAGAATTTGAGACATTAAAAAGTATGGACACATACATTTTCATACCTAAGCATTCAAACGTTAGTTTTGACTATGGATTTTCATGTATAAAGCAAAAAACTTCATATTTGAAATATATTTCACAATTTCCTAAATGCTTGCTTTCGATGTAAATGATAATTTCACCAAAATATTACAAATGGTTTTTTTAAATGGTAAATTTAGCGCCACTCTGTCAAAGTTGGTTTAATCTAAAAAAGCTTTTGACATTTCATAGAAAAAATCTTACATTATTAACTTAATATTATAAAATAACACAAATAAAAGCATGGTAATCAATATACCATCAACTGGTAGAAACGCAGGGGGTAAAAAAAAATATAAAACTGCAAACACACTTGTCTCATATGACGAACGATATCAAATTGAGCAGCCCGAGGTTTGGGAATTGTAAGATCTGCAATTTTTTTCAATTCTGCGTTAAATCTCTTGAACAAGTCTTCAAACAAAAGGGACACGAGACCACCTGCTAACTCCATTCTTTTATTCCCATAATAGTCTCTGTCATCTACCTGTTAGAATAAATGAATATAGGAGCAGGGATCTCATTATATTCGATATGGTACATTTTTGAATTTAGGAATAACTCAAAAACATTTTTATTCAAAAATTAGAAATTTTGAGCTGACAGAAAAGAAGAACAAAACCTACAATATCTCAACTGATAGGAAACAACACAGAAAAACAATGATCTTTTATATTAGTGTCATTATAGATATGATCATCAAGATATAGTAAATTCTTTAATTTCCACATGAACATGGCCCCAATTTAGAATAAATTTGATATTACATATTCCAAAACATTTTCTCAATATGTATTCAAAATAGTAAAATATTCGGTATTTTTATATAGAAGCAACTTATTAAAACATCTATATACCTCAATTTTTCCAAGCTGTGTTAGAATACTTCGTCTTATCATAAGTCCGAGGTAGACAGCCTGTTAGAAAAAAAGTATAAAAAAGCTTAGCAGGGTTTTAGCCATTAAAATCCAGACATGCTTGAAGCCTCTTGCATAAACTAGATGACACAAATAACTTGGTGAAGGATGGCATTGAACAAGGGCATATGAGACAAATCACAAGAATAGATTAACCATGTAACAAATCTTCAAAATTTGAAATTTTTTTTTTTATGGAGGCGGGGTTCAAAATGTTTTTATTGAAGCGGGATCCATGGCATATACGGTACTCAAAACTCCCCAGAGTTGAGAGTAGAGAACTTTTTGATTCCTCAGAGGTAAAAGTTCAAACAATTAATAGTCAAATTTTTCTACAGAAAAAAAAAAAAATCAAGTTGACAAAATTTTCTAACAGCCTAAAAAAGAAAGTTTGCATATATGTTAAGTTTTTATTAGCAAAATTTGATTTCTACACAAATTCAGGACGAGGGTCTACATATTTATCAATCTGGATTCGGAAGCTTAAACAAAAGTTTTTTTTTCACTTTTCGATCCAAATTTGAATGTTGATTGTGAATTTTCTCGCCCAGCCCTGTTAATATTCATGAAATAAAATATTAAAAATGAGATCTTTTAAACTTATCTCTTTTGCAACATCACAAGTAAAAAACAGTTACAACTTTACAAAACTAAACCAATATGAAACATGTCTAACCTTGCAATGATAATTCCAATCAATAACAGGCACATGAGCAAGTAAAGTTGTTGCCAGCCAGTCTCTCGCTTCATCGTTTCGTGATCGTCTCGGTGCTCCCCACATGCCACGATTTCTACGGATTTTTTGACCAATATAACGAGTCGCTTGAAGTTGAGTAAAAACTTCGAGTCTGTGACATTCTTCAATAGAGGATGCAAATAGAGACATGATGGACTCATCGGTTCCTGAGATAAAGTTAATGTAAACAACAACTATGGGACCTCATGAAGTATGCGCATCAAGATGGCGTACAACCTGAAATCAGGTTATGCGACATCTTGGTGCGCATACTTCAGGAGTACCCAACAGGTAAGCAATCTGTCACAGTAGACTACCAATACCACAGTCTTCACGACTATTGAGAACCCAAAACCGCAACAAAGTGCACAATTTTTGATGACGTCATCGCGCACGAAAAACAAATCCCATAGAGCCCACAGAAATTTTTAAAATAAAAAAATGTAATAACCTTCTACAAAAAAATACAATCTTCAACCACTGAAAAATTCAAAGCAATTATTGAGAAAAGCAATTTTTTCATAATTATATGAAAAAAAATACCAACAGGAACAACAACAACATAATAACGAAACAATATACACATACACTTCGTGTCCAAGAATATATGATTTTAATATTTAACCAGGAGAGAAAAGGGCTCAGATTGAGATGAATTAGTCGCAAGGCGAAGCAGAGACTTTCCTTCGATTACCGGTCCAGGTTGCATATGGGATTATTCAATCAGGTCATTGTGCAATATGCATAGTCCATAGTTTAACATCCATGAATTAATTGAAATCAGCATATTTTTCAAGATTTGTAAAAATATGTAAAAAGCTCAATTAACAAGCATTTCTGCAACTAAAGTCTTAATAAAATTTTCGTGAGAATTGGTGGATAAATTTCTTGGAATGTTTCAGTTCATACTTTTTCGTTACACATTTACAAAGTTTGAAAATATAATGTCGACCATTCCGACTCATTCGTGACTCCACAGTAAAATTTTGGACCTAGTGCCTTACCTATGAGTTGCATTATAGCTTGGTCACTTTCAACACCCATTGCTTTAAAAATAATACAAACAGGAGTGTCTTCTGTCAGTGCATTCTGTTGTAAATAAAATTTTCCTTTCTTTTGCAAAATTGTCGCTCGAGTCTTTTTTTCGTGAGTGGAACTGTGCACGGAACAACTCACCAAACCCTTTCGATCTTTCTCACAAATCATTCGGTTTTTGGACAGTTGTTCTTGAATCAATATGACCTAAAATTCAAAATTTTATTATGAAATTCAATTCAACGCTTCTTAATTTTGTACAATGCATATATAAGTAGGCTATAATGCCAGGTAGCCTATTCATGAAGCCATATTGCAATTTCAATATTTTTTTATGAAGTCAGTTCTCAATATATAACCAGGTTTGTTTTATTTTAATCAAAGTTTTTACTTCACTCGATACACCTTTATCTCGTAAAGTAGCCTAACCTTAGTCTAGTAATTGTGAAGCAATTATATTCAGCCTTCATTTTATTTTTAATTTACCTTTTCAACCCCTTTGCAAACAAAATAACCGCCTGGATCATACGGACATTCATTTAGCTTTGCAAACTCAACAGGATTTTTTCCAGCTAAAACACAATTTGAACTTTGTAACATGATTGGCATCCTTCCAATGGGGAGGTGTTTACGAATAATTCTCTGCTGCCCTCTTGTGTATTCAACATCAACAGTTATTGGAGCTGAGTATGTGAGATCTCGAAGCCTGCACTCGTGTGGTGAAATAGAACGAGTGACATTGAAACTTTCTTCCACGTCAGGTTTTCCAACGTGAATATCGAGATATTTTAAATACCAATTTGGATCAGCATCACTCAGCACTTTGTCATTTGCCTGTAAAATAAAACATTTACAAATGAGCAATTCTTAAATGACCCCAAATTATAGGATTTTACATATTTATCCCGGAGAGAGGAAAGTCAATAAGACGGCTTAATCATATGGCAAACTACAGCCTCTTGTACGGTTACCAATCCATGTCAGATATGGGATTATTTAGTTATTTAATTTCGAAAGCATGGACTTCTGGACTTGATGGTTGCGGAAGCCATAACCAACCAGCGGTTACGTGAACCAACCTACGGCAAGGAGTCCAGCAATCCTATGTCACATTATAACTATCCTCATATGAATTCCAACCTGCGAACCCACGCAGAATAATCAGAGGTCAGGAGGTGCGGTGGTGAGCCTATTCCTAACGCTTAGCGTGATGCGCCACACCCTGACACCTCGCTGCCTCGGCTGAATCAACTGAAATATGGAAATGTAGAAAAACATTAAACAATAATTAATTTCACCAACCTGCATTATTTTCTTGATCTCCACGTTGATAAAATAATTAAACGAATCGATGTGTTGCTTCACCAAGCCTTTTACTTTGAGAAACGCCGGTAATATTTTCCATTTGTCTTTTACATCAGAAACCGGCTTATTCAACTCCGCATAATCGTCTTCATTATCATCCTCTTTCTTCATATTTTGGCCTTTGTTATATATGAAACAGTAAATACAAAGGCTACGGTATGTTATTTGCCCAATTTATTGAATACGGCAGTGTGAACTAAACCATGAAAACACAGCAATGCCGCTTAGCTGCATTCAATGTGTTTATAGTCACTTTGGCTGCATTAGAATTCGTAATTAAGACTAAAAATCACCTCTGTGAAGCTAGCAGCAAAACACGAAATTGTGACTGACAGAATCGCAGAAAATACCCACGCGTAAAATTAAATGTTCCCAATGATTTTTATAAGAAAGTGTATATTTTGATTAGTTTCACAATAGCAATTAAAGCAAAACAATCATTAACTACACTCCTCGTATTGTTAATATATGGTAAACAAGCTAAAGCGACTGTTACAGTGCACAAAATTTTTTTATAATTCTTTGAGAGATGTTTAAAAATGACTGAATTTTCGTCGTGTAAAATGGTCGTTTCATGAAAACCTCCAATAAAGGCAGCATTGCAACACTATTGGTGAAAAGTAGAAACCTCAAAGATTCGATTTCAATATGTCAGAACAGTCTCAGCACGTTTTGACTTGACCATATATAATACTAAACATAGCGTATATTCTTCAATTTTTAAAACAATGTATAATACAACAAATTTGAAACTGATTTTATATTTCAATTAAAATTACTGGATAGTTCATCAAAGAAGAATTTTTCTCTTTGTTACACAACAATAATGCACTTCATTAAACTTTAGAATAAGTTGAGTAAAGTCTGAAATACTGAAAAAAAATTTACGCCCTCTTGTGGATTCTTGATAAATTTCACAAAATTATCGTTTTCGAAAGCGGCGATTTCTCAAAAACCGCCAATAAAGGCAGCACTACGACACATTCGAAGAAAAGCAGATACCCTATAGATTCGATTTTAATATGTCAGAACAGTAGCAGCACGTTTTGACTTGGCCAAATATAATTCCAAACATAGCGTATATTTTTAATTTCATTAAAAAAATGTAGATGTGACATATTTAAAAACGGTTTGGTATTTCAACTAAATTTACTGGAAAATTCATCAAATACTTTCTTCTCTTGGGTATACAACAAAATTGTACGTTCATTAAACTTGGAATTAGTGTGCAAATGTTAAAATGCCAAAAAATGATTTGACGCCCTCTCGTGGAACCTTTTCGGAATTTCGAAAAATTATCGTTTTTGAAAAGGGCGATTTCTCAAAAACCGCCAATAAAGGCAGCACTACGACACATTCGGAGTAAAGCAGATACCTAATAGATTTGATTTTAATATGTCAGAACAGTAGCAGCACGTTTTGACTTGGCCATATATAATACCAAACATAGCGTGTATTCAACTTTTATAAACAATGCAGACGTAACATATTTAAAAACGGTTTGGTATTTCAAATAAATTTCCTAGATAATTTATCAAACATCTTTTTCTCTGGACATACATATATACTATACGTTCATTAAACTTGGAATAAGTTGCGGAAAGTATAAAATACCAAAAAGCATTTTACGTCCTCTTGTGGATTTTTTTCAAAATTTCAAAAAATTATCGTAATTGAAATAGCGATTTCTCGGAAACCGCCAATAAAGGCAGCACTACGACACATTTGGAGAGAAGCAGATACCTGATAGATTCGATTTTAATAAGTCAGAACAGTAGTAGCACGTTTTGAGTTGGCCATATATAATACCAAACATAGCGTATAATTTTTAATTTTATCAACCATGTATATGTAACATATTTAAAAACGGTTAGGTATTTCAACTTAATTTACTGGATAATTCATCAAACACTTTTCTCTCTTGGTCATACATCAAAACTGTATGTTCATTAAACTTGGAATAAGACGGCGAATCCTAAAATAACAAAAAATGATTTGACGCCCTCTTGTGGATTTTTTTCGAAGTTTTAAAAAATATCGTTTTTGAAAGGGCGGATTTCTCAAAAACCGCCAATAAAGGCCAACACTACGACACCATTCGGAGTAAAGCAGGTACCTTATAGATTGGATTTCATTATTGTCAGAACAGTAGCAGCACGTTTTAACTTGGCCAGTATATTAATATCAAACATAGCGTGTATTCAAACTTTTATAAACAATTGCAGGACGTAACATATTTAAAAACGGTTGTCGGTATTTCAAATAATTTCCTAGATAATTTATCAAACATCTTTTTCTCTTGGACATATCATATATACCGTATACGTTTCATTAAACTTGGAATAAGTTGCCGGGAAAGTATAAAATACCAAAAAGCATTTTACGTCCTCTTGTGGATTATTTTCAAAATTTCAAAAAATTATCGTAATTGAAATAGCGATTTCTCGAAAACCGCCAATAAAGGCAGCACTACGACACATTTGGAGAAAGCAGATACCTTATAGATTCGATTTTAATAAGTCAGAACAGTAGCAGCACGTTTTGAGTTGGCCATATATAATACCAAACATAGCGTATAATTTTTAATTTTATCAACATGTAGATGTAACATATTTAAAAACTTTATATTTCAACTAAATTTCTAGATAATTTATCAAACATCTTTTTCTCTTGGACATACATATATACTATCGTTCATTAAACTTGGAATAAGTTGCGGAAAGTATAAAATACCAAAAAGCATTTTACGTCCTCTTGTGGATTATTTTCAAAATTTCAAAAAATTATCGTTTTTGAAAAGGCGATTTCTCAAAAACCGCCAATAAAGGCATCACTACGACACATTCGGAGTAAAGCAGATACCTTATAGATTTGATTTCATTATGTCAGAACAGTAGCAGCACGTTTTGACTTGGTCATATATAATACCAAACATAGCGTGTATTTAAACTTTTATAAAAATGCAGACGTAACATATTTAAAAACGGTTTGATATTTCAACTAAATTTTCTAGATAATTTATCAAACATCTTTTTCTCTTGGACATACATATATACTATTCGTTCATTAAACTTGGAATAAGTTACGGAAAGTATAAAATACCAAAAAGCATTTTACGTCCTCTTGTGGATTTTCAAAATTTCAAAAAATTATCGTTTGAAATAGGCGATTTCTCGAAAACCGCCAATAAAGGCAGCACTACGACACATTCGGAGTAAAGCAGATACCTATAGATTTGATTTATTATGTCAGAACAGTAGCAGCACGTTTTGACTTGGCCATATATAATACCAAACATAGCGTGTATTCAAACTTTTATAAACAATGCAGACGTAACATATTTAAAAACGGTTTGGTATTTCAACTAAATTTCTAGATAATTTATCAAACATCTTTTTCTCTTGGACATACATATATACTTACGTTCATTAAACTTGGAATAAGTTGCGGAAAGTATAAAATACCAAAAAGCATTTTACGTCCTCTTGTGGATTATTTTCAAAATTTCAAAAAATTATCGTTATTGAAATAGCGATTTCTCGAAAACCGCCAATAAAGGCAGCACTACGACACATTTGGAGAAAAGCAGATACCTTATAGATTGATTTTAATATGTCAGAACAGTAGCAGCACGTTTTGACTTGGCCATATATAATTCCAAACATAGCGTATATTTTCAATTTTAAAAATGTAGATGTGTATTTAAAAACGGTTTGGTATTTCAACTAAATTTACTGGAAAATTCATCAAATACTTTCTCTCTTGGTATACAACAAACTGTACGTTCATTAAACTTGGAATTAGTGTGCAAATCTTAAAATCAAAAAATGATTTGACGCTCCTTGTGGATTTTTCGGAATTTCGAAAAATTATCGTTTTTGAAAGGGCGATTTCTCAAAAACCGCCAATAAAGGCAGCACTACGACACATTCGGAGTAAAGCAGATACCTTATAGATTTGATTTCATTATGTCAGAACAGTAGCAGCACGTTTTGACTTGGTCATATATAATACCAAACATAGCGTGTTTAAACTTTTATAAACAATGCAGACGTAACATATTTAAAAACGGTTTGATATTTCAACTAAATTTCTAGATAATTTATCAAACATCTTTTTCTCTTGGACATATAATATATACTATTCGTTCATTAAACTTGGAAAAGTTGCGGAAAGTATAAAATACCAAAAAGCATTTTACGTCCTCTTGTGGATTATTTCAAATTTCAAAAAATTATCGTTTGAAATAGCGATTTCTCGAAAACCGCCAATAAAGGCAGCACTACGACACATTCGGAGTAAAGCAGATACCTTATAGATTTGATTTATTATGTCAGAACAGTAGCAGCACGTTTTGACTTGGCCATATATAATACCAAACATAGCGTGTATTCAAACTTTTATAAACAATGCACGTAACATATTTAAAAACGGTTTGGTATTTCAATAAATTTCCTAGATAATTTATCAAACATCTTTTTCTCTTGGACATACATATATACTATACGTTCATTAAACTTGGAATAAGTTGCGGAAAGTATAAAATACCAAAAAGCATTTTACGTCCTTTTGTGGATTATTTTCAAAATTTCAAAAAATTATCGTTATTGAAATAGCGATTTCTCGAAAACCGCCAATAAAGGCAGCATTACGACACATTTGGAGAAAAGCAGATACCTTATAGATTCGATTTTAATATGTCAGAACAGTAGCAGCACGTTTTGACTTGGCCATATATAATTCCAAACATAGCGTATATTTTCAATTTTATTAAAAAATGTAGATGTGACATATTTAAAAACGGTTTGGTATTTCAACTAAATTTACTGGAAAATTCATCAAATACTTTCTTCTCTTGGGTATACAACAAAACTGTACGTTCATTAAACTTGGAATTAGTGTGCAAATCTTAAAATGCCAAAAAATGATTTGACGCCCTCTTGTGGATCTTTTCGGAATTTCGAAAAATTATCGTTTTTGAAAGGGCGATTTCTCAAAACCGCCAATAAAGGCAGCACTACGACACATTCGGAGTGAAGCAGATACCTTATAGATTTGATTTCATTATGTCAGAACAGTAGCAGCACGTTTTTGACTTGGCCATATATAATTTTATCAACTATGTAGATGTAACATATTTAAAAACGGTTAGGTATTTCAACTTAATTTACTGGATAATTCACCAAACACTTTTCTCTCTTGGTCATACATCAAAACTGTATGTTCATTAAACTTGGAATA